TATTGTACACAATCGTTTACGAAAGTTAATGGTTAACTGTACGGAAGAAGACAGATGAAGAAAAGGTTGCTCGTACAGGTAATGGAGTTTTGACATGTTTCCAAGCTCAGGTGGTATTGAACCAGTCAGCTTGTTACTGTGCAGATACCTAGAGACAAAGCCAAAATGATAATCAATATCATGTACATAGTATAAATCACATTGATTTGTGCAATGTAACTTTTAAAATAACAAAGATGCTATGGAGGTAAAAAAAAAGAATTACAATTTCTCAGTGAAAGTCAGATTTCCCAGAATCGGAGGGATAGGTCCACTCAACAAGTTGCCACTTAGATCTCTGTATAACAAAAAATAAACTTTAAGTCATGGAAATGTTTAAAAGTAGCTTCTTTGATTTAGAGGAAAAGTACTTACAACACTGCGAGGGCTTGCATAAGACCAATCACTGATGGAATCTTTCCAGATAGCTGATTGCCTTGCAATGATCTAAGATGATAAAAAAAAAATATATCTTCTTTTAAGAGACAAACAAAGGCTAGCAAGAAAGCAAAAGATTGAGACAATATGGTAACAGCACAGAGGAGAGGAGAGGACTAACAGTGTAGCAACTTGCAGGAAGCCGATGTCGAAAGGGATCTCACCGGTTAGCTGATTGTATGACAAGTCCCTGATTTCATCATAACAAAATCATTCAATTATTTTTCCAAAAATAAGCAAAACTTGTTGTTTAGAAGCAGAGAGAGAGAGCGAGAGCGAGAGAGGCACATACAAAACCTGGAAGGCAGTGCAATTTCCTATAGTCTCAGGGATACTACCCGTCAAACTGTTGTTTCTCACGTCACTGATTGAATACAGAAAAACAAAGTCAGGCATTTCATATCAGAAAATGAACTCATCATAGTATTCAGACGGGTTTCAGAAGATTTTAATTGACTTACAAATACCATAGACCAGTCAGCTGACACAAATCTGGAGAAATGTTGCCCACCAAGTTGTTTCCTCGCAATCCACTACAACAATTATCACTAGACATTAAGAGAACATTGAAGAAGGTGGAGGGATTTTCAGTTAAAATGCTCTGAAATATTGACACTTACAGATACTGAAGAACTTCATTCCAGTAGATAAGTCTTGGTATCTCACCACTGAGATTATTCTGTGCTAGGTCCCTGTAATTTGTCACAGGAAACCGAAAATTTCATGCTCTGAATCAATCTATATAGCAGAGATGTAAATGTCAGAGGTTACATACAAGATTTTCAGGTTTGGAATCTGGGAAAGCGTTGAAGGGATCGGTCCTATCAACTGGTTGTTCTTCAGATATCTGCAAAAGGTTAAAAATTTATATTCCAGACGGTGAGAATATTGACCAAGTAAAAACAAAATTTAGCAATGAAGATGAACACTTTAGAGACTTACAGCTCCTCAAGTTGCTTCAACTTGGAAATTGAAAATGGTATGTCGCCACTTAATTCATTGAAAGACAAGTCCCTGAATGAACAATATGAACACATTTTAAACCAATATTAAGAGACTGAACACTAATCTATTAGTTTTCATTAATTTAAAGGTTCTTACAATTTTTGCAAAGAAGAACAGTCCCCAATCTCATCAGGGATTTGTCCAGACAAGCGATTTTCTCGCAAATCACTGCGTTAGAAGACAATAATTAGAACTAAGTCACACACTTTAAAAAAGGTAGAAACTTTATCTTAAACTACAGTGACTGAACAATTACATTGACAAGAGACTCTTGAGATCTCCAATAGCAGGTGAGATTTCTCCATCAAGATTCAAACCTGACAAATTGCTAAACAATAAAGATTACAAAACAAATTAGAACTTTTCCACAAGAAAGAAAATCAAACCTAACACCAAAAAGAAAAAGGGATGAAACTTACAGAGCAACAACATTGAAGGTGACATTCTCACAAGTCACACCTTTCCAGACACAATAGTCCGAAGAAGGTGAAGCTGTCCAGTCATAGAGAACATTTTTCACATCTTTGAATGACTTCTTAATCTCCAGCAACGTTGCTCCTTTATTTTTAGGATATTTTATTAACACACGCACAGAAACAAAACAAAAAAAAATTGCATTTGTCAGTTCTTGAGGGAAAATAAAAGTACTTAAAACAATTCAACTTCCAAGAAAATCAAAAACTCAAACCCTAATTTAATCAACTTCTTTTGATAACAGAGAAGACCCACAAAGTCAAAAAGGAGAAAAAGAAAGTAAATGGCAAGTACCCAGATCTCATTTTCACCACAAAACTCCATAGAACACTTCAAAACCAAACAAATTTCTCATTTTTCGGATTATTTCACTTCAAAAGACAAAATTTTGAGGATTTTACAGAATTTGAACTTGAACAAGTTCAAAAATCAAAAAAAAAAACTTCTCATTTTTCGTTTCTTTCACTTTAAAAGACGAAATCTTGGTGATATATCAGAAACATGCACTTACCATTATCCGAATCTACAGTAGTCCCAAAGCTTAAACAGATGAGAAAACCCAGAAGGACTACTTCACCAAGCAGAGCCATTTTCACATGCGTACAAGCCAAAACGACTGCGTTTTTGCTAAACCCAGTAGACTAAAAAAAGAAGCTTTAACTCTCCATGAAGAAGAAGAAGAAGAAACAGAGGATAGAGAAGAGAAACGTAAGTACCGACATTAGATTTTTATGATTCAGAAAAAAGACTCTCCCCAAATTGTTGTTTTCTTATCTTTTTCTTTTAAAACATATAAATTTTTAATTTTTTTTTACTTTCACCGTGAAAAAAAAAAGTTTTGATTTTTATCGTTCCATCACATCCTTCTGGCGCAGTTTACAGTGTTTCATTGAGTGCTCAGACGACAGAACACACAGACTGAGATAGAGATGGAGAGAGAGAGAGAGAGAGGAAGGAGACACACATAAATGTGTGTTAAAGAGATAAATTGTACAACTGTAGGGACTGTGTGGGAGAGACGAAGAGGAATTATTTGGAGGATAAAGTTAAAAACCCCATCATCTTTCTTTCTGCCAGAGCTCTGAAGCTTTGCAGAGGAGAGAGACAGAGAGAGAGGAGAGACGTCGTCCTTTGGAGTTGTTTTCACATTTTTCTCTCTCTCCTTGTTCTGAGGGTAAAACGGTCATCAATGAAGAACATGGTCATGGCAGTGAATAAAGGAAGTCGCTTTCGTTGCCAATCGTTTTGAGTATTTTGCCTCTCTCTCTCTGTGGCCGTTTCACAAGATGACCCATATCATTAAATCATAAATGGGCAGTTTGGTAAAAAGCATTTTCATATTATGTCACATTCCTTACATTTACAATGTTTTTTTTTTTCTTTTTCACTTTGGATTATTACATATGCATTTCAATTGCTAAAACCAAAACTGGAGTTCACAAAATAGTTTGTTACAAAATTTCTTCTGTAGTTAGTATTTTAGCTGTATAGAGGGTGGGTTAGTGATTTGTATAGTAAATTTAACTATGTTGGTTACTAATTTTAGAACACTTACGCCAATAATTTTGCCTAATACTTTTGGATTTTGGTTTACAAAGTTAAAAATTGATCAGTACTTCGTTAGCAAAATCATTTTGATCAACTTTCACCCTAATGGATCATTAAGGTTGATGAGCTCTTTCTTTCGTTGAGAGAAATAGATAATTATCAACACAACTTTCATTTTTCCTTGATTTATTTGAGCAAACCAACTTTAGTTTTACAGTCTTAGTTTTTGAGAATTTAGATTTTGGAATAGATAAGGTTAGTTAATTAGTTTCCTTTTTGGATAATTATAAATCCTTAAACCACACTAGAAAATCTTTTTTCAACAACTTTTCCACTTTTTTGCTTCTGTTTTAGCCAATTATAGTTAACTATGAATGTTAATTCTGAATGTTAGTGCAATGTATTCCTGTTATGTGCTTAGATTTTAATCCCTGAAATATTCATACCAATGCACAATGTTATAATAATTAAAAGGTCAATCCACTAAATATCAAATAATTGCACCACGAGTTTATGAAAATCCAATTAAGTAACACTAAATTATATATGTATGTTTATGGGCAATGAATATTTGACAAAATAGCAAAACTTTTTGTTTGGGTGCAAATGTTAGACAAAATAGCAAAGTTAACTTAAAATCAAGTAGATAATGAAGTTAAATCAAAAGGAACAAGGAATTCACATGGTAAGTATAGATTAGTTCTATCATTTTTTTAATTAATTTTGTTTTTTACCATAATCATAGCTAAATAACCATTAGAGTAGCATAAACCAAATTTAAAATAAGTCTACAAACCCAAAATATGCCTTTTTGTCACCATAATTTTATATTCTCCCATTGTTATATGGGTTTTTCAGATCCGGTTTGTATCAGAATCACCCATGCATACATGATTCCATGTGATACTAATGTTTTGGCCGTGGAAAATACTCAATCTTCAGTGCATATATCAACTTATTAACAAAAATATAGATGGTCAATCCATTAAAATGTGTTAAACACAAATTTAGATGAAAACTCGAACACATATTAGACTTAAACCACTAACATCGGTAATAGATTTAGACCATGAATATTTACATGGTTTTTTCTTTCGGTTTTTTGGTTTTTAGTTTTTAGCTTTTAAATTTTGGTTTTTGAGTTTTTTGCACATAATATTTTGAACGAAAATAACTTACTGCATTTAGAAAAACAAAATCCAAAATCTGTTTCAAAATGTGCAAGCCATGAAGGCCTTCAATTTTCTTTTCTTTTCATTTTGTTAAGAGATAAATTGATACACATATTTTTCAAGTACTGTATATTTCGGGTTTCTCTATAAACTTTTCAATTATAAAACTATTTAACTAAAACTATAAAATATTTGACAATCGAGTTTGACCGGTTGAACTGGTCCAACCAACTATCTAATGACATTTTGTTACCGTTTCCTAATAACACTATCCATAATAATATTGACGAGCCTGGAAATAAGATGCCACTGGTCTTATCTCAAATGGCATCACGTAACGCTACCGTGAGCCTCCCACTTCCCCACTATTCCAACCACCGCTTAAAGCTAACGTGCGCATCACTGTCACCTCCGGTATGGAAACAGAGCCGGCGCGTGATCTCCGTCACCTTCCTCCTCTCCCGCTTCCTCCTCCTCCCTAACGGTACCACAACACTTACATTTCTCTTCACTTTCACAATTTCGATTCTCAATTTCACGAATTCATTCGAAAAATCATTGATTCAAGTTTTGTTCTTTCTCGTATTTGGTTATTTCTATGTTAATTTAGATGCCATGGCTGCTGGTAGCTTAATTGATAAATACGTCAAGAGGTAAATTGTGTATTTGACCAATGCTTATCTAAAGTTTAGATTTTGAAATGCATTTTGAGAATTTCAGTCCAATGCTAAGTAGATTATGGTTGATTTATTAGTGAAATATCTCTAACTTAAAACCAGTTTTTGAATAGGAAAAAACTTGATCCACTTGATGCATATGTACCACCAGTTATTCTAGCTCAGCTACAAATCCAAGATCTTGGTAAAGTTTCTGCATTTTTGCTCCCAATCCTTCTTAAAACTCTATCTGTATAAAACTAACACTTAAAAAAATTTATCAAAAAAAAAACTAACACTATAATCTAATTTCATGATGTTTGGAGAGAAATTCTTGAATGTGGAGAAACCTGAATTCGAGGCATGTAGATCGGTACTACGGTCTGGTCCTGCTAGCTCATTGCGTGTAAACATTCGAGCAGTACGTTTAAAAAGCCTCACAAAATCTTTAAACATTGTAGTCTTGCTTCTGTTTGATGAGAATATGTGTTAGTCTAAAAACTCTCTCTCTCTCTCAGGTTGCTCAGTATGCTTCAGATGCTGGTAATTCAGGAACTGCGACTGATGATGTTGATCGATGTCTAAGAGCATTGGAAGAAATGGATTCGTTGTTTCTTCGTGCGTCGAGGAAGGATCCAAATGCAACTGTTGACCGGATGAAGTCGCAGCTTGGAACAGCGTTGACCGCGCTGGACAGGTAATCTGTACTACATTAGAGCTCTCGCGCGCAAACATACAGTCTCTGTCTGGAGAACGTTTGCTGACTGAGTAACACTTGCAGCCTTCTACAAACGGTTCCTCCTCAAGTGCTTGATAGAGGGAAAGCTATGGTGGAAGTCTATAGATCTCCACCATCCGAACAAGATACGGAAACTGACTCCTCTGAGATACAGCAGCTCCAGTCTATACTGTGAGCCAAGTCTCAGTACTATCCAAAAACAGTTCTTGATCTTACAAGATTTTGTATACAATGTTCTTCAGATTCAGTGTATGACCATGTATTGTTAGATGGAATAGGTGAATGATGTATAACATTTGCATATATTAAAAACACCTATTATAATAGGGTAGTACAGAGTGTTACAAACAACCTAACATCTCCAACTTTTCTTTTTAATGTAAAACTTCCTGTGTGATTTCTACACTGAATATAAAATATATATAAAAAGCTAAGCATGGGATCAAGAGTGAAGTCTGAAATAACATTTATTCTGTAACTTCTCATTCCTTTGATGCTCTTGATTCAGAAGATTCTTGTAAAGTCAAAGCAGATTCCATTCTTGTATCAAATGCTTTTTTCCGAAGTTGTCATCAAGAAGCTTGGTTTCTTTCTTTCCTTTGCTTTTCATCGTCTGCTTTGCCTTTCTACATTCTCTTGTCCATGTTTGATCCGTTTGGGCTTAAAAGTCAGAACTGTACAAACAAACCAAACTTGAATGGGTATTGGGTGTTCGACAAAGTGGGCATTCTTGCTTCTCATTGCACCATTCCATAATGCAGCTCCTGCACATGACAGGTGACTCTTTCAACATGAGCACAATGTTTCAGTGTCCATTTCGGATCTTTGGTTCTGTAATTTCGAGTGAAGGTTCGTTGTTGATATACAAGGTTCACATATTATCAAAGCAGGTTGAACGAATGGACATCAAGACAGAGTGGGATTGTTAAACTAATTATTAAGAAGCAGAGGAAGGTTTTATTACCAACAAAAGACATGACCGCAAGGAGTGGCTGTCGGGTGCTGACGTTTGCTTAAGCAGAGAGTGCATTTCCCTACTGCCTGCAACCACAGTACGTAGCAAGGTAAAATGATCTCTAACATCAAAGTGGTAGAAAATTGATTTCATCAAATTGAGAGAAACATTTTAATTCATACAAGCAACAGAATAGTCCCAAAATAGGATTCACATATAGCTTCGTCTCACTAGTTTTACTTTTACCAACAATGAATCAATATTCAAAATATCAGCTACTTCAAAGTAATAAAGATTTCTAAGTTGTTTGTAGATATCGTACCTCCAAATTTGAAGTTGAATCGGATGTGGACCAGTTTCCCTTTTCAGCTTCCGGAGTTATCAATGTTCCTTCTTCGTTTAAAACAGGCAACCCTCTCGCTGCAAGAACAATACCAAAACTATAGTATTATAAGTTGAATTAGTGTGATGCAGAACAAGCTAAAACATTTCAGCCTGTGTTCCCATTAACATTAACATTCAAAATCGAGGACATGAAAGCCAAACCTCCTGAAGTTTGATAAGTTCCTATAGACGCTTGCTGAATTGAGCTTGTGATAGACGACAAATTACTCCGCCGCAAGCCCTCAGCAGCAAGGATGCACAACTGAATTAGAAGGAAAACCCCGAGAATTTGGTATCTGCTCAACAAGACTTAAGGGAGTTCAGTTACTCTGTGATAGTAAAAGCCAACAACAGTTTCATGAGGAAGAAAGAAGACAGAAAACATCATTACCTAGGTCTCTGATTCATTTGCTTTCCTATGAAAACATATCTAACCCCGGACGCACGTTTTGATATATGATAATACAAACCTGAAAGAAACGAAGATTAACAATAGACAACATTATACAAAACACTTTGAGCCGGCTCTACATGTGTAACAAAGTTCACCTTCAAAATAGAAGAGCATCAAATTAGCACGGAGAACAAGTTGCAAGACTTCACGAGCAACAGGAAGAGCCTGACAAAGAGAAACCCTTGAAATGAAACATTCGCTAGGTAGATATGATAACTAAACATGAGGGCTCTATAAATACATTACCACAGGCCATCTCTGAATCGCTCGGTGCCACAATCTCTTCACTCTATCTTTCAACCTAGACACAGCAGAAGCTGAAGTTTCCATTTGAGATGAAGATGGAACATCCACCATTCTTGGACTATCATCAGACTGAAACTCATCAAAGGTAACAGCTTGTGAGGCAGCTCTAGTGCTAATTCTCTCTGCGATATATGGAACTGCAGTCTGATACAATATGAACAAAGCACGTCTAGCTGGTGTAGGAGAGAGCCCATAAGGTCCTGCAACCTAAAGATTACAACGTTCTTTAATCAGAAAAAGACTCAATCTTTCTCTACAATACTGAGAAAATGGGTTTGGTTTAAGCATAAAAACCTGTATAATGTCACAATATTCCTCTCCTAGAGTTTGTTGCCCTGAGCCTGTCGTGAGAACAAAGTAAAGCATCTGCCCAATAAGCTTCATCTGCATATCCAGTAACGAAACCGTCACAAAGCTGTAATCAGAAAATCTCAATGGATACTATACATACACAAAACGCTTGTACCTCTTTCTGGTAAGCTAGAGCGATTCTTGTACCTAACAGTAGAAGAAGCCGAGAGTGATCAAAATCAGTGGATTAATTTGGACTAACCAAATGCAATTCGGCGATAATGATCGGAAATTTGTTACCGAAAAGGTGTCGGAAGGCATCGCGGCAGGCTTCGTGGATGAAAGAGGCGTATTGATCGTCTTTCTCTGCTGCTCTCATAACCTCCGGCTGAGCTGCGAGCGGGAATCGCCGGATTCCGCCGTGAATCCCGCTCGAACCCGGTTCGTCCAGACCCGGACCCGAATCGCCATCGCTCCTAAACCTCACCATTTCAGCGTTTCTGGTGGTGGTTTAGTGGATGATGCGATGGAGAGAGTGCCGATGCTGTTTATCGATGATATGATGTCAGCAAGTTCAAGGAGAACCAGTAAAACCCGGTTTATTCCGGTCTGATATTCCCAAGTCAAGGAAGTAAATGCCAGATTCTGTTTTGGTTTTACCGATTCACCCCACAAACCGGATATTTTTGGGTATTTAATTTTTGAAGAAAACAACATACAATACATAAGTGGTTCAGTTTAGTTTGGTTTAAACCAGCAACAGAAAAAGTGAACCGAACTAAACCGAACCATTTTTATTATCCACATATTGTTTGAAACTTACAGGCAAATTGAGTAATACACTAATACCCTAATAGCAACAAATTGTGAACAAATCAATCAATTGTTGCCAACAATCAATACATGTGAACAAATAATATAGCTATGTGTAGTGTCTTTTTGTAAACACAAAAATCCGGTTTATTCCGGTTTGATATTCCCTAGTCAAGGAAGTAAACCGGATTTTACTGGTTCCCCACAAACCGGAACTTTAGGTGGTATTTGGTACTTGATCAGTTTAGTTCGGTTCAAATTGATTAAAAAGATCTACAAGAAAGCAAGAAATCAAATACAGAGCTAATGTCAACAATCAATACATGTGAATGATGTAGCTACGTGTAGTGCTTTTTTTGTAAACACAAAAGTTAATCTCTATGCACTGATTGGTTTAGAGGTATTGTAATCAAAGCCTTTTGAAGAAGTTCATAGCCAGCCAAATTCAAAGCACCAAGAGGAGCAGTCCAGAAGAACCTAGGAACAGCTCCTTTATAAAAAGCAAGAACACCCTCATTTCTTAGAATCGAATACGCAGCCATCCACATGGACAAATCCACGCCCTGTGGAGCCGTCATCATCCTCGTCTTGATCACATCGAACGGCGTCGTTAACACAGCCGTGAAACCACCAGACAAGGCTCCCACCGCGATGGCCTCCCACGGCTCCAGCTCTCTCTTTAACCGTCTCTCAACCACTTTCTTTGACTCGTTGTAAAGTCCCATACCGGCGACGTAGAAAGGAACCTCGCGTAGAAGAGTAACGCCAGTGCCACGGAAGAGTCCTTTGAGACCGTCTTGTTGCCAAGTCGTAACCGTAGCTTCCACTATGTTGTCAAACAGGTTTGCTTGTAACCGTTGCTTCAATACCTCACACGGTATTCGTAACGTCGTCCCTAGAACCGTGCCAAGAAACGACGCTATTGACTGAACCTAGAGAAATCAAGATTTCGCACAAGAAAACAACTCAAAACGATGAAAATGTTTATGATAATAACAGCATGAAAGTTAGGTTTTAGTTAACTTGGATGTCTAGAAGAGAAGGAGCAAAGCGCGGTAATGCGAGTTTACTTGCTTCATATATACTTGTTCGTAATCCATGGCTGAAATGTATTTGAAAAGCAAGAGAGATCAAAACATGCTTATAAAGTTAATAAGCAAGAAACCGAAAGTAGGAGGCAGAGAGCATAAGGAGATGATAGATATGTAACCTTGCAAATTGACCAACAACGGCTGGAATAGAGCCTTTGTATAAACCTCGAGCACCAATCTCTGGAATCTTTGATAGTATTTCAAGAAAGGACAGTGTTGTTGAGGCTTGAACTTGTGTCTTTATGAGTGAAAGTAGGAAAAAGACATGAGTAATGAGAACAGTCTTGTAATCACTAAACAAGAAGTGAGTAAGAGATTATTTATGATTACCTTGATAGTGTCCACTGGATGCATTAGAAAAGCAGAGAAAGCACATGAGATTCCTCCTGCTAATGCAGATTTGAGAAGATGTCCAACATCTAATCCAGCTCTTGGGCCACTTGTTACAGATTTTTCGTTGGATTTTAATGTAAAGTTTCCAACTTTTGCAAAATTTAAGTTGTTTATACAGCGAGATGAATCTTGATTCGTATTCACGCTTTTGCGCAAACATTGGTCGGATTTTCGAGAATTTAAAAACAAATCATTGAGAATAGAGAGTAGTTGAGATTCAGGTGATACATGTTTTGTTTTCTGAGATTTATCCACCATTTTTGACTCGAGGAGATCTTTGGATAAACGTTGAAAACTAATCTGTTCTTCATCTCCTTTCTTCATTGGTTAACGATGTGAAAAAAGAGGATTATTGTGAGATTAAGTGAATGTGGGACAGATCGTAAGTTAGAGATAGATCCAACATGTGGTTTGATTCTCGATTTGAGCCAGTTTTGTTTCCAGTTCTGCAAGTGTTTCTTTAAAATATTACAATGACGTATGACGTGTTCTATGAAACGACAGTGTTTTGTAAGAATGACAGCGTTTGTAAGAAACGGCAGCGGTTTTGGGAAACGACAGCGTTTGTTGGAAACGACAGCGATTCTGATGTAAAAACGACAGCGTTTGTAAAAAACTAAAAATCGACATCGGTTCGGGGAAACGACAGCGTTTGTAAGAAGCGGCAGCGTTTGTAAGAAGCGGCAGCGTTGTGTTTTACTTACAAGATCCAATATTTAGACCACAAATAACTTTCTTGACAAGAATCAGTTTAGTTTTTGACACACAAATGAATAAAAAGAGGAACCTAATCCTGTCAAACATGTAATGAATACATGCTATATATAGATAAGACAAGAGCTGTGTTTTGCAAGATCCAGTTTTAGAGAAAATGAAAACCACAAATCTTGGAATTTTCTTGACAAGAATCAGTTTAATTTTTGACACACAAATCAACACACAAAAAAAGAGAAGAGGAACCAAATTCCATCAAACAAGCAAGGAATAGACACAAAATACAGCTTACATACCTTATTATTTTCTCCCATGATTGTATGTATCAAATCATTGCTTGGAAGGATCAAGAACTTGACCCATGAACAAAATCACTCCACTCTTGTCTTCTCTAACCGTGAACAGGAATGGATGGTCAGCAACAAATTTAGGATTCCGCATCAAACAAAGAGGCACCATGATGGCAACAGAGACAGCTGCAGCTTCGGTTCCTTCTTCATCCACCTCAATGCAAGCTTTATGAAGAAGGCTTGACACATACAAATTGCCACCAGTTGTAGGTGAATCAACCATCTCAGTTAAATTAGCTCTGGAAGTAAACGGTGAAGTCAGCCCCATATCTTTTAAAACATCAGAAGCTTTAAACTCGGAAGCGAATTTAAACTTTGGAATCCTGAGAACATCCACTTCTATACGGTCAAGTGGAATATGGTTATCAAGAAAACCTGGTTCCGAGCCTATTTTATCAAGAAGAGCAGGTAAACCATCTTCATCGTTAGGAAGATAAATGTACATGGAGAATTGACGATGGTCCTCAACATAAGGTAGACGCAAAACTTGGAAACCGTCATAGCCTCTTAGGTACTGGTCCATGTAACTGGCCATGAAAGGGACTTTCACAGAGGTGCCATCAAGAAGATGGAAGTCGTAATCTTTTGTAAATTTTGCATCAAATTTGCTGCTCCATGCTCCTTTGAAGTACACTGCATTTGCTAGTATGAGTGTGCTGCTACGAATAGTTTCGATGGAATCACGTGAAAGAATGTTCTTGATTAGTCCATTGGTGTTGACTTCAGCCCATGTATTCACCTCATCAATCACTTCAACAGGCTTCAAAATAAGCAATCATTTCAAAAATTGGATGTAATATACTCAATAAAGAAATTAAAAACTAAAACCAACCGCTATGAAAGATCGTAAAATTTATTAAAAAGAATCATTCTTTCCTCAGATAAAATAAAACCAATTAGATTCAAAAGATCTCTATGTATTTTGGATGAGTTTCACAACCAATATTTCATTTCTATATTTTGTAAAACGTTAAAGAAAATACTAAAACAATTCTCTAACTCATGATTTGTCAAAAAAAAAAAAGATGTTAATACTAAAACTATAGATGTATTAAAACATAGATGTCAAAAACATAAATACTAAAACATAGATGTTAAAAAGTAAAGCAAGATTTGTCAAAAAGCTACCTTGTTTGCGAAGTCAACTTGACTGCAAGTAGCTTTGTATGAGTTCTCCAAAAGCTCTTTAAAAGAAGGCTTCAAAGAGACAGATCTATCGATCCATACACCATTAGCAGCAGATAAGCACAAATCACTTCTCTCGGTACTGTTGGCCATCTGAGCCAAGACTGCGTTGAGGTGATCCGTAGAAGGTGACATGATGAAAGATAGGATTTGTTCTTTGGTGATGGAGTTGGCACCGGCGGCGATGAGGCTGAGCAAAACGTTGATTGACGTCGGTGAGAAGACAAGGTTGGAGCCATTGGCGACGGTAGAGATGATTTGCTTCGTTAGTCTTACCACAGCGTCGTTTTGCTTCTCGATTGATTTTTCCAACTCCATGTTTTCTCCAGAACAAAACAAAGAGAGTTTGGTAAGAACGGTTCTAACTAGGGAGAGAGAAGTGATGAATGGTTTCAAATAAAATACAGGATTATTTGAATCAGTCATCGTCGACTCATCACCTTAACATTGCAAATCAGAATTTGTTTTGTATATATTCTTGAAGACTGATTACATAAAGCAGTATATATTATTCTTGGATAATCAGAAAGAGACATTTTAAAATTTGATTAAATAAAAAACTATTTTATAGTAATAAAGCACTGCTAGGTGTCTGATCTGTGGAAGTATCGTATCGTGGTGGAAGTAGGATGGAACGTCAGAACGTGGAACATGCTGTCCCGCATCTGGTTACATAAGAAAAAAAAACATGTCCCACAGAACAATGCAGTAGATAAATATCAACAATTTAGGATTTATTTCCGCAATTTTTTTTTGAGGTCATAAATAATTTTTTACTACAAACTCTTTTATAACAATTACAAAGACAACTACTGTATTCAACTTGCAATTCTACTTGCTGTCACAAGGATCTACAATATCCTATACGTTTTACTACCTGACTAAACCATACTTATTTTGGGTATCTAGTACACTAAGCCGTTTGGGTTTAGTAATCTTTAATTGGTTACATTTTAGGTTTACTGTTTAGATTATGAGATTATTTTAAAATCTCAGTTTGTTGTATTGTTATCACATGGTATCATTTAGGGAGTCTCATTACCTCACATAGCTGTTAGAAGTAAATTCTAAGCAGAGTCAGAGAGATTAAGAACTCTCAAGAGAAAAGGAAAAGAACAGAGTATAATGATAAATATCTCACAATCTGTTCGGTGGCAATTTACTAATGAAACAGACACGACTGACACAACACTAATAAGAATAGTTGTAACTCTTCACTTGTGACTCTTTACATAAAACTACTTTTGGAATGTATAAACTTAACAAACTTTAAAACGTTATTAAAAACTCAATTATAGTCCAACACAAACACATGAAAAGAAAAGAAAAAAAACTGTCCTTTTTCAATATCCGACAAATGAAGTATTGGCAAGAAAAAACATAAAGAAGCACTTAAGCAACATGTATTAAAGAAACAAAGAACTATTTAGGATCTCAAAGGCCGTGAGATCAAATAGTGATGGACGGATCAAGTACTTGACCAAGGAACAGAACCAGTCCACTCTTTTTTTCTTTAACTACGAAGAGAAACGGATGATCAGCCACAAAATCATCAGTCCTTGGTGCTGGCCCACATCCTCCGCATCCTGGTACGACAGTCGCGGCTACTGCTTTTGTTCCCTCTTCATCGACCTCTACTCGGCATTTGTGGAATATCTTCATCATACTCAAATCCAAACCCAACCCCTTGAGAGCTTCCGAGGCTTCAAACTCAAAAGAAAATTGAAACTTTGGAACCTTGAGTTTACAAATATCCGCCCATTCTCGTGACATATTTCCATTCCACAATTCAGGATCGGAATCAAAACTTTCCAACATAGCAGACAATCCATCTTTTTCATCGGGAAGATAGATTTCCATTGAGAAAGCACGACTATACTCACTTCCTTGGCTGTAAGGGAGCTTAAGCACTTTGAAACCATCGCACACGTAAATCTTCCTTAGAAACAAGTCTTCTTCGTTTGTCATGAAGGGCACACGCACGATAGTTCCATCAAGAAGGTGAAAGTCGTCTTCTTTGGTTAGCGACGCTTCGAATTTATCATCCCATCTTCCATTGAAGTATAATGCATTTGCAAATATGACATCAGTCAAAGCAGGAACATAAGTTGGTGGAAGAATCTCAGTGATGAGACCCTTTGTCTGCTTTTCAATCCATGAATTCACCTCCTTAGTCACTTCAGAAGCCTTCCAAAAAAAAAAAAATTATCACCGATTTGAAAAGAAATAATTTTGTTATCACCTAATTAAGCTTTGACTAGTCTCGGAGTAAGTGGAGCAGTAACAAGTATATTTTTTTTTTCATTTGAGGCATGCACAATGATCAACCATGACTGAAATCGAGGATTCTTGTTATTCAGAGAGGCATAATAATTGAAACCACAGTGCAAGAACTCAAATCCTAGTCATGTAACATAATGATCAACCATTGTTGCAATAGCGGATTCTTATTATTTAAGACAAGCATAGTGATGGACCATGATTTGTGCTCAAATTCTAGTCATGCAACGTAACCTAGTGATCAACCATGAATGAAATCGAGGATTCTTGTTGTTTAAGACAAACATTGTGACTAACCATGATTGAAACCGAGGATTCTTGATATTTAAGACATTAGACATGCAAAGTTATTGACCATGGTTAAGATCATAGTGGAATAACTCAAATCCTTGTCATCCTCATGTAACCTAAAATGAGTCATTCAAGCACTGAACCACCATGAATATGATTGCACAACAATATATTGTCTAAACAATTCTCTCTTTTTCTTAATGTAATAAAATTCTTACAAAAATAAAGAAATACCTTTGTCCTGAAGTCTACTGGATTGAAAACAGCGTTATAAGAAGTCGTTAAGAGTTCCATGAAAGAAGGGTTGAGAGGGAGATACTTATCGGCCCATACGCCATTGGCTGCCGAGATCAAAGGGCTTCCGTTTGCACTATTGTCAGCAAGTATGGTGGATAAGACATGGGAAGCGACGGCGTTAAGCTCATCGGAAGAGGAAGCATCAAGAAGAGAGACAATCTGTTCCCTGATGGCGTCTGAAGAGCTAGCGGCGATGAAGCTAAGGGCGATGTTGATTGACGCAGGAGAGAAGACGACGTTGGTGTTTTTTCCGGTTGTAGCGATCACGTGTTTGGCGAGTGCAAAGACGTCTTCGTTTTGATCCTCTATTGATTCCAGCAGGTTCATTTTTCTTTTCTTAATCGTTGTTACAGAGATGTGGCGGCGCGAGTACAAGGGAGAAAGATAGGATTGAAGATTAAAGATTTATATATATTTTCTTTTTTTTACAATTCCACACCTAATATTTTAGGTCACAGTAGAATATTGTCCAGGTGAAAATATAAACAATCCACTTTATTTTATTTTCCAATTAAAATTACAACCTATTTTGATTTCTACGTTTTTTTTGTCCACCCAATTTTGTTAAAAACCCTATTCAACTATGAACTTAAATAGAATTTAAATCCAACCACAAAGTTTTCAATAAAAAAAGTAGTTACAAAAATTAATAAAATAATTCACCAGATAATAACCAAACCGAAACAGAGTCATCATACTCACCCAAAGAAAAGAACCAAAATCAGTTCTCCAAAACACACACTTTGTTTTAATTTTTCTCTCTTTTTTCCTATATGCGTTCGATAGAAAAGAAATCTCGGATTTGAGATCCTAAATCCATCAAACCGCCATCAAAGCAACCTCTTTGTCAGTTGGCCTAGAGTGTATAACTTTTAGGTTAACTGCTTCCACCATTTCTTCTCTTTTTCTCTCCATTTGCAGCACCCGTTGTTGCTTTCTCCAAATCCGACGACACCTTCTTCGTTGCCCCAAGAGAAGTAGAAGAGGAAAGCCTCTTCTTTGGCAGTACCATCTGCGGAGGTTTCTTCTTATCAGAAACAATCTTTGTCTTTGGCAAACCTACGTTGCTTGTTGTTCCGACATTAACCTTGGATTTCAGAGCTTCCATATCACCCAAGTTTCCTGTCTTTCCCACACTAGACTTGGATTTCAAAGCTTGCGTATTACTCAAGTTTCCTGTCTTTCCCACAATAGACTTGGATTTCAATGCTTGAGTGTTACCCAAGTTTCCTGTTGTTCCCACACTGGCCTTGAGTTTCTTCACAAGTTTCACGTTACTCATTTTGCTTGTTGTTTCCACACCAACCTTGGCTTTCACAGTTTCGGTATTACCAAAGGAACTTCTGAGCGACGAAGAGCTACCAACGCTCTCGTCATCTTTGACGTTAGAGGATGATCCACCTCCGATGCTGTGCCTGCGATTAATCCCCTCGCTCTTGAAATCATTGTTTGTAGGCCATTGGATAGCTTTTTGGCTGGATGACTTTATTGTTTTAGATCTAGCAGGAGAAGTCTTGATTGAGTTTTCACGTTTGTGAGAGCTTTGGAAGGAGGCTTGATCGTCGTATGATTGAGAATCCCATGGACGGGAAGCCATCCACCGTTCAAGCCAGCTCCAACCCCAGTGTGGTGTGTTTGCGTCCATTAGTGTCTGATGTGGATGTTTTGAAGAGTTTCTCCACGTTTGCTGTTTAAAATTCAAACATAAACCTATATGAATATGCATGAATAATTTCAAAAAACGAAGTTGTAGTTAATTTTATAATATACCTGATGGCTGTAAGCATACGCCAAAGCCCTCTCTCGTCTCACAGAAGCTTCTTTCCGATTCACAACCTTTGCTTTGATCTGTTCCTTTGATTTGTTGCTGGAATCAAAATCTCCGGCAATAACCTGCACCGCAAATTCATCAACATGAAACTTTTTGGTTCACATATTTAGGGTAGTAAAGTATATGTATGTATGTTAAATACCAAATTCTGATTCTGATGGTAATCTTTTTGGTGACCCTTCTGCTCGATCAACCTGTGACGAGCTTTGTTCTCTTCAGATAACCGATTCCTCCTCTCTTGAATCTGTGTTTGCAAACGTGTAAGAGTTTGCATTGAGCTAAGCATGGCGTTCATTTGTCTCTTCACGTATTTTCCTTGCAGCAACGTTTTGAGTCTAGCCATTCCTCGGAGCATACGCAGAGTGCGTTTCGCCTGCGAAAAATCCTAGTTAGACCAATGTGGTGTCAAACGATTTCATGCATTTTGAAAATGTTTTAAAAAGTTTTTTTTTTCTTTTCTTAAACTGGCTATGTTCAGATGCCTAAGTTGTACACTAAGTAGAACGGCAAATTTCAAAATATATTGTCAAGAAACTATACAAATAAAAATCCATGATTAAAAATTTAGAGAAAATCACATAAATCTCAACATAATAAGAGGAATAATTAGATGAGGGAATGAATGATTTGTATGTATACCTTGTGACATCTGTAGGCATTTTGGATCTTGATCGCGGCAGCTTCCTCCTTTGATTCAGGAATTTGATGTGTTGAGGTCGTGGTGAGACGTACAACCTCGGCTGCAGCATGTGCAGCCACCACAGCTGCCTCGGCTGCAACAGCTGATGCAAGAGCCAGAGCTTGTCTAGTCTTTGCTTCTGTGGAATAACCATAACGTTTATTACTTGTAGATGCTGGAAGAGGAGGAGGAGGGGGTGGAGGAGAAGGTGGAGGCAACAAAGGCTGAGGAGCAAAATCCGGCAACGGAGGAGGAGGAGGAGGAAGAGACGGCCGAGTAATAGAGGAAGATGAAGGGTCAATCGGTGGAGTCTCCTCCACAGGGAATTCAATTGATTCTCTACTCTTTTGTTTTGCAAACCATTTCTTCTTATCTTTCTCCAATTTCTTGACAAAACCAAAACAAGAATCGAAGAATTATAAATCTTGATTATATATTCGTAACCGTTAATCCAAGAACTATATTCATGATAAAGAAAAATAAAATAAAAACCAACTTGTTGCTTTTTGTCTTTTCCTCCTGGAGATAAACAAGACACGGAGACACAGGTTAACCAGTTTTTTCCCATCTTTTTTTGCTTGTCTCCTGAAATTTCAGACAATCTTTCATTGAAACACTCTTACAAAAAATGAACTCAAGAAGAAGCTAAGGAGGGAGATGATATCATGTAAAGAGACCTGGTCACGATGGGCCCCACCGTTTCGTGGGAACCCAATTGACTTTTGTAACGATGGTGTTTTGTAAGAACTATTCAACAGATTTAACGATAGATACGTTATAAGTTATAACCTCTTTTTATTTTATTTTTTGTTTGTTTGTTTTCTTTTCAATTTTCTGCTTCGTTGTTCTTGCTATGTTATTTTTATCGACATATAAATATTTTTATTTATTTATTTCTGGTGTTGTAGTTTTTAGAATATACCAGCTTTTATTGTTTAACAGTATGTCTCTAAAGCTGAAAGACAAATTTAGAAAATTTGGTTTTCAGTTTTGATGATGCTAATGCTCTTTATCCATTCCACTCTGGATCCAGTTCTTCCATTTCTTTTGTTTGGTCGAGAGTTTCCGTAATCAACAAGAAATGAGTAACGAAATTAGACTAGAAAAAGCCTAATCCAAAAACTGAGAGCATACAGTAACTTTAACATGTTACCTGGACCGAAGAGGCGATTGATTGTTAAGCTACAAACATAATTACGTAAAGAACCTGGATCAAAAATTTAAAGGGAAAAAAAGAAAATAAAATGTGTCTATCCAAAAGTTAATAAGAAAAAAACATATAGGTTGATAAAACCCTTCAGTTCCATAACCAGTCCTAGATTATGACAGTTATAGCATTGTGTGTGTGGACATAATTCTATTAATTTAGTTGGAAGCCGGCAGAAGTACGTGCAAACCTCTTAATATTTTGCTGTTGATAGTTTGATCTAAGTTTATCCGAGTCAAAAATTCAAGTGGTTTAGTTCATTAAAGGCTTAACCGGAAATTGGTACAAAGAGATAGCTGAGATTAAGGGTTTGGTGAAAATTAGTATATATCTCTGTAGTTGTTGCAACTTGTAACTAACTTCTTCGTCTTCATTGTATTTTTGTCGAACTTTCGTTCTTGATCCACCTCATGTAACCATAGACGAATGATAGTGAATTGTCGAAAAACATATCTGAGACGTAGAGGTTACTCACACCGAGTATCTTCATATTTATAAAAAGGTGCTGTGTTTTCTTAATCGTTTTGTAGCTCTCGGTTTTGTTTTTTGGGGTTCATAATAACAATGGATTTCAAGTGAAGAAAAAGCATAATTATTTACGTATTGTAGTGCATCTTATTCAGGATTTAGATTGTTAAGAGTAATAAATAAGATGCCGTAACAAACTGCAAATCATTTGCTCGAGTCCGAGTGGTTCATGTTTACAGGAAGGCGAATTTTGTAGCAGATGGTCTTGCAAACTTTGCCTTCTCTTTGCCGTTAGGTTTCTGTGATTTCCCTTCTGCCCCACCTGAGATTTCAGAGTTGGTTATGGAGGATGCGAATGGCTCTGTTTAAGTTGTTTTAATAAAACTTGAGGGAGGTTTTTTACCTCCTTCCAACTACCAAAAAAAATAAAAATTGCTCTTTGTACATAGATATTTTTCAGCTGGCCACAATATTACAACAACAAAAACTCTCATAAAGCATTGTCCTTCCTATTCTCTATATAAGCAGTACCAAAACTCTCTTCTTCAATAAATGAGGAAAAATAAGCCATCTCAATTTTAAATATTTTGTAACAAAAAAGAACCAAAATATTCATTTCAAAACAGCCGGCAACCTCTTCAACATCTTGAATTCGAGCAACATTGCGGGGTACCGTGCGGTTTCATCCATGTTTAAGAGCCTATATGGTTTAAACATTCTTGACATTCAAAAACCAAAAACTCAAATGCCAAACACATGCCTGAGATTCCGATTTACAATAAATTTCTTGGTAGGTCGTCTTTAATCTTGTGTAACATTCTCTTTCTCATCTGTCTTCAACGAATATCTTGTTTATAAAGTCTCTAAACCTTCGGGAATAAAGCTTAGGATCAACAGATGAAATGGAAGTGGGATCTGCATGGAGTGACTTGTAGGCGTGCTCTAACTTTTTTGTGATATCATAGTCTTGAAGAATGTCAATTATACCGAAATAAAGGATAACTTCAACGACCTCCTTCCTCGTATTCTTTGGATTTGAGTTGTCAATGTCGTCTTCTTCCCACGACTCTTCCTCAAATCTGCTCACCTGCTCTGCTTTTGCGGGTGTGCTTTCTCCTAATCTGATTAACGGTCCGTTACTACATTTTCAAAGACATTAAAACATTATTATCACGATGAAATATATATGTATATGTATATGTATATGTTTGTGTTACTAAACTTCTAATTTGGTTCAACAGAAGTGATTCAATCCATATTTTGCATATAAATGAAATAATCTAAGACCTAGTTGTGATGATATTGTTGTATCGCTTTTTTATTTATTTAAAATTTTGTATCTCTTATTGAGTAGAGCAATTATCATATATAACACATAAATAAGTTTTCTCTTGCAGTCCAAATTTTTTTTTTTCCTTAAAACAAGATACCTAGTTTGGGTGACAGAGTCCATATTCGGAAGTGAATTGTACCCTCTCATTAATTTGTCCTCTTGTTCTCTTCGACCTGAATAAAGCAAGCAGCTCATTTCTCAATAAAATACAAAAGATAACAAAAAAAAAGTTGTTGACCAAAAAAAAAAAAACAAAAAAAAAAGTTAAATGAAAAGTAAGAATGGTTGATACCGATGCCTAAGGAACTGTCGTCACGCAAGCAAGATTCACGGAAATGGAGACCAATCAAGAGACTATAGTCCATAATCTTCTCAGCTTCAAGGAACTCACAGTCGATGTCAATTTGGTTGATAAAGGCATGAAACCATGAGGACTCGAGTCGAAACACATACTTAAGATCCAAGTCCTTGAGTGTTGTGGTCTCGTCGATTTCACCTTCATCTTTGTCAATGGTACGGCCGTGTGATGAACCTTTTAAGTCAAACCGTTTGTGTATACGATACTCGGAACAAAACAGATTGCCCATCACTATGAACCGAGTCTGTTTAATGTTTTTCACAAAAATAACAAGAAAATATGAGTTTCATTTTATCTCATCATCATTTGATTTCTGAAGAAAAAAAAAAAAACTTGTTATAGAAGACCATTTCTCGTACCTTTTGGCCTCCTACAGGTTTGACGCAATGCACGCCGAAAAACTTGGTGACCAAAGAGTTCTTGTACTTGGAAACATGCTCAAAATAACTTGGGAGCATCTTAAGCAACACCTAAGCATTACAAAGCTCAACATCTTTTTTTTGTTATCGAAAGCCATGCAAAAATCAAAAGATGATATTAGCTTTACCTTAATTTCGGATTTCTTCATGGTTTTGATCATGAAGCGTTCGTCTTGAGTCAAGTAAAAGGAGCTCCCACTCTTTCCAGGAGAAGAAAATTCCCTAAGTGATTCATTTCCGCAAATAGCCAGCATGTAGTCCGCTGGATCTATCGTGAACAACTCTCTTAGGTGCCTGTTTCACAACACAAAATCCAAAATAATGAACCGTTAGAATAAGGTAATAAATTTGTAACGTTCCAAATATTTTAAGTTTCATGGACTTCTAACCGAAGATCAACCGACCATAGTAGATTAGTCTATGTTTTTTATATATTAATCACACTTATGATGTATATAATTACCTAAACACAACCGGGCAATAGTCTTTCCATTTAAACTCGACGGATAGATGGGGAGGTGTAGACTTAGAGCCTTCTGGTGGAAACCTTGTCCACTGCTTATCCTTGGGATCAAAATCACAATGCCTAAGTTCCCTCAAAAGAGAAGCATGTTTCCCAACTGAGTACCTAATCCCAAGCTGTAGATTCAACATCAAATCATAGTTCTTATGCCCTGCCGTAACCGTGTGCCCCGGTTTCTTAACATCTCCTTCATCCAACCATCTAGGGCTTTGCTGCAAACTCATGGCACCACCACTCTCCAAAAGCAAAGGGCTTCTTGCCCACTCATTCTCTGTATCCGACTCACTCGTGTAAGGACTCAACATCGACCCGGCCTCTACATTATCACAACCGTTTGTATCCTCTAACTCCGATATACAAATCCGCGGGAAATTCGTATTCTTTGACATAGTCTCTACTGGAGAGAGCTTTTTCTGCACAATCTCATCATCTTTCTTCTTGTTCCTCCTCCCCCATCCACCAAAATTGTTGTTACTCGTCTTCTCCTCGTTCCAACTCAAAACCCCTTTTCCAACCGGAGCTCCCTTTTCCCATAGTCCTTCATAACGGTTTCCGTTAGCCCAAGTCATTGTCCCTTTCCCAAAGATAACACCGTTCTTCCACTCTCCCACATACTCATTCCCATCGCTCCACACGTAACGTCCGTTACCGTCTTGTAGGTTAGCTTTCCAGTTACCTTGATAAACGTCGCCGTTCGCATACCGCTTCTCTCCGTATCCATGCTTTCTCCCCCATAACCAGTGACCTCTGTAGGTATCGCCGTCGATTCCGATGAAAGTTCCTTCTCCGTCCATTCGACCATCCTTGAACTGTCCCTCGTAGGTTGCCCCTGACGGCCAAGAGAAACGTCCTTTCCCGCTCGCTTTGCCACGTGTCCACTCCCCTTCGTACATGCAACCATCCGACCAAAGATATTTCCCTGTCCCGTGTGGCACCCCTGCTGATAAGCCCCCGTTGTAAAGATCGCCGTTCTTCAACACTTTCTCTACTATTCTAATCTCCGCTGTCGCGTCATTCAGCTCGCAGCTGGTCGTCGGGACCACGCGACGGGAGCTCTGTTTATATCTGGTGCCCACTGAGGATTGCCCTTTGTTTAGATTCTCCTCACTGAAGAGGAATACAGCCTCTTGCATTTTTGTGTATATATATAAATCTGTGTTGCTGTTGTTACTCTAAATTTGCCGGCGACTCACCGCCGATGTTAGCAACTCTGACATTCCTCTCGTTGACTTTTATACCAGATTGGTTGTCTCTTCCAGTGAATAACATTTAGCGTTCAAACATTTGTGTTCTGTAATTTATTTAGAAAGAAAAAAATTCAAGAGTGATTAATAATGACCCTAAACTCACTTTATTATCAAAAATCTGTATGGATTTATTGTAATCAAGAGCACATAAATAAAAAATCTTGGATATATAAAGAAAATTAGTAAAATCTCTTTGGTAAAATATCTAGATAAAATTAACATAGCAAGAACATATTGAGGAAAAAACATATTGTGATGAAATCGTACCAAAGAGAATGTAAAAACTTACCCTTAGTTCATTATCTAGATTGGAATTATTGACTGGTAAATGGAAGGATCAAATGGAGTATTCAAGAACACATATCTAGACGTAATGATCATAATTAGAAAAAGAAGTTTTACCTGAAGAGGAGAAGAGAAATTGATGTATGGTCAAGCGACATGTAAAGAGTCCAGAAAATAAGCTAGTGTGTTGGAAATTAATGATGAGCCAAATTCACAAAGTTGATGAAAAACTTGAAAGCATAGAATGAAGATCGAATGAAGAATTTTATCAGAAATTTCAACGATGAAAATGTAGCCGTTAGATGCATATCTGCGATTTGTTTGACTATTTATGTAGCCGGCTACAAGACTACGTGCTGGCCTCTATCATATGATCTTTTTAAATCTTACAATATATAATTCTAAATTTTATAAATCATATTAATTATGTTTAGAATAATTAACAAGGGTTCCATAAGATTTAGTACATATTTCGAAATCATATAAGAATATGCGGTGCTTTTAGGTGGAGCTAATAGACAAGTATGTAAGATATTAAATAATGTTAATGGACGTGCTTCAAGACTACAATCTTGGTCTTACATCATGTGCCACAAGTCAGGCATTGATACTACTCTTCTCTCCGCTGGGTCACAACTCATGAACTCACAAGTTAAAACACAAGACAACGATTACTTAACCAGAATTTCATAAATTCCAAATTACAAACTAGGATTGGTTTTTGGTTAATTTAGTTCGGTTCAGGTTTTGGAAATCAGCTCTCATTTGGGATACTTTTGGTTGAGTCTCTCAACTATTTACATACCCATATATACTTACATTACACAATTGTATATATTTTGCCTCTTTATTTGTGAGAGACTATGGGTGCGATACCCTTGCTCGAGATGCTCTAATATAACCAAATATTATATCAACTGTGTTCCATTTGAAAGGTTTTGGTTTCCCTTCAAGTTCGGTTCTTTCGAGCTAGATGTGACTGCCGGTCAACACTCGACTATACTTTCCTTGGCACATGTGAACATCCCTTGACATAACTTGTTCACTACCGTTCCAATGATACTAACGAAGTCAGTCTTTTATCCGAAACAAATAGGTCCACTATCATATATACTTTTAAAATTTTACAACATTTGTTATATTTTTATTTAAAATTTCATTTATTTTCGATAAAAAATTCTTCATACTTTGTTTTTTGTAAAAAAAAGTTCCTAATCTATAATCATATAAATTAACCAAAATCGAGATTCATTGAACTAGTAGAAGCAGAAGAAAACATTCTTGTCGAAGGACGCCATTTGGTTTGTTTGAATCTTATTTGGAATCAAATGAGAGAAGAAGAAGAATAGTGTCATGTCGTGGAAGACTGGAAGGAGACTATTTCGTGCATATTTAATCATAGGAAGACTACTAAAGGTAAGTGGTAAACACTACAAGTTACGATTATGTGTCTTGTCAGAAATTTGTTCACGGGAAGACGGTTTCACCCAAATCGAGACAAATGGATCAATTTTTTTTCTTCTAATTTGTTCATGAAATACAATATAAATTAACAAATAACACTCTACTGTGTTGGCTAAGGAAATCCGAATGTTCAAGAAACTTACTCACGATCAATGGAATGATCAACCCACAAAACCCTAACCGAAGGATCCAACAGAATAAGAGTGTTTGAGCTTAGTGAAATATATGAGCTAATTAGATTTGTCCACCTAGTTTAGATTTTATGTTTAGATTTTATGATTTGAAGTTTATATTTTAGGATTTAAAGTTCTTTTCTTACATAAAATAAGTGTAGTTTAAAAATTAACATCTTAGAGAAATCGTTTTGAAAATTGACACTTCAAAATGTGTATTTTTGAAATTTCCTCCTAAAGATTTAATAACAGTTCGGTCGGAGCCACAATTTAGTTTCAAAGCATCACCTGCTTTCTATCTAAGAGTACGTATGGTATTAAAGTGGAATGCTCAAGTATCATAAATTAAAGTATCCATGCGCAGCCTCAAGCACGACCCTCCGTCCATTTCCAGCTCAAAGATGTTGTTGGTTTCTCGTAGTTATCGTATAGATATGAGAGAGAGTATTTCTGTCACGGACTACAAATCTCATTAAATTAATAAGCTGTGATAACTAACAAAAATCTGAACCCAAGTTAAACGGTAATCGGACACATTGTTTTCTCTGTATCCTTCATTTGAGTTAAAACAAGTTATCGAATCTTTCTGAAAAAAAAATGCCTAAAATCAAAGATATTTGATTTGTCGCTTTACGAAGACTACTAAACAAAACACGACGTAAACCCATTCCTCTCAACCTTTAAAAACATACCACTCCCTTTTCCACTTGCTTCAACATTTTTCTTCTCCAATGGCGCTTTCCTCTCTCAACTTCTCTTTTCTATTCTTCCTCCTTTTATCTCCTTCCATTTTCTCGTACTCTTCTCCTACTTCTCTAAACCCTAATAAAATCTCCGCAACTAGTTTCTGCAAGAACACACCATATCCAGACGCATGTTTCCACTCCTTGAAACTCTCCCTCTCCATCAACATAAGCCCCAACATTCTCTCTTTCCTCCTTCAAACACTCAAAACAGCTCTTTCCGAGGCTGGAAAACTCACTGATCTTCTTTCCGGCGTCGGAGTCTCCAAAAACCTCGTCGAAGGCCAACGTGGCTCTCTTCAAGATTGTAAAGATCTTCATCACATCACTTCTTCCTTCTTAAAACGATCACTCTCCAAGATCCAAGACGGTGCTAACGATTCACGGAAGCTTTCCGACGCTAGAACTTACCTAAGCGCCGCTCTCACCAACAAGAACACTTGCTTGGAAGGTCTTAAATCCGCCTCTGGTCCACTAAAGCCAAAGATCGTTACCTCCTTCACGACCACTTACAAACACGTAAGCAACTCTCTCTCAGCTCTTCCGAAACAGAGAAAAACCACCCGTGGGAACAAGACTAAGAACCGCCGGTTACTTGGGTTATTTCCCGATTGGGTCTCTCGGAAAGATCGCCGGTTTTTACAAGATTCTGGTGATGGTTACGATGAGTACGACCCTAGTGAGATCCTGATAGTAGCTGTCGATGGAACAGGGAATTTTACAACCATTAACGAGGCTATAAACTTTGCTCCGAATATGAGCAACGATAGGGTGCTGATATATGTAAGGGAAGGTGAGTACAACGAAAACGTTGAGATTCCGAGCTACAAGACTAACATTGTTTTGATCGGAGATGGAACCGATGTTACGTTTGTTACTGGCAACAGAAGTGTCGGTGATGGATGGACCACTTTCCGATCTGCCACTCTTGGTAATTATCTCTGACAAATTTTTTAAAAAGATCTTGTTTGACTAAATCAAAATGTAAATGCTATATTGATTGGGATATCTTGTAGATTTAGGACCATGTGTATATAATTATATATATGAAATTAGAACTGTTGTTTTCAATAATTTTAAAATTTTCCTATGAAATTCTTAAAATCAATTCGTGGGTAGGGAAAAACGTTAATAGAAAAAAAAAGAACTTTTGAACTATCAATAATTTTATTTTTATTAGTTAAGAGACTAGACATTTTATATAGTTTTTTGAGCCTTATATTGCAACTAAATTTTAAAAGCCTGTCAAAACGTGGACAAATTAAGTTCTTGGCACTAAATCAAGATTGTAATGATTCTCAAACTTGTTTTCTCACAGCGGTTTCCGGAGAAGGATTTTTGGCGAGGGATATAACAATAATGAACACAGCAGGACCAGAGAACCACCAAGCGGTTGCATTACGTGTAAACGCAGATTTTGTGGCGTTTTACCGTTGTGTAGTTGATGGTTTCCAGGACACACTATACACACATTCTTTCCGACAATTCTACCGGGAATGTGATATATATGGAACCATTGATTATATCTTTGGAAACTCGGCCGTGGTCTTCCAAGGCTGCAACATCGTTTCAAAGTTGCCTATGCCGGGACAATTCACTGTAGTTACGGCTCAGTCACGAGATAGTCCGGACGAGGACACCGGGATCTCGATGCAGAATTGTTCCATTCTTGCAACGGAAGATTTATTTAACAGCTCGAATAGGGTCAAGAGCTATTTGGGACGTCCATGGAGAAGATATTCGAGAACGGTTGTAATGGAATCTTTTATTGATGAGTTTATTGACGGCTCGGGTTGGACCAAGTGGAACGGTGTGGAAGAAACCAAGAGTCTTTATTATGGTGAGTATAATAATAACGGGCCGGGTTCTGAAACGGGTAAGCGGGTTAACTGGTCGGGTTATCACATCATGGGTTATGAAGATGCGTTTAACTTTACGGCAACTGAGTTTATCACTGGCGATGGTTGGTTAGGCAGTACTTCGTTCCCTTATGATGATGGAATTTAACACCTTTTGTTTTGTTTCAAGTGTATAGAGAGTTTCTACTTATGAAAATGTTATAACGTACTAAATAAGTATATGGTTTGAGTTTGGTGTATTTATTATATAAAGATGGCAAACAATATCTTTTTCTTTTAAAAAGTCTTGGCCGTCTTCTTGGCTTTATCTGTGAGTCTTTTCTCGTTAGAAGGTGAAACCCATGCGGGAGTGTCTTTTGAAACTTCCAACACTACACTTTAAATTAAAACAAAATGACAAGTTCTATTCTGTCAGTCACATATATACATTTATGAAGCCGGTGATCGATTAGGGATGGATACAAATCTGATACTCTCAAATTTTTTAAAGTATATATATGGATCCAATATATTCACTTTACTAGACTTTACATTGTTTTTGCAGGCATGAGGCAACAAAGTGTCACAATGCATGCTTCGTCTCACACAATATATATAGTAACTAAGAATGCCGATATAAAATTGATTAGTATTTTCTCTAAAAATAAAATAAATGGAATTATGATGCAACCACTAATTCCCGTGACAACACCATTTTTAAATGGAATTTGTCATGAGTGCGTCTCTACTATGGTGTTCACGTGATTATGAATAAGCATCTGGAAGTTTTGTATCTTCATCTTTGTTTGCGTACATCCACCTAACATCATTGTTGTTGTCGCCTCTTTGTGAGCCTGGTGATGTAACCAATATCTGATAGGCTGATGTAACATCTATGTTTTGTCTACAGGGGTGTTTCATTTTCCGTTTCGTTTATTACTACACAGGTCAACAAATTTGTGAATAGAAATATTTTTGAGGGTCTGGATTGTCTTTTCAAAGAACAAAAAAGAAAAGAAAAAGGAATGATTATTGAGAAAGTTTTCAAGAAACCAGGCTCAGAGAACATGTTGAGGTAATTCTAGCAAGAACTAAGAACAAGAGTGGGGGTAAAGGGTGTTAACATTTGAGAATGCTCTACAAGAACAAGAACAAGAACAAGAACAGAGAAAACAAGTAGAAAATGTAGGAAAAACTAAATATGTAGATTGTAGTGTGCAGTTGGATTAGGATTTTGTACTTACTCTGTCTTCCTCTTCTTGTTTTATAGCTTTCAGTCGTGTTTAACGTCTTCATTTACTATGCTTGATTATGCCAACAATTTCCATTTACTTTTTTTTTTTTTTTTTTTTTTTGACGTCAATTTCCATTTACTTCAATGTACGTATTCAACCATTTTTAGTCAAAGTATTAAATTACTTTTCTTTGAATAATTTCTAAGTCTCTTTAAATTTTGTCTCTTTTTTTTTTGGACTAGACGATTCTTGTTCACAATTCTTTAATCCAACAATATCTTAACCCATTCTAAGCCCTTTAAGAAAGCACCGAAACATAGATTCCTCCAAGTAGCTGCCAAATCAGTTGACTTCCTTTGGAGTTTTGACTCAAACCTCTCTCTCGTCCAGCAATGTATATGACTAAAAAAAAGAATGCCACATTTAGAAGACGTGAAAGTTCCTTTTCAATAAAAATAAAATTGACATCATCCCACAAAACTCTCCTGTCCAGAGCATATTTGTTCATTTGTAGAAATTGCAACAATACACAAACAAATAAAACTGAAACCAAGGAATCAAAGACAGAAGAGAGAAGGCGAAAAAGCGCCAAAAATAAAACTTAAAAAAAGATTTGATCTTCCCTTTTAACCTCCCTGCCTTAGTCGGCTTCTAAGGTAGAGGAGATTCATTTCTTTCTCTCCTAAAAAAAATTATCAAAAAATAAAATAAAAATAAAAGAAAATCCGAAACCCAAATGGCGTTTCAGGATTTTGACAAGATCCAAGAGCGTGTAAACGCTAACAGGAAACGTAAAATCAAGAAGAGGATCATCGTTGGATCGGTCTCTTTGTTGGTGGTTATTGCTGCCATGGTTGGAGGAGCTTTTGCTTATGTTGCTTATGAGAAGAAACATGAACAACAAGTGAAGAACAACAACAAAAATGACGACAGCAACCTCGATACCCCGAAGAAGAGCCAGAGCCAGAGCCAGAGCCAGACCCTGGCCCCAACAACCCCAACCCCGGAGGACCATGTTTCTGCAGCGCAATCAGTGATACCCGGTCCGGCCGATAAAATCATCGAAACTCTCTGCAGTTCAACGCTTTACAAGATAACCTGCGAGGAAGCCCTCAAGAACAGAACAGCGAAGGGTTTCGCTTTGGAAAGTCCGACGACACTTTTCACGTCTGCCATTGAAGCTGTCAATGAAAATCTTGACCGAGTTTTGGAGAAGGTATTGAGTCTCCAGAGTGAGAACCAGGATGATAAAGATGCGATAGCGCAGTGTAAGTTGCTTGTTGAAGACGCAAAAGAAGAAACTGTCGCATCGTTGAACAAGTTCAACGGCACAGAAATTACCGATTTTGCAAAGATTGTTCCGGATTTAGACTCTTGGTTAAGCGCGGTCATGTCTTACCAGGAGACATGCCTTGACGGGTTTAAGGAAGGAACCCTAAAAGCTGAAGTACAAAAGAGCGTTAATTCTTCTCAGATCCTAACCAGCAATTCCCTCGCGATGATCAAATCTTTTGACGCTAATCTCTCTCCTGTTGCAAATGTTGCAAGTCTCGCGTCACGACTTCTTCTTGATGAAATCCCGTCTTGGGTAAGCAACGATGATAGAAGAATGTTAAAGGCTGTCGATGTGAAGTCTTTGAATCCTAACACTACTGTGGCTAAAGATGGAAGTGGAAATTTCACAACCATTAATGACGCTCTCAGAGCAATGCCTGAGAAATATGAAGGAAGGTACGTATACCTAGAGCTTTTCGTAACGTGATCATTACGTCAAGTTATATTTTGTTAACTAAGTTTAGGTTTCGTTGTGATTCATATCTTTAGATACATTATCTACGTCAAACAAGGTGTTTATGACGAATCTGTGATTGTTGACAAGAAGAAGGCGAACCTAACTATGGTCGGAGATGGTTCACAGAAGACGATTGTGACCGGAAACAAAAGCCATGCAAATACAATCCGCACTTTCCTTACGGCAACGTTCGGTATAAACCCTAATTCTTTCTTTTTTTTCTCTTTTTTGTAAAATTTTCAAAATGAGATCTTATTAGAAATGCATGTAGACCACCAATACACTCATCATAAATTATTTCTGATGTTCAAATCATATAAATTTATAGTGTCATTGCACATAACTTTAAAAGTTTCTTAAAATGCTTGTTTTCCTTAATAGTTGCACAAGGAGAAGGATTCATGGCACAATCAATGGGGTTCAGGAACACTGCTGGGCCAGAAGGACATCAAGCAGTCGCAATACGTGTCCAATCTGACAAATCAATTTTCCTCAACTGCCGATTTGAGGGACATCAAGACACATTGCACGCCTACACGCACCGTCAGTACTACAGAAGTTGCGTGATACTCGGAACAGTCGACTTCATATTCGGAGACGCGGCAGCGGTTTTCCAGAACTGTAACATCTTCATCAGAAAGGGCTTACCAGGACAAATGAACACGATCACTGCTCAAGGACGTGTTGATAAGTTTCAGACGACCGGTTTTGTAGTCCACAAATGTAAAATCGCAGCAGACGAAGATCTTAAGCCTGTAAAGGAAGAGCACAAGAGTTATCTTGGACGACCGTGGAAGAAGTATTCTCGAACGGTCGTGATGGAATCTAAGATCGAGAATGTGATCGACCCGGCTGGATGGTTGAGATGGCAAGAGACAGATTTCGCGATAGATACGTTGTATTACGCGGAGTACATGAACAAAGGACCAGGTGGAGAAACAGCTTCAAGGGTCAAGTGGCCAGGATTTAAGGTCATAAGCAAGGAGGAAGCTTTGAACTATACGGTTGGGCCTTTCTTACAAGGGGATTGGATCAATGCCACAGGCTCTCCCGTTAAGTTTGGTCTTTATGATGATTGATGAGAACTTGTTGCATGCAAAGAAGATAATGTGGTGACTTGTTTTTTTTTTAAACGATTGGATGGGGAATTAAAATTTGCATCCACGGAAATTTACTTTTGAGAATCGGATACTAAAACATAGTATCAAATATTGTTTTGTGCTGAAAAATAATTTTGAAAAAAGCGTATTATATGCAATTTAGGAGAATTGGAAAATCATATTTATATTTATAAATTATTTGAAAATATTACTTTGGTTGTTCGAGCTCTAGGATGAATTTAGACAGTTATATTGTCTCTATTTGTTATAGTCTGAATAGACTATACCATGAACCAAGGATGCCCATAATGCTCAACGTTCCATTTCTGCTAGCTTTCGTTTCAGTCATGACACCAAACCCACCTTTTTGTGCTAGCTTAAATTTATCGACAAAACTTATAAAAAACCTTCATCCATGTGGTTCGACCCTTAGTTTTCTGAATTTAATTATAACAAACTTGGACAAAAGAACATTAGCACAAATTGGACATTTCATTTCCTATAGCTTCGAATAAATTGTGAGGTTCGTTCGTTTATCCTTTATGTCTTCTTTTCTTCTTGCTAAACTTATTCTTCTATTTCTTGATCTTAATTGTTCTTTATAACCTCGAGAAAACGACAAACAAATTAATTAGCATATTTTACTGTAACACGGTATTAGTTGAAGCCCCATAAAGAGACCTATCCACCTTATATGTTTTTTATCCTAAGTTCCTAACCACCTAGTATTATATAAAAATACTCAACTTGGTATGATTTTAAACATCTATCATATAGAAAGTCTCAAATATTTTGTATCGGTTTTGGTCTATCATATATCATATAGAAAGACTCAACTTGTTTGTATCGGTCTTGGTCTATCATATATATCATATAGAAAGACTCAAACATATTGACTATTCGTCACTCTATTTACTTTCTAAACTCAAAAATTTGTGTATATATATCCGGCCGGGGAAGCAAAAATGTTATGAGCTAGCTGTGAGGTTATAATATAATCTTTGGTGTTATCTCTCTTTCACTCTCTCCAATCTCTTTAATTTTCTGAAAATGGAGGTAAATTTGTTTTTATCTTTTTAATCTTGGGAATAGTTTTAAGGAATTATGGTATTTATGGTTTAATATTATCTTGCTTATAATATGAACTGCTAACTTTCCAGGCGGAGACAGTTGTGTTCAAGTTGGATGTTTCTGATGAACGACTCAAACGGAAAGCTATGGAAGCTGTCTGGAAGTTTTCAGGTACACAAACACAAATCTATGATTGTACTAAACCCAAAAAAAAAAGAAAAAAATTATGGCATGGATGTTCAGTTTATACAAAAAAAATAATACAACTAATCTATTTTGGCAAGAAGGATGAAGCAGTAATATTTGTTGTTGTTAGGAATTAATTTCGTAGACGTCAGAGAAATAGACAGACTTAAGATAACAGGAATTTTTAAGACGGCTGAAATGGGGAGTAAACTACTGAAGGTAGATAAATCTGTTGTGATCATCCACCCACCGAAAAATCACAATCCGGTTTTCTCTTCATTTTTACAGGTTCGTTTTGCAATATTCATATATATTCATTTTTTTAAGCAATGAAAAATTCCATTTTTTAATGTCATCAGAAACATCCATGATGGCAAAAATATACACGAACGCAAAAAGAAAAAAAAAATTATATACAGTATATATAACTTATGCCATGAACTGATTATGTTGCAGAATATAGAAGTATTCAAGTTTAAAGTTCTCAGTGAAAACATCTTACGGAAAGCGAACACGATTATCTGGCAGTTTCCAGGTACACCAACACACATTATATATATATATATATATGTAAAACAAGCTAAGTTGATGGCAGGGATAATAAGTTTATATGCAGAACTAAGAAATTTATCTAAATTTGTTGTTATTAGGAGTTACTTCCGTGGAGGTGAAGGGAGACCATCAACTACAAGTGATAGGAGAGTTTAATAATGTTGATATGTGGGTGAAACTAACGGAGATAGATAAATCTGTTAACATGGTAAAGGCTGGAGCAAAAGTAGAAGCGCCACCCCAAAAGAATGTGGGATATAGGAACTCTTTCTCCGCTATGTCAAGAGGCCAAGCAAAAGAGGAAACCAATAACAAACCTCTGGTGGGAGTTGCGCGTAGGCGTGAGCTTCCGCTTGAAGCTGCCGAGAGAGAATTAGCGAATAGGCGGCCAATGGGCAAAGCAAAAGAATACGAGGACTTGTTTCCCCAGAAGAAAGGAGCCTTCGGTGCACAGAATAATCGACATCTTCCAATCAAGCAGAAGCAGGAAGAAGGAGGCTTTCTTGCAAAGATGTTTGATAATAAGAAGCCACAACAGGATGGTTGGAACTTCTCTAGACGAAATGCGGAACTGCACCCTTTTATAGAGGAAAAACCGGGTAAGCTACGGATACTAGTTCAACATGGAATCAATGGTCCGGTACATAACTATTTTCTACAAAAAAAAACAAAAAGTTTTATATAAAATTAGGCCCCCATAAACGCTTTTAACGTAAGGTGGGTATTGGCTAAATTATAATTTCTTAGCTACATAAATGATAATTAGGTTTGAGCTCCATGGACTATAGACTATAGTGTGTTTTGGACTAGAATTTCATCTCATCTTCAAAAGTAGAGTTTGTCTCATTATTTGTTATATTGCTTTGGTTAACCTTAAAGACTTGTTGTTAAACCATCTGTTTCAGAGTTAGAAAAAACACAAGCGCCAACGCAAGGTACCAGCAGCTACTCAAGCACTTCGTGGAATCCCTCTCGGTCCAACCAATCAAGTAGTTTTGGGGATTCCTCTCGGTCCAACCAATCAAGTAGTTTTGGAGATTCCTCTCGGTCCAACCTATCAAGTAGTTTTGGTCATTCCTCTCGGTCCAACCAACCAAGTAATTCTGTAAATCCCTATCTATCCCTAGCCGGAATGAGTGGATCCACTACAACACAAACCCAACGAAGGAAACATTGACCGAGAAATATAGGAAAGGCAAGTCTAAGATGTGAAATTTTCTACAAAAAGAATAAAAAAATTACTCTTCTATTTGATTTCTTTTAAAGGAATCAATCTGAGGTGCTTATCGGTTTGAGCTCCATGGATACCGTATTTTTTACTATATTTTAAATCGTCTTCTAAAATAAATCATGTGTCCTTGTTTGTTATGGTGTTTATTACATGTTGGTGTCCTTGTCCTATACATCACTTTTGTTTACTTGAAGAATTAAGCAGCCATATCGTGTGTATTTTGAGTGATATCGTTTTGTTAATTGAGATTAATTAAAGATCAAGTCTTCTTGAATATACATTGTGACAGTAGTTTATATATAAATAATTGTCAGAGTGTCCTTGAGTACACCAAAGATGATTTTCCATTATAATGCTAAAAATTGTACCAAATAGAGCAATCCAAATCCATAGAGTTAATAGATTTTGGAGACATCAATAAACAATAAAGCTAAAAAATCAACGCCTGCAACTATAACAATAATGAGTATGGTCCCTAGATGGTGCTCCACAGTTGTAGCAAAAAGCCAACCCACACCTGCAAAAAAAGTGTTAAAAGATGAGAACTTTCTTAAAAGATTTCGTATCACACAAGACTAGCAAGAACAAGAAGAAGAAGATACCAGCACTTCATGTACAAACAGCCCTCAGACTTCTCAATGTAGAATTTGCAAGAAGGACATCTTCTCCAATTCTTACTCTCCGCCATTTTCTTCAGCAAGATATCATCTCTCTCTCTCTCGTTCACGCCAAGCCTCTGATACTCCTCGCACGTAACCTCCGGATGCCACTTCGTGTCGCACGCCACGCACACCATTCTATGGCAATGAGGACACTCCGACTCCGTCAGCTTCACATCTTGAACCTCGTCCAAGAACAGCAGAGCAGAACAGTCTTTGTACGGACAGTAGAATCTCTTCGACCGCATCACAACGGCTTCGCAGAGAGCATCTCCCCAGCGATCGAACACCTCTCTAGGGAGGATCATACGGCATTGCTCTGGCTCGAGCCGTCCCGTGCAGGCGGAGACAGGACAACCGATGGAGAGTAAGTTGTCTTGTAGCTTAGCCGCAATGTATTTCGAGACGCAGTCGTTGCAGTAAGCGTGAGAGCATCCGTTGATCGGAAACGACTCGATAAAGGGTTTCGATTCAACGCAAATCTCACAGTAGAATGTCGAAGGTCGTGAAGACTTACCCTTGGAGGACTGACCATTTTCGAAGAAGGTAGGGGTCGGTGGGAAACAGAGGATTCTGAGATCGTCGTCGTCGTCGTTGTATAGGTCAAGATCGATGAAGATTGGTGGAGATTCGGATTTGGTTCTTGTTTGAGAAGACTTGTGGATTCGATAGTGACGTTCCAGGTCGTAATTCTCTACGCAGATGGCGTCGCGCTTCGTGGAGCCGCGGGAGGAGAGAGGTGTGGTGAACATGAAACTGTCTCCGTCGTCTTCCACGTCTCCGGGAAGATCATTGAGATCGAAGATCGCTGCAACTGATTGCGTCGCCATTTCGTGATGATAGAGAGTGGAATCTCTTGATTAGGGTTTTATGGTGACTTTCTAGATTCTGTTTCAGTTGTGTTTGGTTTCCAAAGCGTTTCTCGTTTTTGGCTAAACCTAGTGTTCCTCGTTTAAATTCCGACACAAACTAAATAAAGTGATATTGACATTTGTCTATTCCCCGTGCAATATTATACTCTGTTTCAATTTTCAAGAACGAATATTTACTTCTCTACAGATGTAGAATCTTTATGCATGTATGCGTTGGGCCGCATCTCTGAATTTGTCAATACCGCTCAAAAGTGCATACAAACCTAAAGAGAGTTGGAGATACAAAATAGAGTATGAGAGACAACAAATGGAGAAATCAATGCTTAGATCTCTTGGGAGTCTGAGCATCGTCTAAAGAACTAACATCACCACCTTCTTTCTCCATCTTCTTTCTTGTAAGTATCTTATTGATCTTGTTAAGCTCGTTGTTCAGCTTCTGGTCGCGGTTCTGCTTCCTTGTCTTCCTACCGTCTTGCATCTTTACACCGAATTGGAACGCAGCTTTAGGCATCGCTTCCTTCTGTTCGTTATACTTTTCCCATTCCTCTTCTGTTTCAAAGTCCCATCGATGTAAACCTCCCTTTGCCTTGCCTCCCATGTCCATTTTAGACAAATCAGCTTCTTCATCGCTACCAACAATCTCATGGTTGTACTCTTGGTAACCAGGGTAACACTCTGAGTAATTCTCGGATACGAAAGTTGGATCTTTCTCTCTTGCGTCACTCTCCCTCAGCTGTTGAAGCCTTTGGTCATCACGCTTGAACACTGATCCCAGACCCCTGTCTTTCTCTTCCTGAGACATGAGCTGCGGATCTTGTAATACACCCGTTTCCGGTTGGACATCGTAACCCTCCATTCCAGGCTGAAGGTACTGCTCCTGATATTGCTCTGCGTATTGGTACTCCTGCCACTCTCCCTGATACCCAGGAGCCACTCCTTGAGTTTGCATTGCACCATATCCACTCTGAACAAACACAACCAAGAACAACACTTCAATATGGGGAACAAATTACATAACAAGAAGCAAAAATATGGAGCCGGGGATCAAGTTTCAGGTGTACTGACCATATCTTGCCATTCTTGGCCAGCAGATGGCTGAACTGGACCATAAACAGGCTCAGAAAAGTAAGGGACTTTCTCCTTATCCCTGGGAGATTCTTCCATGTCCTCAGAGATAGGACTCTGTGTCACATCTTTACCAGGAACAGTGAAGTCGACGCCATCACCAACAAATATGTCATCATCGTCTGTCCTGGGAATATCGGGTTCTTCTTTTTTAATACTCACATCCATATGGTTGAGTACAGGGGGTAACGGCGGAGGAGGAGGCAAAACTTCCATTTCATTCGTAGATTCATTCTTAACCTTGGATTGATTACTGTCTTCATCATATCCTTTAGCAAAAGTTGACGTCTTTCCTGCATTTGAAAAGTTGCAGTGAATATGATCAATGGGCAAAAGAAGATACAAAATGCATGAATGATAAGATAGCAGAGAAAAGAGCAAATGATATTTTTTAACATCAGAAACTTAAATAGCATTGTACGGTGATGTGAAACAAAATCTACCACATTAGCAAGATACGAATGATTCAAAAAGAGAAAACAGTAAAGTAATTACACTAAAACTAACGTTTTTTCCAAATTGATAACAAAGAAGCCACTAAGCGAACACAACCAGACATCATTAGACTACTAGAATGTGGTTGGAGATCAGGGATACTCTTTTACAGCCTTAGCTCCATATAGTTAAACCAGACCATTAACAACATCGGAGACCTATTTAACCAGTTTATGAGTGAATCAGGACTGCTAATACCGTGTAATAATTGTACAATGCAAGTGGAGCTAGTTTGAAGATGATCCAAAAGTATGATCTTACAAGGAAGATGCAATATACCTTTACTATCTTTATCCTTCTTTTTCTTCTTGAGAACTTTCCCCGATGATCCAAGACGAAGGTATAACATGATCTTTGCGATTCGATCTAGCACAGAACCATCAACATTGACTGTAACAGTTTCCTGTAGGAGAGATAAGACCAAAGCATTAGTCTCACAACAGTAGCTGCAGTGATCAAATTATAATTTAAATTGATGTTGAATAAGTATCACTATCTCAACGATCATTTCATATGTAACAATCACTGCATACAGTCCTAAAATATCTCCAGGATCAAGAAGATTATTGCAACAAGGACACAAGGAGTTTGAAGTATACGTACATCTGGCAATGGGCAGTCAGCTTTACTCCTATGTAACGTGGTTGGTATGTCATGTGTATAGCCACCTTCCTAAAGAACAGCAAATCAAATTACAGAGGGAGAGTTAAAATTAATATGATAGAAGAGAAGATAAAAAGGCAGACTAAGGTTAAAAAGCAATACCATATCATAGAGAAATGTCATTCGACCAGGAAGGAACATCTCATTAGACTTGATGATAGTTTGAGGCTTAACAATCCACTGATAAACTGACTGAAACAGATCAAAGACATGAGAAAGCAACATCAAGCGTGCATCCTAAAAAACTCGTTCCTCATCTGCCGAATTCTGACAAGAAATTACATACCTTTGCAGCCATGGTACGAAAAGTAACTAGTTGATCTTCCTTAGCCGAACTGTCAATGAAGAAGAAAAAATTTACACTTGAATCAATCAAACAGAGCCAAAATGAGTCAGTAACCGAAATTAATCAAAAAACGTACCTAGTCTTGCCTCTATCATCTTCAGCATCAGCTTTCTTGTCAATTTCGCTTCTCACTTTGTTCAACAGAGCCAAATCCAAACCCTTGACCAAATGGGTATGTTCAACATCACCTGTAGATCAATTCAACACAGAATTAACACCTCGAGAAAGAGAATTTGAAAACGTATCTAGATCCTAACACACGAACCTCCAAGAAACTTGCTGTTCTCAATTGCGAGCTTTACTGCATCAGCAGCACTACACAAAAAGGTACCAAAAAACCAGCAAGTTAGAGAACGAAGAGGACAAAATTTACATAAAACAGAAAAAACGAGTCTTTACCGGAGATCTCCAGCTTCGGGAGGAGCAACAGCGTGAAAGGAGCCAAGCTCCGTCGGATCATAATCAGGATTCTGATTATCCCTTCGTTCTTTCGCTCGGTCTCTGTACTTTGGATTATCGGATTCTTCTGATTTCTCCTCCCTTTGTAACAACAACAGAAAATTCGCGAATTGATTAGAGAAGAAAAAAACCCTAAATTTGAGAAAAAGGATGGAGGAGAAAGTGAAGAATTACTGACTTCCGACGAGCAGCAATCTTCCCCTTGTGATGAGATTTTGAAGAAGTCATTAGATTCGATTTCAGTTGTTGTCGATTTAGCTGAACCTGTTTTATGAATCACGCCTCTGTATTGTGTTTTCTAGGGGTTTGCAATGTCATTCGATTTGAAGAACGTTGTTGGTTCAGGTCAGGGACGACGATTAGGGACCGTCATTGGTTCGGTTCGCCGGGTTAATTCTGTTTTCGGTTATTTCGGATTTAGCAATATAAAAACCATTCCATTTTTCTTAATTTTTGGTTTGTTTTCGGTTCGGTTTTGCTCGATGTCATATGGTCTCAGGACGGATAAAAAAAAGGTAAAATAGTTTAAATGAAATTAAATTAAATTTGCAAAAAAAAATGAATTTAAATTTTGCAAAAAAATTGAATTTAAATGAATATTGTTAAATGATTTAGGATACTATAAATATTTTGGTTATTGGATTCTAAATATAACTAATATATTCAGTATAAAATTACAATTTTAGATAATTTGGTTATTTTTAAAATAAATATAACTAAATATTTTTACATATAATTATATTTCGGGTATTCATTTAACTTTCGGTTCGGTTCTGATTTTTTAGTTGTAGAAATTTAAAAATGATTTGGGTTTTGTATCGTTCGATTTGATACCTTCAAATTCGGTTAGAAATTTAAAAATGATTTGGGTTTTGTATCGTTCGATTTGATACCCTCAAATTCGGTTTGATTTGGTTCGGTTTTTTCGGTTTCAGTTTTTTTGCCCAGAATCATCTGATAAACCAATATGTGTTTTTTTATTAATAATAATGATTTTATATTAAAATTCCGCCCAACGCGCGGTATTACATTTTAATGCTTTATTAGCTTATAAAGATATTGAAATAAGGACTGAAAGACTGATGAAGATTTAATTGGCTCCCAGTGGTGCTTCAACTCCGGAGTGCTATCACCATCTGAGAAGTAAATTCCGTCGTCTCTAAGATCCCATAAAAATATCTTTCCACAAAGAGGAAGAAGACTTAGGGTGTCTGTCGGAAAGATTGAATGATACTCTCCCTGCGTCATGTTACATTCATAGAATATAGTAGGATTGGGCATAGCAGAATTGTAAGTAAAACTATATCCATCTCCGACAGTCACAGAATGTTCGCCCAAATCATCGTAATCGGATTTACAATCAACTTTGACAACATTCTGACTTTGGAAAAGTTTGTTTCGAAGAATTACAGTGTTGTTCTCACATGTATCTGCAACTACTTCACTCAACCCGGAGTACAAAATAGTAATAACAAACAGAAAAACAAAAGTGTTATTCATCCTTTTGAACCAGATGATTTAAAAAAAAAAAAAAAAAAAAAAAACTAATTCTGCTTGAGAGGGGAGAAAATACTTGTATACACTTATGCAATAAGAATTGCAAATTTATAGACTTCATCATTGGCTAGTCAATAGCAACTTCTCAAAGCAAATGTTAGCCACGGTGTTAAGTGTCATGTTAGCCAGGTTGTCTGCTATGTATCTGCTTATAGCAAATGTTAGTCAGGCTGTGTGCTCTATCCTTTTGAAGTGTCTGCTCTATCCTCTTGAAGCAAATGTCAGCCAGATTGTCAACAAATCAAGCGATGAGATTGTTTAGAAAGAAAAATAAGAGGAATTCATACTATTTGCATTAAAGCCAGCTTGATTTTCTTGACACTTCACAGTGTAGCTAATATGTATTACTAATTTTGTTTAAGTTAAAAAATCTCACAGCTTTTATTTCCATTAAAATACAAAAAGATCTCTAAAATAAAGATATTTCAATTAAATGTTCCTATATATATCTTTGTCACTACGTACCTGTACTCGGTTTTTAATAGTGTCTGATGTTAATATGTTATAGTCCACGGTCACGTATAATTAAAATATGTTTTTTTTTTTTTAAAATGGAGAGAGGAAGACTAATCTAACGCATCCGGCAAGTTAAGCTAACGTTCATATAAAGTTAAGACTTATTACATCCGTTTACTTTCATAACAAGTAAATAAGTAGTGATGAAAGATACTGAGTACTATCTGTCAATTGAATAATCAATTTCACAGAATTTTTCATTAGAAAAAAACAAAACTCCTGTTTCCACGAAGTTGCTTCCATATATTTAAATTAACAACACGTTGTCTTCATAACGTGACATATCAAACTCGTCTACATAAAAGAAACAATCAAACTTGTTTTCATATATAAAAAAATACAATCAAACTCAAGCATTAGTGTAGAGAGAGAGAGAGAGAGAGAGAGAGAGAGAGAGAAAAGAGGCATCATGGAAGAGATTCGTCGGAAAAGAGTGTTAATGGTTCCAGCGCCGTACGAAGGCCATTTACCTTCGATGATGAATTTAGCCTCGTACCTTTCTTTTAAAGGCTTTTCAATCACAATCGTTCGAACTCAATTCAACTTCAAAGACATATCTGCTAAATTCCCTCATCTCCACTTCGTTACTATCGACGACGGCTTGTCAGGATCGTCTCTCGGTCTCGTTGACTTTCTTCTCAAGCTTAACTCTGTTTGTGAACCCCTGTTGAAAGAATTTATAACCCTACATAACGATGTTGACTTTATCATCCATGATGAATTCGTCTACTTCCCTCGTCAAGTTGCAGAAGATCTGAATCTTCCGAAGATGGTCTTTAGTGCTTCTTCCGCTGCCACGTCGATCAGCAGGTGTGTGCTTATGGATCTCCAAGAAAAAGGGTTACTTCCTCCACAAGGTAACGTCTTCTTTCTCTGCTTTTATTGTTAAATAGTGTTAATTATGTTGATGTTTTTAGGGTTAATTATGTTGATGTTTTGGGTTCGTCTTACTACGACAGATGAAAGATCTCAACATGAAGAAATGGTGCCAGAGTTTCATCCCTTTCGGTACAAAGATCTACCTGTGACAGCTTATGGATCTATGGAGAGACTAATGTTACTTTACGGTAATGTAAGCAAGAGAGGCACATCTTGTGGGATAATACACAATTCTTCGGAATCAATAGAGAAAGATTTCACATCAGCTGCACAAGTCAAGTGGGGCGTTCAAATATACTCTATTGGTCCACTCCATATGACTGATTTCGCAACCTCGTGTCCGAGTTTGTTTGATGAAGAAAGAAACTGTCTTGAATGGCTTGATAAGCAACAACCAAACTCGGTGATGTACATAAGCATAGGCAGCTTGGCGATGACGAAAGAGGAAGAGTTTGTGGAGATGGCCATGGGACTCGTTCAGAGTGAACAACCCTTCTTGTGGGCGATCCGACCAGGTTCCATAACCGGGGATGAGTCCTTAGACTCACTACCGGAACAGTTCAGAGAAACGGTGACGGACGGGAGAGGATTTGTAGTGAAATGGGCCCCACAGAAAGAGGTGCTAGGGCACCAAGCAGTTGGAGGGTTTTGGAACCATTGTGGATGGAACTCAACATTGGAGAGTATAAGCTGCGGCGTACCAATGATATGCAGACCATATTCTGGTGATCAGAGGGTGAATACTCGACTTATGACACATGTTTGGCAAACCGCAATAGAGGTAGAAGGAGAATTGGACAGAGGAATTGTAGAGATGGCTGTGAGGAGGCTTATTGTGGGTCCAGAAGGTGAAGAGATGAGAAAGAGAGCCATCATACTAAAGGAGGAGGTTGAAGTCTCTATCAGAATCGGAGGCTCTTCTCGCAGTGCTTTAAACAGTTTGGTCGATTCAATCAGGTCATCATGATCTAATTGAATATGAGTCATTTAGAACCGGTTTACACTAAACCATTTTGTTATTGGTTAGATTAATGTACTGGGTATATATAGTTGTTGTAATTGTGAACTACTTTTATCACGAATTATCCGGCTTGTATGATGGAGAACACATTGGCCAAAACAATTGATGGTTCTACTTTGACATAATCTTTCAAGGCAGCCTTCTGAGTTAAGCACAGTCGAATTCTTTATTCAAGTTTTGTAAATTATGTTGTCTAATAACTTTGAATTCTTTTAGCTTTCAGATTGCTTGGTTTCAGTGACCTTGTTCACATTAAGCAAGTAGATACTTTTTGGCCTCCACAGTCCTCACTGTCCAAGTTGTTTGGTAAAATGATGCCAGTCACATTCTGCAGCTTGGAGGCCATATCAATTTGCCTAAAAAACAAGAAATAAGATAAAAGTATGATTATCACTAGTCTAGAGACCGGAAAACCCAAACTTGGAAAACCCCAAACTTGGAGAACTCCGCTCGGATATTCATAATAATAAAACGTGTACAAAACATGAACATGATCTAGATTAGTGATAATCATAATTAACATGTACATGTGCACGATTTAAACATGTACATGAGTTGTTGTAACTGTGAACAATAAGATGATAACATCAATCATAATGTTGTATTTGTGTTCTTGTTAGAAATGATACTCTAATTCAACGACCATTTAACATTTCTTCACAAAGTACAATAAAAATTAGAGAATGCAATAAAACACATACTATCTAAGTTTACAACAGTAATAATTATTATCAAGTTCGAAAGAGTTACATGTTTTTAATCACAAAGATAGGAAAATTACAACAAACCTTTATAATAAACAAAACAACAACAAAAAAGGGAAGCTCAAACTTAACTCCATATTGTACAATACTGCATCATAAAACTAGATTTTGTTTTCTTTTTCTTCATTCAAATTTAACATTAAAAATAGAAAGCTGTTCGAAATTCAGGCAAAGTAGGTTATATGGATACCAAATCACAAATGTATGATTAACGTCTCCGATGACTACTGGCTCCACCAGCTGATGAAGAGAAACTTCCATCAGACATAAAAGGCTCAGAATGCGATATAACATGCTGTTGTTGTGGCTGCTGCATCATTCCCATCTGGTTCATGTCAATGAAAGATTCTGAAACTCCCCACACTTTTACTGACTTATCCAGACTTCCACTATATACAATCCATTTTTTCTCGTTACGTTCTGATGCCTCACGATCTGCTTCTACTGCCAAACATTTTACCGGACCTGTGTGGCCAGTTAGTACTGATAGACAAGTGTGGATATTTCCATCTCTCTTCCACACACATATTGTTTTATCAGCAGATCCACTAAAGACAAGACTCCCTGCAACTTCAAGACAAAGCACAGCAAGTTTGTGTCCCTTGAGAACACCACCATAGTTTAACTGCTTCTCTCTCTCCCAAAAATTCACCAAACCGTCACTGGAACCGAAGTAAACCGCACCACCATTCTTGCTTACAGCTAAAGCTGTGACAGCACTTTCTTGCTTTGTCAGTGTTTGCACGAGTGTATGTTTTGTGTATTTTCCTTTTTGCTCACGCTTCCATGCTTTTACTGTCCCATCAGCTGATCCAGAGAAAACAATCGCTTCGGTTGTTGATACCACTGAGTTTACAGCATCATCGTGAGCTGGGATTGATTCTAGACATTTTGAATCAGAAATCCTCCACACCTTAATGGTTCGGTCCCATGAAGCAGAATACAACAACCCTTGTTCATCGTTTAGGCTTAAACATGAAACAGCATCGGCATGTTTGATCCAAAGAGCGGTGCGGTGTTTCTTCACCTCAACATAGTTTCTTGGTTTGAGAGAGGCCTTGAATATATCTTTCAAAGTGGGTAACGTTCCAGAGCGTTTGTGCAAGCTTTGGTTCTTGGGAGAGACTTTCCAGACTCGAATCTTACCGTCCTGGTGACCTGTGAAAATCTTCTCCCCTGAAATCACAATGGCCTTTACCAACCCGCTGTTGCATTTGAATGCACTAAACTCTTTTAGGCTCTTCCACACGCGTATGTTCTTGCTATCGGAACCAGTGTAAAGAAGATCTTTTGTGGCCGCTAAAGAATATATGTGACCTTCCTCACGGACAAGCGAGCCAATAAGACCATTCTGAGGTAGGTTTTCTTCAACACTAGACCATTGGGTTTGAGTAAATGGAGTTGCTTGGTTCCAAGGAGACATCATCATTGGAGAACCTTCACAACTCATTCTATCGTACATGCCCGTGCCAACGGCAGATGCGCTGCTATTGCGTATCCCGTACTCTTCTTCTGTCTGGTTGGTCATTGTGGAAGAGAGGTTTGGATCAGAATGCATCATATTGCCATATTTTGCCCTTGGAATGCTATCTGCTTCCGCGAACATTCTCACAACAATGCTATCTTCTTGTTCTCCTCCTCGGATAGTTTATATCTTTGGACTATGTGATTTGTGAGGAGAGGGAAAGAGAATCAGATTGAGATTGATGAAAGGGGTTTGTTTTTTTGTTTAAGAACGAAGGTGTAATACAAATATAGTTGTGGCAGGAGGCTATGGAGGAATGATTGGTTAAATCATTTTTAATTGTTGATGTTAAAATTCATTGGTTCACCACCCTGTCCGTCAACTTAATCTATCTTAGGAAAACTCTTGTTACTTCATCTTAAATCTTACACATTTGTTCTAAGTCCTAGCAATCTTTTACTATTTGTTTCTTCCCTAAAAATAGTTTTGTAGTTTAAGTTAGACGTTGGAAAAAATACAAAATAGATTTTTAGTTTTAAAAGAAGCAAAAGATGTTAGAGATTCAGTCAAGATATGCCTTGATACTCAATCTCTCTGTTTTAGGAATCTTCTGTAATTACCTTTGTCTAGATCCTTCCTTCACCTTGTATAAATAACGTGTGTAGCATTCTCACATTCAATATAGAAAATACATTCCTCACATGGTATCAGAGCGTTAACGATACCCTAAAATTTTTTTTTTCCTCCGCCTCCCTCCTCTCTTCTCTTCTCTTCTCAACTCTCTTCTTCTTCTTTGTCTCTTCTCTTCGCCAATATGGCTGGAGCCGCAGAAACTATTGCTGACACTACTCAATCTCTACTCCACGTTAACGTGTCCAACATCACAAAACTTACCTCCACAAACTATCTCACATGGAGCGTTCAGGTCCATGCTCTCCTTGATGGCTACGACCTTGCGAGCCACATCGATGGATCTACACTTCCACCATCTCAGACGATCACCACGGCAGAAGTCTCTACCCCCAATCCTGCCTACACCAAATGGAAGAGACAAGATCGACTCATCTTCAGTGCCCTTCTTGGTACTCTCACGCCCTCCATCCAAACCGTTGTCACCAAATCCACGTCCTCCAAGGAGATGTGGGATACCGTTGCTGCTACCTACGCAAAACCAAGCCGAGGGCACATTCAACAACTCAAACATCAGCTCAAGCAATTCAACAAAGGTGACAAAACTATTGATGAGTATGTGCAAGGCTTACAAACTCGGTTTGATCAACTTGCTCTCCTTGGCAAACCTGTCGAGCATGAAGATCAGATTGAGTTCATCCTTGAAGGCCTCCCTGACGAATACAAATCAGTGGTGGAGCAGATAGAAGGACGAGATCTTTCACCCTCCATCACGGAGGTTCATGAGAAACTTCTTACTAAGGAAGCAAAACTCATGGCTCAGACTCCTTCACCTGCAACTCCGATCACGGCGAATGTTGCTACCGGTCCGACTCGTCGGTTTCAACCACGAAACCAGCCCCGTCACAATCAAAACTGGCAGCCTCAGAACAACTACAACCGTCAGCAGTCACGACAAGACAACAACACCAACAATGGTACCACCCGTGGCTATCAAGGGAAGTGTCAGTTGTGTGGAGTTTTCGGCCACAGTGCGAGACGGTGCCCACAGTTTCCACAAAACCAAAGTGGTCCCTCCAATGCTATTCTCCCTACACCAACTCGCCCATGGCAACCACAAGCACATGTTGCGACTGCCTCGGCTCATCCCTCCCACGCTTGGCTCATGGACACCGGCGCCACTCATCATATGACGAGCGACCTCCACAACATGTCTCATCAACAACCATATACTGGGAATGATGCAGTCCTCATCGGTGATGGCTCAGGACTGTCAATCTCCCACACTGGTTCCATCTCTCTTCCCTCTTCATCTCGTTCTCTCTTGCTTAATCATGTGCTATGTGTCCCTCATATACGAAAGAATCTCATTTCTGTTTACAGACTTTGCAATGCTAACAAAGTCTCTGTTGAATTCTTTCCTGCTCACTTTCAGGTGAAGGATCTGAACTCGGGAATCCCGTTGTTGCAAGGCAATACCAAGGATGAGCTCTATGAATGGCCTGTCGCACCATCTACCTTTCAATCATTTTTTGCTTCTACAACTCAAAAACTTTCTTCTATTGATTGGCATCATCGTCTTGGCCACCCCTCTTTTGCTATACTTAAAAACATTGTTTCTCGGTTTTCTTTACCATGCACTCCATCGTCTGTAACTCAACCTTCTTTGTGTTCAGACTGTGCAATCAATAAATCTCACAAATTGCCATTTGCTCAAACCTCTATTGTTTCCTCTCGTCCCTTAGAATACATTTTTAGTGATGTGTGGAGTTCACCTATTCTCTCTATTGATAAGTATAAGTATTACCTTGTTCTTGTTGATCATTTCACCCGATATACTTGGTTTTATCCTCTCCGATTGAAATCGCAGGTCCGAGAGACATTCATCGCATTCAAGGAACTGGTGGAGAATCGCTTCAACACACGGATTGGAACTCTCTACTCCGACAATGGCGGTGAATTCGTGGCTCTCCGAGCTTTTCTCACAAGCTCTGGCATTTCTCACTTTACCTCACCACCACATACGCCGGAGCACAACGGGATCCTTCCTTCACCTTGTATAAATAACGTGTGTAACATTCTCACATTCGATATAGAAAATACATTCCTCACAAAAGAGATTTCCTGCTAAAAGAAATGCCAAGTTCCCAACAGAAAAAAAAAATGAAGTAAATAAAATAGTAGTATCCGTTGTCTAGAACTCTCAATAACCTTTTATTTTTATTAATCCATCTTATTATTAGAAGTATTACATAGAAATAGTATAACTATTAGAAAGCTTGGACAAATTTTCATACACACATGACACAACTAAACTATAAATTATAAATATCGTTAAGTGGATCCAGTATTTTTGTTATTGTTCTGGTTTCTCAGAATCCTTGTTCTCGAGGCCGGTGGGGACCTATTACACTTTTTGTGACATTCGGAACACTCTCCCGGCGATTGGAAAATACTGCAATGTGGACGGCATAATTGACTGCATATCACCTCAGATTTTGCTTCTCCAACAATCACAATTGCTGCTAGTATCAACATCATTATGCATACCATGCTCAAATTCTTCCCCATATTTTGCAACTTCTTATGTATATTTTTTCTTTGATGTTTATGAAGAGATGAGTTCTGATGAAAAACATAAGTCTCTATTTATATTGCAAAAGCAATGTATGATGCTTCATTCTAGTCAAAGTTTTGACTACTAAAGTTAATAGCGAAAAACAATTTGTGAAAAATATATGTCCGATAAGTTTTACATAATCATATTTCCTATATAAGATGATTCACATTAATTATTTTTAGAGTAATATCTATTATAATTTGACTATTCTAGAATTTACTACAAATTCCTAGTTTATCATTTTCAGTGCAAGTAATAAAAATAAAATTGTCACTCAGTCAATAGTCTTATAATGTAGGAATCAGATGAATGGCACTTTTAATTTTGACTCTTTTGTTTCCGGGTATGATTTCGTGGGTTGGTCACCATAAATCACCTACCAAAAGATGGATCGAATTTAAAAACAAATAGATTATTTTTAAATCGGTTTCATGGGTCAAACGATTACAATGTATTTCACAAATTAATATGGGCAAATTTGAAAATGAAATTATTGTAATTCGTAATGTTATCTACCTAAAAAAAAAGCCAGAATCATTTATCTAGTTATGTAAGGTCAGTTAGCACTTGGCACATATCTCTTATAAATAAATCTACACTGAACAAATTCAAATACCTGTAAAAAGCTTGAATTTTTCAGCTGCATAAAATAAGAAGACTATTGTTCTTACGGGATTCATGTTTATTATCAGAGTGTTGATCTATGCTTTATGAAGACAGTAGTTAAAACTTGATTAGTGTCGAACTAATGTGTTTAACGTCACATAATTTTCGCTAGACAGTCTTTGTTAAATATACAAATTGCACCCTAAATTCTTTTTTTTTTTTTTTTTTTTTTTTTTGGTCAACAATTGCACCCTAAATTCTAAGGTTATGAAAATGTTTTAAATATTTTGGGAACGTCTTTTAATTTCTCCGAGGGTACACTTTTCCCTTTATTTGCAATTACCCTTATTTTTAATAAGACAGTACCTTTTGCCCCATTTTCAAAGAAGCAATGGGGATTTCCTGCTAAAATAAATGCCAAGTTCCCAATAGAAAACAAAATGAAGTAAATAAATACTCCGTTGTCTAGAACTCTCAATAAGCTTTTATTTTTTATTTTATCATCTTATTATTAAAATTGTTACATAGAAATAGTATAAATATTAGAAAGCTTTGACAAAGTTTTCATACACACATGACACAACTAAACTATAAATTATAAATATCGTTAAGTGGATCCAATATCATTGTTATTGTTCTGGTTTCTCAGAATCCTTGTGCTCGAGGCCGGTGGGGACTTGTTACACTTTTCGTGACATTCGGAACACTCTCCCGCCGATGAGAAGGCTGTGCAATGTGGACGGCACAATACACTGCATTCCACCTCAGATTTTGCTTCTCCAACAATCACAATTGCTGCTAGTATCAACATCATTATGCATACCACGCTCAAATTCTTCCCCATATTTTGCAACTTATGTATATTTTTTTCTTTTATGTTTATGAAGAGATGAGTTCTGATGAAAACTTAAGTCTCTATTTATATTTAAAAAGCAATGTTATGATACCTTAATTCTAGTCAAAGTTTTGACTACTGAAGTTACTGTAGAAAGTTAATTAGCAAAAAACAATTGGTGAAAAATATATGTGGATAAGTTTTACATAATCATATTTCCTATATAAGGTGCTTCACATTAATTAGAGACATATCTATTATATTTTGACTATTCTAAAATTTACTACAAATTCCTAATTTATCATTTTTAATGCAAGTAATTTTTTTTTTGACAAAATGCAAGTAATTAAAAGCAAATTTTCACTATATGTTTGAACTTTGAACTTTGAACTTTGACTCATGACTCAGTACAACAATAGTATGATAGGAATCAGATAAATGGCGTATAGTCCACTGCCAAAATGATAAACTTTTAATTTTGACTCTTTTGTTCCCGGGGTTTTTTTTTTTATTCAGCCAATTTTTGTATCGTATCTTGTACTATTAGTTTAATAAAATTCATACTATGAGACAAAACAAACTGTATTCTTTATTAATAATGTTAGAGAAGATATTACAGAAAAAGAAAAGAAAAAGGAAAATAGTGGTTGTCTTGTTGACATGGTAAAGGGAGACTAGTGGTCAACTTGAAAAGGTAAAACCGAGCGGTGAACTTGAAAAAAAGTAAAAACTAAAAACCGAGGGGTGAAAAATGAAAAGTTAAGAGAGGATTAAAAATTGAAGCTGGGTAAAAAAATACAAATAGAGTAAAGGGATGAGAAACGTGTGTTCACAGATATTTGATAAGAAGAAGTATCCATGTGTCGTCCTCATTGGCTGTGGCAACCACACCCACCTTATCCGCAATCTCTTAAAAATAAAGCATTCCTCTTCTTCTTCTCCTTTCTTCAGTCGCTTCTTCACTTCTGTTGCATCCTTCAATATCAATCCACAGGTAATCTCTCTCTTCTTATCGTCTCCATCTCTGTTATTTCTTGATTTCTTGTTCTTGATTACTTATTGAATCGATTTTATTCAGAAAGGAATGGCGACAGCAGCTGCACCGGCGGTGATATCATGGACAAGAGCAGGAATCGTGTGCAAATCCGGACAGACGACGACACAGAGGAAGCCTGAGATGAAATTTTCTTACATCAGAGGACTGAACTCATACGGTGGTCTCAAGGCACAGAACAGCAAGGTTGTCTCCATGGGATCACCACTCTGCACAGAGCAGTGCTTCGCCAATGTTGTCATGTCTCTCAAGGGAAGAACGAGCGGTGGAGGAGCGTTGTCCACCACGTGTAACGCGGTCGGAGAGATTTTCAAGATCGCAGCGATCATGAATGCTCTTACTCTTGTTGGTGTTGCCGTTGGATTCGTTCTCCTTCGAATCGAAGCTTCTGTTGAAGAAGCCGAGTAAATAGGTTGAATCCTTTTTTTTCTTATATTATATATTTTTTGTTAATTGTTGTTGGCATAAACTTTGGATGCATTTACATTTGTTTATGAAGCTCTTTTCTTCGTAGATGATATTTGGGTTTTTAATTGATCAATAACTCTGCATCCACTGCTTTATCTGTGACATATAATCTGGTCTTTCTTCTCGTTTTTAATTTGCCAAAACAAACGCATATACCTTGTTTAAAAATAATCAAAGTCATTGTAATATAAGCTAGAAAATGGCATCAGTCTCTACCACAAATTGTATATCAAACAAGGGAAGTGCAAAAACATGAGTTGTGTACTTGTACATAGAGTAGCCTTCGATTGTTCAAAAGCAATATTAGCTTCTTCAATCTTCATACCAAAGAAATGAGTCGTTCTTAGTTAAGAGAGCTAATGGTGTCACTATGGTGCCAAAATTCTTTAAAAGAAAGATGATAATTGCCTGCCAATCCCAGAGATCCATCAATTGCTTCAAACTTGTAGGCATTCAGGTTTATGTTTTATCAGTTAACTACAAGAGGATGATTTTAAGCTACAAGAGCAAAGGTAACAAGTAACAAACTAACAACCACAAAAGCTTGAGTAAACAAATCAAGAGCAAAGGTAACAAGTAACAACCACTTAGGCCCGGCCCGGAGGATAGGCGGGCTAGGCCATTTTTTGGTTCACTAATTATGTCTTTTTTTATAAGTCACATATTTTATTTTAGACTAATTTAAAACTTATGATTTTTTTTTTAAATAACGTTTATTAGTAAATCTTATATCACATAATGTGTTCCATATATTTTCTTGTAGTAGAAATTTATCATTTACAAAATGCCACAATTATTGTTAGATTCGGACCACCAAATTTCTTGGACCAGGATTGACTGATAGTATGATGAGAAAAAAAGTTTGGAGAATTCTCCGATTAGAAGAGTGTTTTCAACCATACCAAGTTATTACAAATTTACAACAGATCTCCCTAATATACTGTATAGAGGATACGAAAATTTAAATTGATATTCTAGTGTAGTTACATTTCTTTTATATGTAATAAACTCACACGTCCTAATCTTATATATATATATATATCACTTAATTAGTGGTGGGTGTTGGTGCTATGTCAAGTTCGGCATAGATGAAGTCATAATTTGTAATCAAAGCAGTTAAGAAACCTTAAATAAGGTTAAAATATGATGGAATCATGGACACCGTAACATAGTTTTTATTATACTGGTTTTTAGTGTATCGTGGTCAATACCATCGAATACTAGATTTAGTTATTTTGCTCCCCATTGCTTTCTTTTACATAAACAATAATAAGGTTATGGTCAGTTCTAGTCGGTGACCATAACTTCAACACATGTACCGTACGGTACAACGTAAAGCTTTTTCAAAGTTACAAAAAAAAAATCATCGAAGTTAAATTCTTAATACAAAAATTTGTTGATATTTGAAAGAATCATTGCAAAAGGAAAAATAAGAAAAAAGAAAACATAATAATACAAACACAATTTGAACATGGTTGGAATATACTTTGGAATCAAATCGGGATTTAAAACAAAAAAAAACACAAAGAGACTTTCTTTTTTTTCTCTAAAAGATACAAGAGATATACAAGAAAAAAAAAACCCTTATCTTTTATGATTGGTTTAAGAACGTTTTTTAGATTCCTTTTAATTAGCTTTTCCTAACAATTATTTTAAACTTAAGGAATAAAAAATAATAATTTAAATGCAGATCGACAATAATTTATATCACAATTCAAGATAACATCACTAGATGAAACAAAAAAAAAGTGATAAGACAAGAAAATATAAGGAATGCTTGAAAAGACAACAAGAGGAAGACAAAAAGAAACTTCATTATTATTCGTATTAATAATGGAGAAGTACATTAGTCTTCATTATTACAATAAACAATCCAAACTTACAACTAACGGAGAGTTAATACTTTCGTCTTAAAAGAAATTCACTTTACTCACACAGAGAGATTAATAACACAAACTCTGTTCCTTCTCCCAGAAAGCAAACAAGTGACTTTTTATATCATCTTCTCATTTCTCTTATTTATTCCGTGTCTCGAGATTCGCTTTTCTCCTGCGAACTTCTTTTTATCATCTTCTCTTTGTCGGTTTGATTTGGAAACCTTTCTGCAACTAGAAAGAGAGAATCCTAAAGTTTTCATTTTTCACAAAAAAGGATAAGTTTTTATTAAACTATGGTGGAAACAGGTCACCATCATCAACATCCACCGGCGCCAGGTGCCGTCGGTCCTCCGCCGATATCTTCTATGGGCATGGCGGTTTCAAGAGGACCCACTTGGCCACCGGCCGAGCAACTCCATCATCTTCAGTACTGCATCCACTCTAACCCTTCATGGCGTTAGTCTCTCTCTCTCTCTCTATAGTTTCTTTATTACTATAATCCGATTCAGATGTAAATTTATAATCCTTTCAAAGTCAAAAGTTGCATGAGTCAACTTCTCTCTCTCCTTATCTGCTTATCTTTCTTGCTTTCTGGTTCTGTCTCAAAGAATATTTTAGATCTCAGAATCAGATTCCATGCTTTAATTTTTACTGTTTCCGATTATATAAAGCTTGTGTTTGGTAGTTCTGTTGTATAATTGTTCTTGAGCTATACCTTTCGATTTCAATGGTAGTACTTAGCTTCTTATAGTTGTTATTAAGCCATACTAATCGACTTCAGTGGTAATTTTAGTTTTGTATAACTGTTCTTGAGCTATATTTTCTTCTCAATGGATTCAATCAAAGAATAATATGAAATGAAATGTATGGTTGGTATGTTTAATACTTTATTTACGTGGTTGGTGAATCCAAAATGCTATTAGATTTTTCACGTGGAGGTTGCATCCATCCCTTGCAATTATTAGTCTGGATTTCAGTATGAGACCACCACATGTCCTAAATAAGACAATATTATTAGTGTATTATGACTACAAGAAATGCCCCTCTAAAGAACTTTTATAACCGATTTCATTTTTTATCTTTTTACATTCAAGAACTGATTTGTTTTCATTCAAGAAGTGATATGTTTCATTTTTATCTTCTTTGATTCCTTTCTTTACACACAGATGAGACGGTTGTACTAGCTTTCCAGCATTACATCGTGATGCTCGGGACTACTGTTTTGATTGCCAACACGCTTGTGCCTCCAATGGGTGGAGATCCTGTATGTCTTGTGTTTTGAGTTTTGTATCCACCTTTGGATTTTTTACCTATTATATGGTTCTGAAGTGGACCGTTTGGTGTTATGAATGAACAACAGGGTGATAAAGCGCGGGTAATCCAAACGATATTGTTTATGTCCGGAATAAACACGTTGCTACAGACGCTAATAGGCACAAGACTTCCCACGGTTATGGGAGTTTCGTTTGCGTATGTTCTTCCTGTCTTGTCTATCATCAGAGATTACAACGATGGTCAGTTTGATTCTGAGAAGCAGGTAATTAAAAAAAGCTCGGTTTTATTATTTCGGTACTTCATTTTCTTGTTACTTGACAATGCTTGTAATGTGTTTTTTACAGAGATTCAGGCATACTATAAGAACTGTACAAGGATCTCTAATCATTTCTTCATTCGTCAATATCATAATTGGATATGGTCAGGCATGGGGGAACTTGATAAGGTTATTATATAAACTCAAAATATAAAGAGATTTCTTGTTGAGAAGCTGATGAAAGTTCTAACGTTTTAATGATCTTTGATGTATTGAATGCAGAATCTTTAGTCCCATTATTGTTGTGCCAGTGGTAACGGTTACAAGTCTTGGCTTGTTCCTTAGAGGCTTCCCTTTGGTAACAGTTTCATCTAAAATACTATTGTTGGCAGTTTTTTAACGATTTCACTAAGTCATTATATGATGGGGTTTTAATTACAGCTTGCAAACTGTGTGGAAATTGGACTACCGATGCTGATTCTGTTGATCGTCTCACAGCAAGTCAGGGATTATTTGGCTTTTTAGCTCTATATATGATAATGACTGTTTAGTGTTTAGATATTGAAATCTGAACGTTTCTGTTAATCTTGCAGTATCTTAAAATGGTCATTCCAAGGATACATATGATACTTGAAAGATATGCTTTGCTTGTTTGTCTTGCACTCATATGGGCTTTTGCTGCTATCCTTACTGTTTCTGGCGCTTATAACAATGTTTCGGTTGCCACAAAACAAAGTTGCCGCACAGATCGTTCGTTTCTTATGTCCTCAGCTTCCTGGTAGGTTAACTACTGTTTCTTCCAAGGTGAGATGTTCTGTTTCATCGGTTGCTCATTTTCATTTTCTTGCAGGATTAGTATCCCATACCCGTTCCAGTGGGGGACTCCGATATTCAGAGCGAGTCATGTTTTCGGAATGTTTGGTGCTGCCATTGTTGCATCTGCAGAGGTACATGTTCATTGTCCTGAGATTGTTATTTATTCGTCAGTATTATTACCTTCCAGCTTGTGTTGAATATTCCTCATATTTCAGGCTACTTATGATATGTATATCCCTTTTGTTTTTAGTCTACCGGAGTGTTTTTCGCTGCATCTAGACTAGCAGGAGCGACAGCACCTCCAGCACATGTGGTCTCTCGTAGTGTCGGGCTTCAGGTTCTCTTCCCAAACACTAAGACAAGTTTTTACATCTTTTTCTTTTTCTTGTCCTCTCTTGTAATGTTCTAAGTAGTGATTTAAGCTGTAATCTTTACTTTATAGGGTATTGGTGTCCTTCTTGAAGGAATCTTTGGTTCCATTACTGGCAACACCGCGTGTGTGTAAGTTCTAAATACCTCTCCTCTCTTTATGTTCTGCTGTTTATCTTGAGAGTCAGAGCTTTAACATCATGTTTACAGAGAAAATGTCGGTCTCCTTGGACTTACACGAATAGGGAGTAGAAGAGTGATTCAGATCTCAACCGGTTTCATGATATTCTTCTCCATATTTGGTTTGTCCTTCAACACACATAATCAGTCATCTTACTAAGGTCCTCCTATTTATAGAAAGTGCTTAAACCTGTGTGTTTTGAATGATCTTCAGGAAAGTTTGGCGCCTTCTTTGCGTCTATACCGCTCCCAATCTTTGCAGGCATATACTGTATACTACTTGGAATCGTTGGTGAGTAGTATTTTGCATATGAATCTAAAAGTAAGGAGCTGCTTCTGATGTTATTTTCAATGTGCTTTTTACGCAGCTGCTGTCGGAATATCGTTTATACAGTTCTCCGACACAAATTCGATGAGAAACATATACATAATCGGTGTCTCTCTCTTCTTAAGTCTCTCTATCGCTCAGTACTTTTATTCCAACACCACAAGAGCAGGTTATGGACCTGTTAGAACTGGAGGTGGATGGGTACGTAAAGTAAAGCCTTTCAAAGATCTATTTTATAAATGTTCCTTTCTCATAATACGTTGTTGTTGTGTGACTTGTGCAGTTCAATGATATACTCAACACGATCTTTGCTTCGGCTCCATTGGTGGCGATCATTGTGGCGACCATACTAGATAACACGTTGGATCCGAGAAAGGCGGTTACCGAAAGAGGAATCTCGTGGTGGAAGCCGTTCCAGCACAGGGACGGAGATGGCAGGAACCAGGAGTTTTACAGTTTTCCCCTTAGAATGGATGGTTACTTACCGACAAGGTTCCTGTGAGAAAGAGTTACTGCTCGCTCCTGAAGGTTTACTTCTGTATGTGAAAATGTAAGATTTGTGCAGATGATATGTAGCTTTGATTGGTGGGAAAAAATTAATCTAAGGGATACAAATGAACATAATTTACTTTGATGGAGAAAGCTGTTTTGCAAACAATCATATGTGTTAAGTTACCATTCTGAGCCACTTGGCAATAAATTACAACCACTAAGCAATAAATTACAACGTTGTTTTCTGATTTCCATGTTTAGGCTATGGCTTGGGACAGTACCTGAAAAAGTGAGTGCACCGGAAGACCAAATATAACAAAAGGACAAACGTTACCATCATTTAATTTATTATATTAAGGTAAATATTATTGGTATGCTAACTAAATTAGTTACTGTGGTTTATAAAATGTTGTCGTTTGCCGTTTAATTTTTTGACCTACAGTCTCTTGTTTCTGATAGATTCCCTGTGGCTTTCACTCTCACGCTCTTGTCCTTTTTTTACAGACATTTTAGGTCTCTCTCCTGCAGGTTAATGCACTGTCCTCACCAACTCACTCATTTTTATTTCTGGAAAATTAAATTCAATGATTTTCTCAATATATAATCATTTAGACCCTTATCTCAATTAAAAAATTAATAGTAATAAGAATCATTTAGACCAATATAATTGATGTTCTAACTGAAGGGGGGTATTGGTCGGATAACTATTTTTTTTTAAAAATTCATTAATATGGTTTTTAGTCAAAAAAAAAAAAGAGAAATACACCTCTTGAGATGCAAATTTTCAAAACTACACCTATGGTGTAGAAATTTTCAAAAATACACATTTTCCTAATTTTAATATATATGTTTGGGTTCACTAATCCTAGATTAGGGTTTAGATTTTGGGGTTTAGGGTTTAGATTTAAGGGTTCAATGTTAGATTTTAGGGTTTTGGATTTATATTTTAGGGTTTAGAGCTCTTTTACTAAATGAAAAAATTGTAGTTTTGAAAATAGACACCATAGAGGTGTATTTTTGAAAATTAGCACCTCAAAAGGTGTAGTTTTGAAATTTCCCCAAAAAAAATCCAACATTTGTGAAGAAAAATACTTTTTGGTTTTTGTTTCAAATTCAGCACACCAAATTTAATTTCAAAAGTAGCACAAATTATTGTGTGGAAATTATTTGTTTACCTTAAATAATTTTAAAAAAATAACATATATGTTTAATTTTCTCCATTGTAGATTTACCCATTTTATTAGTATCTTACCTCCTTTACCCATTTTACTCTTAATTTTATTTTCTTCAATTTTTCCTAAAAAATATAAAAATCATTAGTACAAAGAGTTTCTCGAGAAGGCGAATTTGTTGTCTTTCTCAGTCCTTCCTCTTCACTATTAACTTCACTGTCTCTCCCATCTTCTGCACTTATTTGTAAACAATGGCGTCAATGCCATTGTACTGGCAACCACCACCAGCTACAGAGCTCCCACTACACTCTTCCTCCACTTCTGCCTCCGGCCATTCCACCATCGGCCCATTCATCGCCGTCCTCATCCTTGTCATCGTTCTCTGCATTCTCGCCAGCGTTCTTGGACGGCTTTGCTCTGGCAAAACCATCTTAGGCTACGGTGACTACGATATGGAGAGATGGGCAGAGAGTAGATGCTCTTCTTGTATCGACGGCCACATCCTTCCTCACCGACCGTCTCCGTCGCCTCCTCCTCGGCCTGAGGGACACGCGGCAGATCCAGATGAGACTGATGGTGAGAGACAAGATTCTCTAGATCATCATGAGCCTCCACCACAGACATCATCGTCATCGTCTGCTCATTATTGATAAGTTGATTCTTTTTGGTGTGTTGGTTAAAAGATCTTGTTAGCCATTAGCCAATTGAAATGAAAATCACGGGTTCGATCCCAAAGTGGTCAAAGTTATTGAGAATAGCGCTTTCAATTTCTTTTCTTTTTCTTTTGGTCTTTTTATCTTTTAGTATATGTGATTTTTCTCATAAATTAGGAGAAAATAAAATTCAGAAGAAAAAAAGTGATGAAGGGACACATATACGAAGGGAATAATACAGAAGGAGCATGCGTAAAGTGCTTTTGTCATTGATTCTTATTCGTTGAAGCACCAAAATAACCCATGAAACCATCCATAAACTTTGTCTTTTATAAACTATTTTGCATCAAATGTGAAATCATTTACCCTTACTTTCAAAAAAGGAAGAAATGAAACCAACCGTAGTCTTAGTAGATGGTTGTAAAAAGGAGATGCAAAAAATTATTCGTCTTATATGTTTAGCTGATACTACTATACTGGTTCTAGGCAAAGTCCAAATAAATAATTTAAATTATCATAGAAACTCAAGAATTAACCAAGTAATAAATTAACAATCAAAGTTGTTAGTAAATATACTTAACCATCTCTTCAAAACATTATGAGAACACGAGGACACTTCTATTGTCTTTGGACTAGGTTGCGGTTCCATTCCGTTTATCAAATGACGTATATGTATTATTATTATCTTCTTTGATGGCCGCATCAATCCACACTATTTCTTCCTTTCACTTTAAGGCAGAACCAAATCAATATCTTTAATTAGTTCGATGTTTTATTTGTAAAAAGATGGACACTCGCAAAATTTGTGTCACACTAATGCAAACAGCAAAAAAAAGCAATGTGCACACGAAATAAGAAACTGAAATGATTATGTTCATTTTTACAAGCTTGCGAAACACATCAACCACACAAGAGAGAAGAAGTGACACATTCATTGAGATCATATAACTGAACAAACAAATAAATCTTTACTGGTTTTGTCTTTGAAAAATTAATCAACACATTATTAGATTATACTTTAGAAGGCGAATCTTCCTATTTGCATGTAAGGCAAAAAAGTCTTCTTCTTCAAATCTTTCGTTTCTGCTTTCTTTGCCATGTAATGGAACTCATGAGCGGAGATGGATGATGATGATGATCCTTTTCCCCGCGAACTCGAGTTCTTGGTGTCTTCTTGTTTCCTAAACAAACCAGAAAACGTCCTTACAGAATCTTTGTTGTGCCTTGCTCTTCCTTCTGATACACTTCGGAACAGAAGAAAATCCTTTAGCCTCCATTTCTTTGAGGAAGATGACTTGCAAGACACGCAAGTTGATGTAGACGAAATAGAAGAAGACAAGGACACTTTCCTCTGTTCTTGTACCTCTCTCTGTTCTTGTTCTTGCTCTTCCCATGGATAAGCCGAAACCCTAAAAGGAGAAAGCGATCGAGCGGCTCTACGACTCGAATTCTGACGTCTATCTCTCCCTCTCTCCTCTCCTACGCCATTGCGAGCATTGTCTATAGCGACTTCAAAAGGATCCACGTCGACTGGTTTCTTTCTTGGCGAAAAAGCTTTGCGGAGAATGTCCTTACCATGAGCAATAGGTGATCTTGGAGATCTCGGAGAAGAAACTGGAGGCGAGAAGCTGTTGGTGAACTTATGATGATCATCTAATTGGAAATACGGAGGAGGAGGCTTCAAGGGTTTGATCTTGCCTCCATCAAAAAGCTCTTCAGCGAAAAGCGACGTCGTTTCGAATTGCTCACCGATCTCGAAGGCGAAATCATCGACAGTATCTTCTTCAACGTCGTTATTGATCTTCCTGGGAGTTCCTGGAGTCTCTTCCCAGTCAAAAGGAATCGTGAGACGGTCGGAGAAGTTTCTTGTTGCGTCGAACTCTCTGTACAACTCTGTGATTCTTCGTGGGCTTGTTGGTGCACTTAAGAAGCAGCCAGAGAAGTGTCTCGGTGAAGATGGAGCAGTCAAACTCATCACTTCCATCTTTTTTTGTTTTTCTCTCTGTCTGAAGATTGTAGGAGATCAAGATGGTGGCAAAGAGGAATGAGAAGAAGGGAACTAAAAAGGATCAAGGAAGGCGAGAGGAAAGACAGAGCTTAGACCGTTTTAGTTGACCAAACAAATGATTTTAAAAAACAACATTTGGCTGTATGTGGAGTAATTGCAAAAGAAAACCAATATTTTCATTATCTTTTACGTAATGTATTGTAGTTTTATATTACATCTATTCAAAGGGATAATCCAATTTTGAAATGTTGAATAATTTTCTCTGAATGACAATATCATCTTCTAGAATTAGACATGTGTTATGCATTTAGATTTTGATTTTTCTAATTCTCAAAAATTATATTCCTTTAGAAAAACACTTTTATCTCTTTAGTTAATGTTAAAATACCTTATGTAATAGATTTTATGACAAACATGCTCATAGCTTATATATTTAAGCTTATAGCATTTAATTTTAGACTATCCACGAAGCTTAATTATTTATTGTACAATAGAAAATAAACAATACTATCGATCGATTGTCTACATCAGTAGGTGGAAAGTCGTATGTTAAGACACTTGTATTAAGTTATTAACGAATCAAATAAACCTGTGTTGAGAATTAGAACCAACTACATTGATTTCTTGGAAATATTCTGACTAATAATAATACTAAACGAATAACGTAATGGACTAATGGCCGCCTTTCATTACTTTTCAGTCCGCATGTGTCTGAAATTAAATTATTTAAACTAAAAGAGTGGAATATCATGATGATTGATGACCCACTGCATTTTTAAATTAGCAAGCAAATTAGAAGTCGGCATTGACCACATGCTGATAAATCTCAAATCTCTGGTTGTTGTGCCTCTCGCAAACATACTACACATCATGGGGCCAATTCTGCTCGTGGTCCTAATAAATAATCTAGTTCAGTTTGTTTAAAGTGTCACCAAACAGCAGGACTTTTTGTGTTCTGCATAAGATTGATTTCACACGAGCCATCACGACAGTGGATACGGGAACCGTTTCCACAAATATTACATTTTGTTTCATCTTCATTTGTTGACTGAAAACCAAGCTCAGAGAGTTCTTTCAAGAACATCACTAAAATCTATCAAGTCCCCAGCGAGTGCAAAATTATATTGTTGACATGTTGGAACATTTTCTTTTGTGGTTTTACAATTTTACAAAAAGTGCAGAAAAAAACACAAATAAAAGCCTATTGATAGAATTAGTCTATTTGATAGCATTAGTCTATTAGATGGGTATTATATCATAAATTGTGATGATGAAACTGAAAATGACAATTCCTGATCAGTTACATTTACATGAAATGGAGAGTATTTTCATGTGTTAAATCGTTAATTATGTTAGTATTCAAAAAGTATATATACTTTGTCCTACAAAAGCTATCCGAGATTAAGAGGGCTTGAGGATTTATTAACACCATCACTTGGTTTCTTTTTTCTCGACTTCTAAATTACAAGCATTCTCCCAAAATTCACAATTTACGAGAGTGTGGAACAAGTTACTTGAATCTGTGTAATCCTTCGTGAGCGGCTAGAGCTTCCCTGATGCTCTCGACCCACCTGCCACACACACACACACACACACACAAGCCCGCAGAAATTTTAGGTGACGATAGGACTAAACTTGCTCGGTTATGTGACAAGAAGACTCAATTCAGAGACTAGTTTGACATGTTCCAACATACGAAGAGATCAAGATTTTACCCTTCAAGTCCAGGTTGATCAGGATGGTACACGTTTTTCAACCCTTGTCGTCTTGCAGCTGAAGCAGTTGTCTCTCCTATACACGCAACATAGTTACTCCATTGCTCTGAATTTTGAATCAGACTCAACCAGGCCCTGTCAAAATATACAAGTCAATGATGGACCAAACCCATTAGACAATAACATACAGAAGATGAGTTGCAATAGTATGACACTTAAATGGCGCTTACCGGACCGCAGAAGGTGAAGCTACAGAGAGAACAGGCGCAGACAATGCCTGTTGCAGGAGCATCGCATCAACACTCTGCACAGGAACCTAACAAACAAGATTGCAAAAATCTGACCGATATCTTCAAATAAAGCACATACCAAGCACTGAAAAGCGAAAACACATGAACATAATGTCTAGTAAGTGTAGAAACAGCTTACTGTTGTGTATGTATTGAGCCTCAGAACTTCAAACCCTCGTCTGGACAATCCTTCCTCTAAGAAGCAGAGTAAGCTTTTCAGTCATGGACTTTCAAATCTACCAAATGATATGAGAATAAACTAATTTTATTGTTATCTATTTCCAGTTACGTTGCTGGTCAACATAGAATTATTAGTGCCAACAATCTACATGCAAAATATACAATCGTTTTCAACATTTGCAATCATAACACCACTAGTCCTAATAGTTTTAATGTATACGGATAACACAATAAGCTCAAATGCTCAGCTGAATTGAGAAAACTTAAACTTCACATACCAATCTCATTACTTGCTTTTTGAGAAGCTGGGTACAAGACAGAGGATCTTCTGCCAACATTCTCTGGAAGCTCTGAAGCCAAGAGTTTACCAGTTGCTGAAAGAATCAAAACAGATATAGTGAACCAGCCAAGTGTGTGTAGGTATTGAAGGTGCAAAGATTGCATATAAAAAGACTAACACAAGAGTGAATAATTATTGAGTCTAAATAGACAGTTAGGGAACCTTTTGATGGTGTAAAGGCAACATGAAGCAATCCCGCTGCCGATTGCATTGCCTCTTCAAACACGCGGGCTGTTCCACCTCCCACAACACCTACTTTCACTTCTGGGGAGCTAGCTACCCTAAGGAAATAGTGAGAACAAATGTTCAAACTTTGAGAGACGACAGAAAATTTCCACGGATTCTTATGTAAACATTGTCATTTACAGTCTCATTGCCTAACAATAACTAACTCAAAGAGTGCACTCACTAACAACACATGGCGTATTGACAAACTTTGTTCAGAGTGGTTTAGTACAGAAATCTCTAAAGCTAGACAACACATTACAGAAGCAAGAACAGAGGACTTACTTCCAGGCCTCGAGAAAGACAGAAGCTGCTTCTGGAGATGTTATAATGATCCAGTCAAAGCACTTATCTAGCAAAATAAGATGAAAAATACATATCAGAATGCCAAAAATCAGCAATATTGAATATTTGAGTAAACATATGCGTTCAAAATCATCTTTATTAACAATGAGGTAGCGATAAAGATGGAGCAAGAGTTTCTCCATCATCGTGAATAATGCAAAATGTGTAGTACCAAAACCCATAAGGGTAATGAGATCTGAGAGATAAATAAGAAATCACCAGTTAATACAGAAGAAAGCCGATCGAAATCAGGTCCACGAGAATGTTGGATCAGAGGAAGCTCTAAAGATGATATCCCATGTTTCTCCTGCAATTTTACCCAGAGAAATGTTCTATTAGCTAGTCTCCGATCGGATTTTTCAGAACAATTTCACAAAAATCAAAAAATTTCATGATCCTGAAACTAAATTACTGAACATGTGTCAAATTTGAAACAAAGTGATTCGATTGCATACCAAGGCTTTGATAATTTGTTTGTTCTTGCCTCGTTCTCGGGTAACGACCACCTGCGGAATCAAATTGGAGGTAGAAGACGATGGAACCGAGGAAGAAGATGAAGAGACAGACGGGGAAATTGAAGCGAAAACTCCTCTTTTCAGACATTGGACTTGTGAGGAAGGAGAAGAAAAGGGAGATTGAAGAGATAAGAGAGAGGAGGGAAACAGAAGCGACGCCATTAAAAAGGTTCTGTAGTAAAATGGGCAAGTGAGAGAGAGATGTCGGATCTAGTCGAGGGTTTATACAATTTAGCAATTTTTAGATTTATAACTTAAAAATTAAAAACTACTGTATAAGATACTGTTGCAAAGCTACAAAACAAAGACATTCGTACAAAAAAAAAAAAAAAAAAACAAACGACATAAATAACTGATGTTTAACGAGAATGTTGGTACTTGGTAAAGCAAAGTGCCCGTATTGCAATCTGATTTTTGGAACACGGGGAAAGAGAAGCCTTAAGTTCCTACTTAACACGAGAAATAGAAGCTGATTCTGATGCTTTTGTTTTTTTTTTAATAGCGATATTCTGATACACATCAATGCGCTTTGAATCAGATTGTTTAAAGCTGGTCAAGCTAATTGAGAAAGAAGAAGAATGGCCTCGTTGGCTTCGGAATTAGAAGATTTTCATCGTACACGTATCACATCACGTTTGTTTCTTTCTCCCTTGTGTTTTATTCCTCGTGTTGAAAATGTCCGTGCCGATGCTCTCTCTAAAGAAGCTCGAGCACGGGATCGTTCCTTTTCCCATGTAAACTACGCTACACTGAGAGGGTTGGCCTTTTCTGCTAACCCACACGGCACATCTTAATAATACATGGAGATCTCGATGTAAAAAAAAAAAAAAGTTCTGATGCTTTTTTTATGATAGTGTGGTGGGAATTTATCACACTATTGATGATACATTGAAATGAAATCAACATATATCTTCGCCCTACTCCACTTATAATGGTTAATCTTTACGAAATATCGTTTTCAACATAATGTGTTTTCCGTCTTTTGAACAATGGAACTTTGTCAAACATTACGATGGAATAATTTACTAAATTGTTATTATTTACAGTGCCGTGCGAAGGTTAACCGGGACTCATGGCAAACTTAAAAAATTGGGCCTTTGTAATATAATTAATTTCACCCGGTTTGGTTTTGTAATTTCATTTTCCTTTGTGAAAAAACAAAAAACAAAGAAAATAAAAAAAAAAGTGTACAGCTAGATTCGAACTCGGGTGCTGCCAGGTCAAATAACATGTTAAAGCCACTACACTATTATAAGTTTATTGAAACTGGGGGCCTCTTTAAATATATATATTTTGGGGGCTCAGTGCAAATGCACTTTTTTTGATACATGGAGCACGGTTATTTAGCTCGATAAAAAGAAAATTAGTTAATTCTTACTTTCCATATACATTCAACTTCTCAATGTTCAAGTCTCCTCCTTCGAGTGTTCTTTCGAGGTCTATAGTTGTCATATGTGAGACGGTCTAATAGATGAAATTTATCCCAAAGAATGACAAATTGACAATTGACGAATATTATAAACATTTAACGTATCGATATGATTGACTTAAAACAAAAAGTATGCATACTCTGGTTTCCTTCTTACGTGGGAACAAAGATAGATTGGTTGTCTGCTTAGCTTAGCTTAGTAGATAAATGAGTATCTTATGTTTATCTGAAACGTGATGCGAGAAGCTAAGAGGTGTCCCGATGTATTACATCATTATTATTCTAATATATGTGGGAAGAAGACCAAACATTCTAGCATTTCTTATCAACTTTATTCAAATGATACAAGTAACCACAATGGGCTGAAACCTTTATTTAAATACAAACCAAACTTTTTTCTTTGATAAATAAATAAAAAAACACCAAACGTGCATTAGTGAAACAAACTAATCGTCGATAGACAACAATAGATGAGATAAAATAAAATAATGAGCTCTTCAATTCCTATTTGGCGCTTTTCCATGAGGTGATCGCAAGTCTCTGATCTTCTTTTCTTTCGAAAGTATTCCAGCTAACCTTCACAGCCAAAATGTAAATATATTAACAAAAAGCTTTTAACTCACGTAAATATCAAATGCAAGTTTTTTTTTTGGGGGTCACATACTTGATAAGAGCCTTCTCATTGGTCACTTCATAAGCATTTTCGTTGCAACCCGAATCAAGGTTGACTCTTGAAACAGGTTTCTTGAGTAGCTCATCTCCTGTCTTTACAAGAACGTCTAGATTCTCAAGGGTAGAGATATCAACAGAAGCTGCATCCCCATTTAATGTGTCATCCTATATAATTGAAACTCATTCATTAAAAATCATGCCACGACGAACAGGGAAATGCTTAGGCTAATGAACTTATTTTGGTACCTGGATGCGGATATAGTTGGCTTCAGAATGAAGAGCTCGAAAAACAGAAGAGAGATGAAAATCAACCATATCGGAGCTAGCTTGCATGAAAGCATCAATGAGAGGTGTAGAGTTGTCGTGTGTTAACCAACTCAACATTCCCCAACCAGCTACTTCTTGTGCATTGAATTTCTCTTCGGCTTTATGGTTTCCGGTTCCAAGGGAAAGCACAAGAAACCTTCCGTAATCATTTGGTCTTATCGGGAAAAAGTCACTGCTGCCTCTTACTATCTCGTTTGTCACCTCTCCAATGGCCACCAAAGCCTATACTTGACATATAACCATTATATGATATGAATTATTAAATTTCTTTACTAAAAATAAAATAAAATACAGGCCCGGATTTTTTGTTTTTTTCTAGATTGTGCGTTCATGTTATAAAATGATATATATAATGTTATAATATGAAAAATTGAAAATATAGTAGCAAACATAACACAAACTAACAATAGGCCATGATTCATGACGTGCTAGATTAATCTCATAGGTCAATCCATTAAGTTAAGTTTCTATTAGATATAGTCCATATATGTTGATATCTATCATATAGAAACCCAACTACGACAATAATTTAATAACTGGTTATTTACCGGGTTGTTAGCTGCAACTCCACCATCGATAAGATTGTACTCTTTGACATTTCCGGCTGAATCTTCAGTTTTGAAGAAATGGGCAGGCAAGTATGTAGGGGCTGCTGAAGTTGAGATGGCAATGTCAGCGAGGGTTGCGTTCTTGAGAGGATTGTTTTTTACCTACAAGAAAGTCATCTAAATCATATCAAAATGTCTAAGAAGTTGGATATGTCATAACTTCTTATAGACACACAAGAAAGTTAGGCAAACCTCGTAGCTACTGAATATAGTAGGTTGAAGATGCTTGATATCGAAAGTTGGGATGACAACATTGGTAAGTGTTTGATTCAACCTTATATCACCCAACTTGTCTTGGATAAGTTGATGAAGGTATTCACCGTCATATTTAGGACCAGTCAAGGACTTCACCAAGTTTTTGGCGGCCGAGAATGGGAAATGATCTTGAGGAAAGATTTTTGGACAGTGCTCAAGATAGAAATCTTTAAGCTCAGAGGCTGCAAATAAGGGTCGGCCTTCCTTGTTAGGAGCTGTGAGCATGGCTGTAACTAGACCACCGGTGCTTGTTCCTGCCACCACATCAAAGTAGTCTGCAAGCCTTGCTTCTTCTCCGTCCAATTTCTGTGATATAGAGTCAAAACATATTAATTAGAATTCATAGATAAAACAAAACAGAAATACTTGTTTTTGATATAATATATGGTTAGTAGCAAATATACACCTGAAGTTCAGATTCAAGGAAAGCAAGGATAGCGGCAGGGATTAAACCTCTAATGCCACCACCATCGATGCTGAGGATTGTGACTAAGTTTCCATAGGTTGGGGGTTGAAGAGGTGATTTGGGGCTCTCCATTTATATCTTACAAAAAGAATGTATAGGTACTTTGAGAAGATATAGCTAGCTTTTATTTTTAGGTATTATGATGGGATTTTGATTGTGAGATATCATGAGGAACTAATAAGGTCTATGTATTTATAGGGCACAAGAGGCTGCTGTTCCCAAGTTCGACTATGTCTTCATTCTTAGGATATTCACTCGTCAAATTAACTTGTAGATTAGTCCGTTTGAAACTCCAATCTTATTGGTTCTTAATTTCTTGCTTCATAAACAAGATGGACTTTTCGTGAACGTCTTTTCTTCTTTGGCCTTGAGACCATGTCAACCCATTTATAGCCAAACTAAAATGTCTTTTTTTTTTGTCAAAAGAAATAAAACTTTCCAAAGTTTCGGATTTTGTTGGTGTTTGGGAATCACTTGTGTTAGAATTTTAAGTTTTGTTTTCGTGAGTACTAATAGTAATAGGTATCAAATCCTGATCACGAGCATACATGTCTGGAGCATTCTACTAGTCACCAGGCGCTAAGATATATGAAGTCTTGTGTTGTAATATATTTGGTAAATATACTTCCATAGTGAATGATTATAAACAACGAGAGTATGGTATGGTCAATCTATCGGTCAGAGAAGTTACGTCTTTATGATGGGGTAACGACAGCTGAGTCACCGGAGTTTTGAAAATATCAAACGCGGCGACAAATAGAAAATTACAAAATATGTCTTTTATGACAAAGTAAAAGTCTTTACGGTTGTAGCCGCCACTCATTACTCCCCCATTATTTCAACTTCCTTACGTACGTCGACCGAAAGGAGTATATATTAGTATATTACTGCTGTATACATTAGTGCTTATTTTCTTCCTAATATATGCACCGGATGGTATTTTAATTACGATTTTAACTTTTTTTTTAGTCATTGGAGGTAACTGTCTTATTAATATGCATTGACAGAATATGTTGAAAATGTCTGTGAAATGGAAGTCATGTTAAATTTCCTACTTTTTTTTTTTTAACTTATTGGAGGTAACTGTCTTATTAATATGCATTGACAGAATATGTTGAAAATGTCTGCGAAATGGAGGTCATGTCAAATTTCCTACTTTTTAAAAATCATTGGAGGTATAGTGGCTTATTAATATGCATTGACATAATATGTTGCGAGAAGGTTATATGACTTGAGTTGGTGGAATCAGAAACTAGTTGCTATATGTCCTTAAATGCTAGGATCAATTTAAATGGAGAGTCTAATATAGTAGAAGAGGTTTCCAAAAACAAAAGAAGCAGAGAAGACTGTTTTTTGAGGCATCAGTTTCTAGAAAGCTCAAGTCAGTGACAGCCTGACACGTCAGTGAGAAGTTTTGAGTTCTTACTAAAAGATATGGCCTCCACACGTACTCAAGCTGGTTTAATATTGTAAATCTTGGATTTTTTTTTTTTTTTTTTTTTTAAGGTACTTTTATTCATAAATTTCCTTCCCGTTAGGGATACAAAGCAAAAGGGAGATTACATTAAAAATACCCAAAAAGCAGCAAAACAGCAGCAACAGCAAAAAAGATACACAAGGGATTAAGTTTGGATTTTGTGTTATGATAAAACTATCTTCAAATTTTTGTGATACTCTTTAGCACCAAGGAACATGGTATGAATTATTAAAGGTTCACATACATGCTGAAAATCAGTTTCTCTATATGGACAATGCTATGTCATAAGCACAAAAAGGTGTTTGAGCATGATTGTAAATTTGTAATATGTCATGGATTCCATTTTCATAGCAACTTATTAGGAAAGAAAAAAAAAAACATATGCAATGTACATTTTGATTAAAGAAAAAAATCATCTAGTCACCTGCAAAGATTGAGTCTAGCCTCTCTGGCTCTCTCTATTGCCAGCCTTTGCTTATCTAAATTTAACCGAAACCACTTGCCAGATTTTGTTGTTTAGGTCACGTAGTTTGGTTTTGGTTTATCTACTTTTAAACGTGGACCAATGGACACGTCAAGAGCCACTAATTTCTCTTTATTTAAAAGTAATATTTAAATAACAAAAAAAAAAGAAAAACAGAAACAAACAAACTGAAAATCATGAGAATGACAGATGGATGAAGAAGATGAGGATGAGACACAGAGCTTCATGATTTGTCTCCGCCACCGCGATTATCTCTTCCTAATTTCCGAATTCTAAAATCAGTTCTCCTACCTCTGTGGCTCTGTCTGAAATCTTTGTGACAAGAATCAATTAACATCTTCTACCTACCTCCGATCATCATCGTAAGACCTTTTTTTCCTTTTCCTCCGCTCTCTGTTAAATCATCTTGATGTCGCTTTTGTCTTTTGTCGGTCGGCTCAATCAAGCTTCTTCTTTTCTGGGTTTCGATGTTTCAGTTTTCGTAACTCTGTTTTTTTTCTTCAGCTGAATATTCAGAAATTGTTGATTTCATCCTGGATTGTCGATCGTATACTTATTGTTCGTCTCAGAGAAATTCGGAATTTTTTGTCTTAATTCCTTGATTATCATTGTTGGTAGGTAGATGTACAGACAAAAAAGATATATCTTGTTCGAATTTTTTTTATTAAATTCTGTAATTGGTAATTATTAGATTCCTGATTCATCCGAAACAGAGATGAAAATCGGATGATCCTGATGAGAGAGTATGTGTTAGCTTATATTCCATTCTTGAATTGCTTCACTGTAACTCGATTTTGATCTTCAATTTTCTAAGTTAGTGAACTCATGCTGCTTCTAAGCGTTTTGCATGTTCACACTCTTTTTGTTTGGTAGTAATTTCAGGTTACAGGCTAATGGCAGAGTCAAAAACTACTGAAGTTGAAACCCCTCCAGAAGAGCCATCCAAGGCTACTACAAACGCAGATGTTGTTACTGATACTGCTACAACACTAAATCCTGAGCTAACACAATCCAAAGATGTTGCACAATCTCAAACAGATGGCTCAAGTGACAATGCCAAAACAGATGCTGCTGCTTCTGATGCAGCAGCTTCTGTGGGGTTAACCGAGAAAGAGAACATTAACACAACAATCACTCAAGAAGCAGCAAAGCCAAATGAAGTTACAAGTGAGATTGGTTTACCTCGTGTAAAGATCACAGAAGCCACTGTAGGGACAACAAGGAATGGTGGGTCACCTAAAGTGCTCTCGTCTCCAAGATCCTCAGGATCACCGGTGAGCACTGGAACGCCGAAAAACATGGACTCGCACAAAGGTTTAATCGACACCGCAGCGCCGTTTGAGTCAGTTAAAGAAGCTGTTTCGAAATTCGGAGGCATCACTGACTGGAAATCTCACCGGATGCAAACAGTAGAGGTATACATACTACTAAACGGACATATACATTTGTATTGCTTCTTGTTCACCTTTTTCTTGTTACGTTTCTTGGCAGAGACGCAAGCTTATAGAAGAAGAGCTTAAGAAGATCCAAGAAGAGATACCAGAGTACAAAACACACTCGGAAACCGCGGAGGCTGCGAAGCTTCAAGTGCTCAAGGAGCTAGAGAGCACAAAGAGACTCATAGAACAGTTGAAGCTTAATCTGGAGAGGGCACAAACAGAAGAGCAACAGGCCAAGCAGGACTCTGAGCTTGCTAAGCTGAGGGTTGAGGAGATGGAGCAAGGAATCACCGACGATGTCAGTGTCGCAGCTAAAGCACAACTTGAGGTGGCTAAGGCAAGGCATGCATCAGCAATCACAGAGTTGCATTCTGTCAAGAAGGAGCTTGAGACTCTACATAAGGAGTATGATTCTTTAGTGAAAGATAGAGACGTGGCTGTGAAGAGAGTTGAAGAAGCAACGTTGGCATCAAAAGGGATTGAGAAGACAGTTGAAGAACTAACCATAGAGCTCATAGCTACAAAGGAGTCGCTTGACTCAGCGCATGCTTCTCATTTGGAAGCTGAAGAACAGAGGATTGGAGCAGCCATGGCTAGAGACCAAGACACTCACCGTTGGGAGAAGGAGCTGAAGCAAGCGGAAGAGGAGCTCACAAAGCTTAACCAGCAGATGGTTTCTTCAAAGGAGCTGAAATCAAAGCTTGACACTGCCTCAGCGCTGCTTCTTGATTTGAAGGCGGAGCTTGTAGCTTACATGGAATCCAAGCTAAAGCAAGAAGCGTGTGACTCAAGCAAAAACAGTGAGAACGTGAGCCATCCTGATTTACACGCAGCTGTGACCTCTGCAAAGAAGGAACTTGAGGAAGTCCAAGCGAATATTGAGAAAGCAGCCGCCGAAGTGAACTGCTTGAAAGTAGCGTCCTCTTCCTTGCAAGTGGAGCTTGAGAAAGAAAAGTCTGCTCTTGCCTCAATCAAGCAAAGAGAAGGAATGGCTTCTATAGCAGTGTCTTCTCTAGAAGCTGAGATAGACAGAACGAAGACGGAGATAGCTTCTGTTCAGTCAAAGGAGAAAGAAGCCAGAGACAAAATGGTGGAGCTGCCAAAACAACTTCAGCAAGCAGCAGAAGAAGCTGATGAAGCAAAGTCTCTCGCTGAAGTTGCTCGTGAAGAGCTGCGAAAGGCTAAAGAAGAAGCTGAGCAAGCGAAAGCTGGAGCAAGTACAATGGAGAGCAGGCTCTTTGCTGCGCAGAAAGAAATCGAAGCAGCTAAAGCTTCGGAGCGGCTTGCTTTAGCTGCCATCAAGGCTTTGGAGGAGAGCGAATCATCAACATTGAAGGGTAACGACGTTGATTCTCCAAGAAGCGTTACACTCTCGCTAGAAGAGTACTACGAGCTAAGCAAACGTGCTCACGAGGCAGAAGAGCTAGCGAACGCGAGAGTAGCAGCAGCGGTTTCTCGGATAGAGGAAGCTAAAGAGACAGAAATGAGAAGCTTAGGGAAGCTGGAAGAAGTGAACAGAGACATGGATGCGAGAAAGAAAGCATTGAGAGAAGCAACTGAGAAGGCTGAGAAGGCGAAGGAAGGGAAGTTGGGGGTGGAACAAGAGCTGAGGAAGTGGAGGGAAGAGCATGAACAGAAGAGAAAGGGTGGTGATGGAGTTAACTCTGAGAAAATCCAAAGAGCAAGCTCTGAAGGAGCAAAGGAGGTGATTAAGTTGGAGCAATCACCTGAGGCTGATGTTTATGCCTCAAGCCCGAGTGAGTCGTATGGAACAGATGATTACTCTGAAACCAATCAGTTCCCACCAACAAAGCCTGGAAAGAAGAAGAAGAAGAAGCTTTCTTTCCCTCGGTTTTTTATGTTCTTGTCAAAGAAGAAGTCACAGAGTTGAGCTGATTGTAATGTGAATGGTGTTTTTTTTTGTTTCTGCCTTATTGATTTGAGCTTTGTTCCCGGAAAGGACTTCTTCATACGGAAAAGAGTATTGTGATGTAAATGGTGTTTTTGTGCATTGTTGACAAGGAAATAAAAGTCATTCATCTTGTAAAAACTCATATTGGTGATATATAAAAGTTACATATTTCTCATTAGGACAGTGCCATGTTGGACAAATACTACTTCCTTTTGAGTGCAACCCAAACCCATTAAGGAACAGAGCCCATGACAACAAGATTCGTTGTGTTCTGCGTGTGGATAGAAAGGATGCCAGCTTGGCGGATTACGATCTCTTTAGTTTCCCATGTCGAAGTTTCCATCACTTCCTTTGCTGTTGAGTATCTCAGACAACTCTCTAACTCTGACACAGGTACGAATCCATTACAAATATTTCTTTCTCTTCTTTGGTTTTGTTTTGGTTTGCCTAAATGTTTCATCTCTCTGCGATGCCCAATGAAATCTCTAAAACCACTTTTACTGAATTCTTGCGACTCTATATATTACCTGATCATCCAACCAATGTTTTTGTTCTTCTTTTATTTTTTCCAGATTTCTGTATCTCGTTTCCATGTTCTTTCTTTTAACAAGAACTGGTTTAATAGCTTTGGAATATTAGTTCACAACGGGATATGTTACATTAGCTAGTCAATTTTTTTTTATATCTCTAATATTGTTCTTCTTTTAATTTTCCAGATTCTGTTTTGCGAGGAGACTCATTTGGAAAACTAGGTCAATGCATAAGCAGAGTATTCTTCATTCTGAGTCCCACAGATTTATCTTGAAATGTGACGGATTGATAAAAACTAGTACATTTCCTACAAGGATCTGTTGCAGCAATGGAGTCCGATTGTCATTTCTAAGAGCTGAAGTTTCATCCATGAGTATCGCGCAGAAAAGTTGCATGGTGCAGCGTGGGAGAGCAAACTGCTTAGGTGAAACGGAGTTATATGATGAAAATGAAGATCTATGTCCTGTTGAGTGTGTCACTGAGTTCAAAACAGATGATGAGCTTCGTAAAGTTCTTGATAAAGCCAAAGAAACTAATACTTTGGTTGTGGTTGATTTTTATCGTCCTTCTTGTGGGAGCTGTAAATACATTGAACAAGGCTTCTCAAAGCTCTGCAAGCAATCTGGTGACCAAGAAGCTCCTGTCATATTCCTTAAGCATAATGTGAGTTATGAACTTATGATACATAAATTTTTAGTCATGATATATATTTTTTCATTGATAACTAAAATACATATTTGCAGGTGATAGATGAATATGATGAACAATCTGAAGTCGCTGAAAGGCTCCGTATCAAGGTAATCAGTCCCATCTTTGCAATTTTGGTATATCAATACAATTACACAAAAACAGAGTTTGATTTGCTACAATCCTACAGTCGGTTCCTCTCTTCCACTTCTACAAAAACGGAGTTCTGTTAGAAGCATTTGCAACGAGAGACAAGGAGAGGATTGATGCTTCTATTCACAAATATACAAACTCGGAATCTTCAAGCACATTGGATTAAAACCTCACTTTGGGTTTACTAGACTTGCAATATGCTGTGATGTTCATTGGAGTATCATGTAACTAAAATGAACATCACAACATCCCCAAACTTTGTTGTAAAGATTCATAAAGGCCCTTATTCTTCTTGTAAGGAAGGTATCATACTGAATAAGACATGCAAAAAATTATTCTTCCATGCTTTACAGTTTCTCTTATAGATGAAAAAGAAACAGATATGTTACAGAGAAAAAGGAAAAGAAAAGAAAATCAAACAGAAAAGTTTTATGACTATAATCAAAAACAACTGCAACCGAGAAAAAAAGAATTCAGTAATTTTGTATTTTTTTTCTATGTCTTCTGGTTAAGCTCACCACCTTCAACTTCTTCCATATTGATCCGACCTGAATCATACATTCACACATGTCACAAACTATCACTCGCTATGTGTTTTCACAATAAAATCGACTGTGTTGGTTTACAATTTTGTTACATTACCTAACAATGATATCAACGACGGCGCTTCCCCTGATCCATTTGGTTTCATGTCCGCACCTATGTTTCAACGTCACAAAAGACAATTTATCTTAAAGAAGTTGTAAGCAAAAACAAAAGCAGTAGAGAGAAAATTAGATATGAAGAGTCACCTGTACTCTCTATTGATCTTGTGATGTCTGACTTCTTAAATGTAAATCCTATGAAGTTATTGTCCTTGGACGTCAACATCTGCTCAACCAATGGAAAATTTCGAAACCAAATGTTACTATCCAAGCTCGTTATGTTGACATTTCTGCATATTCAATTTTAAACACAGATTATATTATAGGAATCAAGTGGAGTGCGTCACCTTTCTCCAAGGACCAACATGTGGTGCTTCAGATTGTGAAGCTTCAACCTACAAGATTTTAACAAGCTTGATGAGGATATTAGACATTTAAGTTTTAAGTTTAGCAGTTTCAAAGCTCATAGAGTCATTGTCATGTTAAGCTTTTTGAGATTTATATCTGACTTACTTCAGGGAACTTCTCAAAATTTTGTGTGTCTAATTCTCCATCGACAGTGGGTCTATACGCTGCCTCCATTTCATAAAGGGCCTCCCATTGTGTGCCGTTGAACCACGGATGCGACTGAAACATGAACACAACCGATTACAATGATGTCGATGATAATGAAACGCATCTTTACATATCTGTTTAAGAAGTCTCTCTCACCTTTATCTCCTCAACACCTCTGGTTCCCAACCTTGATTCAACATCACATAGCAAGCGACAAATCAAGTCCCTGGCTTCGTCTGATATTTTTGGTTCTTCAGGGAATTTCAAGCACACCCTCCAATTAATTATCTAAGATAAGAAAGAAGCACAAGTCTTTTAAGCATGCATGAATTCTTCTAGTATAGATAGTGATAAAGCATGACTAATATGAACCTACCTTGCGGCATGTAATACGGGGGTCATCAGAACAGAATGGGGGATACCCAACTAACATCTCATACAAAATTGCGCCGAGAGACCACCAGTCACATTCCATTCCATATCCTTTCTTTAGCAGTACTTCTGGAGCCATGTAATCAAGAGTTCCAACAGTTGAATAAGCCTGTAATAATGAAAGATAAACACGTATTGGATGTGGTTATTGATTTTTATAGTCTAACAAAGATGAGTAGTTCAATTAGAGAAGAAGCATAGATACCAATGCACGGCGATTGCGCTTCCACTGCAGTAACTGCTCTTTAGGCATTTGCCATGGCGCTTTGTCAGCGTCTGCTTTTCCTGCCTGGCTCTCTGCATCCTGAGACAACATTTCTTCGTCTTCTAATAGCAGCGAAGAATACTTATCATCCAGTGGCTTACATAATCCGAAATCCGAAAGCTTCAGATGCCCACTTTTGTCTAGAATCAAATTGTCAGGTTTGATGTCCCTACAGGCAAAGAAGAAACAAACTCAAACCAAGAACCAGAGAGTACATATGTTCTCTGTTTCCAACACCCTAAATCACTAGGCGATAAAAGAATGAAGTCAAAGCTTATATACCTGTGAACATAGTTGTGTTGATGGATCGAATGGATAGCAAGAATGCTCTCCGCAATGTAAAAACGGGCAACACTCTCAGAAAGAATGTCTTCTCTCATCAGTAAAGTCATGATGTCACCCCCAGGTAAATACTCCATGATAAGATACAAACACTCAGAATCTTGAAAAGAGTAAAAAAGCTTCACAATGTAACGACTGTCAACCTCTGCAAGCAAGTTCCTCTCGGACCTTACATGCTCAACCTGTAGAGAGAAGAAAATGTACCACAAAACCAGTTAACGAAAATGATCAAATTTCTCATTGGTTCCTCTAGAAAACACCAAATTGCAAAACTGAAGTGAAGGCAGCAAATGACAGGAAGGTTTTCTCACTTTCTCAGCTCCTTTCATGCATCAAATTTTGCACTTACTACTACTCTCAAATATCTTACAGTTCCTTGAAATGTGAATGCAATTTCAATTAAAAAAACTAGACCGTACCTGTCCACGGCTAAGCATCTCAGTTTTCTTCAATTTCTTCATTGCATAAACTTCCCCTGTGGATCTCAAACGGCACAATCTAACCTGAAGTATACAATTTCAGAGACTAAACATATTAAAGCACATTCCATTTAGAGAAACACCATCACCATGATCTCTACTAAATAGATTGCTCGATTCCAAGAATTTGAATTTGTACCTCACCAAAGGCACCTTTGCCAATGACAGTCAACAGCTCAAAGTCGTCAATCCCAATTTTACGTCTCTGAAGCCTCATGTACTCAGTTTCACGACGAGCCAGATTCCTCATCATCTCGTCTTGCTCCTCAACCGGTAACTGAGCTTCCTGCACTTTCCTCTGAAATTCTCTACGTCTGAAATCAAAATTCCAACGAAATCACTTAGGATCAATCTCGTCATCCAAAACTAAATCTCAAATCGAATAAAATCCACAAGTCAAACACAAGTCAATCACATCACACATCTCTATCCAAAAACCGTTCCGATCACAAAATCAGGAAAACACAATCAGATTCATCGATTCTAATCAAAAACCACGAAAACGAGCATTAAGAATTTTGAAAACCCGAACCTCTCCATTCGTTCGTGCAAGCCTTGCAAGTAATTCTTATAATGATTCTCGATAAACTGCTTCGCGGCGGCAGCTTTCTGACGAGTCACCGGCGACGAAACCGCGACATCCGACTCCAATTCGAATCCACGACCAGGCCTGGCGTTAACACCACCGACGCGAACGGTTCCATCGGCGCCGTCCATTTCTCAAGGAGATCGTAGAGAGGAGATAAGAGAAACAGATAAAGAGGAGAGAGTGAGAGATTTTAGAGAGGCATGAGGATGAATGAGTAATCGAGGAGAGATCTAATAGGGGAGATGGAGAAATCCGAAAGAGGAAGAACGTGGACTATTTAGGAGAAATGAACTGGCAGAGCTGTCTCCTGTATGGCTTTGGGATTAATAAATTAGTTTTTAAGAAAAATTAAAAAATAAATTAGTGTTTTTAAATTTTCTTTCTTTTTGAGAGAGTATGGAAGAATATATTTCACTATACATGGAATTGAGTGCGACGGACGCCATGAGATTTTTTTACTTTGTTAACTTGAATCTTTGAAGCAATTTTTTTATCGTCTGACTTTTGTGTCAGCGGAAGGTTTGGATCTTCTGAGAGGGGAAGATTTCAAAACGACCGATCAGTTGTCTACTCTCCACAGTAAAAAAAAAATTACTTATGAACACTCCCATCAAAAAAAAAATATTGTTGTTTTTGTTTTGAACCAGTGACAAAATCAATTCCACAAAATCTATTGTTGTTAATTAGAATATGTAATTGTAAACAAAATCTATTCCACAAAATGAAATACTCCTTCGGTTTATTTTTAATGAATTTTCTAGCCAATTCTTGTTGTTTTATAAAGATAAATGTTTTAACTTTTTTAATACATTTTTTTATTTGTCAAGAAACATTTATTGTATTTTTTGAATTCTTATTGGTTTAAAGTTATAAAAAAAACATTAATTGCAAAAATCAAGACATCTATGATTAAAAAGTAATTTTCTTTAATATGTGTGAAAATCTCTGAAAATCATTAAAAAGAAAGGGAGGGAATAAACATTAAGTTCGAAAATAAATGCTGGATATTGAACATGTATTTGAATTATTCATTTTAGACTTTTTAGTATATAATGGTTTTCATGTATACTGAAAACCTGGCCGTATAAAAATACAAAATTATTTGGCAAATTTAAAACAGGAAAAGATAAAAAGATTTAGTAGCTAGAAGTAAAAGTACTAAAGATCACTTCCCGCTTGACTTGAAGTCGAACCAAGACCAACCTGTAACCAATGCGATGAAGTTTCACTTGTGTTCATTTCTTTAAGTTCAACTAGCTTAGCAAATTTTGTCTTTGTCACTGTTTCATCGTCCGTTAAATTCTCTATCTTCTCTTTTGTTGTGTAGGTTTTGTCCTTTTCACATCCGTCGCCTTTTACCCATGGTGATAAAAAAACCTCTTGAGAAATTTGGTTGTTTTGTGGCTTACCACCCAAGGCATTGAAGTTGAGATCAAGTGTAAGATCAAGTGTTTCCGAATCCTTGGAAATATTGTTTATTGCAACGTCAGCTTGATTGTAAAATTGACTGTTATCGAATTTTGCGTGGTCCGGTGAATATTTTGATGTGATCCAGTGACATCTTTTGTGCCCTCCAAGAGCTTGTCCAGAGGAAAACACACGGTAACATATGGAACACTCGTGTACTTTTGCCTTCTTCTTAACAGAAGATCCGTTTTGATGGTCATATTGTAGGTTAGTATGATACAACTCCTTTTGTGTGATCATACCATGGACTTGATCCGCTTCATTATCATCGGTGTGATCAAGTTTGGCTGCAAAGCAACCTTTCACCTTTTTATGACTGGCTCGGTGTCCACCAAGTGCTTGATGAGAATTAAATACTTTTTTGCATGCTTTGCACTCAAACAATCCTTTTGGGATGACTAATTTTGCCTTTTCATATTGTGTCGGGATCTTGTCACTTTGGTTATAAAGATTCAAATGGTGTCGTTTCTCTTCATCTTTGATTGCAAAGGCGCAAGATTCCTCGGTCTCGGCAACAGCAACCGGCTCAACTATTCCATTGGATAGCATCATAAGGCAATGAGCGAGGTCTTCCTCCTCGGTCGAAGGACAAGTAGGGTTAAAAATGCTGCCAACTTTAGCCCTAAAGGACCGCTTTCTCTTTGACCTATTGTGCTCATATCCTTCTTTTGGAACACCTTCCTGATCAAAGTCTGACTCATGAAACGATTCTACAGTGTCCGAGTCAGCTTCCTCTAAGTTGCATTTTCCATGTTCAAGAAATGACTTCCACGAAGAGAACTCTATGCCACAATTCTCGCAAACTCGACAGCTCTTGAGTCTATTAGGATTGGTCCGGAGCGCGTACATGCGTTTGCTAGCGTTTGGAGCCCATTCGTAGCTCGTGTGATCTTCGTCGTCATCATCCATATTGGAAATGTCTTCGCTGATTCCATGAGTCCTCATGTGACCCCCTAGAGCCCGACCACACGCAAAACCTTTCTTGCAAATCCGACAATAGTGTTTGTCTTGTGGCTGTTGCTGGTCTACAACAAGAGCCATGCAATCCCTAAAGTCCAAACAGAAATGTTCACAAACTAAATAGTGAGAGATTAAATGAGAAAGGCTAATACAAAAAAAAATCAAATTTGATGTGAAATAAGTAAATACAGATAGAGTTGGGGAAGTATTAATTGGTGTGTGAAGAAGACAGAGAAAGATAAGGAGAGCTGAACAAACCAACGGATGTCCGGAGGACGAGTGAGTTTGTGTGAGAGTGAGTTAGTCAAATGAATAACTATTATTGTCTATTGCCATGCAAAATTGCTTGTGTTTCTCCTTCTCTATCGCTTCCTTTACATGACCATGTTTTTTTCTCATCCTAATTAGTACCATTAGATGAATCTAACTATTGCCATCTCTTTATTTCATGAGGTTATTAAACCAGTAGATGAACCAATTCTTAATCAAAGCGAATGCAAGTTTTATTAGATTAGATCTGACAAATAAATATTTATCTGAATGGTGACCACTAGAGGAACAATATGAATGAGTAAGGAAAAAATGAAAAATAGAAGAATGAGAGTTTTTGTTAAAGAAACTCTGCTAACAAAATACTTCTACTACTAACAATTTTATAATCTACTACTTAAAATACTTCCAATAACCCTGAATTTTTTAAAATTCATATTTCAAAAAAAAAAAAAAAGATTTCTTATATCCCCAGATTCAAGTCATCAAAATATAACATACCATAATTGGCCACGATTCCATTTCCTTTTGGTCAAAAGTTTTCTGCATAATTATGCTCTTTGACCAACAGAGATCATGTTCATGTACATAAGCCTATATAAAGCTCATTTCATATTAATGTAAAATAATCGTTCAAACCAATAACAAAAAACTAGAAAATGTGTGTTTTTCTTTAGGGTTTCTTAAATTCTTTTTTTTTTTCTTTAGTCTTATCGAAACCAATAACTCTAGGCTATTTCGAGTTGTATTAATGGTCTTTCGCATCTTTTGTGGTGTTCTTTTTTTTTTTTTTTGGTAAAAAAATTTTGTGGTGTTCATAAATCCACAATCTATCATTTATGTGTGCTTGAAGACCTGTTCATCCAAAGTCATAAAAGTCTTGTGACAACTTATGTTTGTATTATTTTTTGTATCAACGATGGTGGATTGATGAGCACAAGGTTGTAACAAAACAAAAATGATACAAGCATAAGGCTGTCACAGCTCTTATATGAATTCCAATGAAAACAAAATCTTCAAGCAACATATTTATTGATAAATGGTACCACAAAAGATGCATAATGTTTTTGACACAACTCGTAACCATTTGGCTTGGAGGTATGGTCTGGACAAGACTGAAGAGAAAATCAGAGTTTAAGACACTCTCAAAGAGAGAAAATTTGAATGAATTCACCAAGACACCAAGCCACCAAGTGTGTCGTATGACTAAGCTGCATGGAATCAGAAGCGGGTACGCGGAAGCGGAAGCGTTTGGAAGCGCAGAAGCGATATTTTTAAAAAAATTAGGAAGCGGGTACGTGTTGGAAGCGTCTATATATATACATATATATATATATGTATATAGCATAAATCAAATATATCAATTTTATATAATTCAATTAATAATAATTCAAATCAAAAACCAATTTTAGTTTCTTATTTCGTTATTCTCTAACTCCATGTAAAATAATCTTAATATCTATGTTATTAAAGAAAGATCACTAAATTGAAATCGCATTTTTCTAATCAAAAGAATTATTCTCATTTTATTTGTAATAATTTTTCCAAACAATTTTTTTATAGACAGATAATAGATTAAAATTAGTCTTTAATTTGTGAATGCCAAATTAAATACATGGTATATTAATTTTTCATTTTTATAAAACTTATAAAATCATAAACATATAAAAGTATTCATAATTATTTAAGATATCATATTTTTAAACGGAAGCGTAAGCTTCCAAAACGGAATTGCAAGCTTCCAAAACATTTTTAAAGGGTTTTTTAGGAAGCATCATGGAAGCGAGCTTCCGATTCCGATTCCGATTCCGAAGCGGGAAGCGGTCATCGGACGAAGCTTCCGTGCTACGTAACTCGTATCAAGTAAGATTGACACTGATTGTTTTGGATTTCTGTTTACTTTTTTTTTTCTTTCTTTTTTTCTTGTCTAAATCTTTTTATATAGTATATGTTTTATTTATGAAAAGATTTCCAAATATGAATTATTCCAATTTATGCTAAGATTTATTTGTCATATGTATCAATGATGATAAATATTAGTTGAACAATTTTATATGTTATCAAATTACTTTTTTTATAATGACTATTTTCAAGTTTATAAAATTATGAACTTGTATTTAAAAAATATGAAGAAACCATTTTTACTCGTTTTTTTTTTTTTAAAGAAAAAAGTATACATATATATGGGTTCTATGAATTCTCACTAAATTTGGATTATGACATGATTTGTATTATAATCATTGTTAAAGAAAGGTTAATTGTTTGTATCATAATTATATGTGAATATTTTTATTTACATAGATTTTAAGAATCTCAATGATAATCATGATATTTTGAAAAATTTGTCGTGTGAGTAAAAATGGAGAACACTAATGTTCCAACACGATTTTAATAGAACTATTGAACCAATGATAATTTTTGAATACCAAGAGATTTTGTTTGAAATGTAAAAATCTTTTAACCAATAATAATGTAATTGATTTTACTAAGAATTTTAAAATCCATCAACCAATAACAAATAAATCTATAAATTTAACAAAACTTTCTTCTACCAATCAATACGCCTGAGTGTTTCTTATTTTCCTGAGTTTCTCAAAAAAAAAAGAAAAGACACGTCAAAAAGAAAGCTAGCTATCACGACCAAAAAAAAAAAGAAAGCTAGCTATAGCGCTTATCGGCCTTATATGGACACGTGTGGTTCTCCATCCTCAAGCCATTCACTAATCCACCAGCTCTACTGTTATGGCAGAAACCCCTCATTTTATCCCAACTGTGTGATTAATTTCTCTTTTATCTGCCGGCAAATGAGAAAGATTGTAGATACATAGCGTCGCCTTTCTCTCTCCCATAGTAAAGGAAAACAAAAACTTCAATGAGAATCGATTAGATTTTGTAAATTTTACTCCCAAATCCGAATCCTTGCGGCGTTGCGATAGAGCTGCTTGAAGTTCACTTTCCAAATGAATTGCCCAGCCATGAGCGCATCTGCTTCTTCTTGCTCTTCTTCCTGCTCTTACTCCACCTTCCGTCCTCCCCCGTAAGTTCCTCAACTTGCTGTTTTCTACTGGAATTCTAAGAGTCTCTGAGCTTCCGAAACTGGAGGAGAAGTGACGAGTGAGGAATCGATTTTTAATTTATCTATTGTTTTCAACTCCGAGCTTAATTCGAAATCAGGATACTAGAAATTTAGCTAAGAAAATCGTCGATTTTACTGGAAATTTGGTGTTTTTCGTTCTATTGTCATGGATTGATTCGAACTCAGGATACTGAATCTTAATCCTTCTGAGCAGCGATGGATAATTCCTTTATATTTAGACTGAAATATTTAGCTAAATAATGTTTGGAATGTATCTCTTTGATGCAGACTATTGGCGCAAATAAGTAACGATTCACAGAGATCTGTGCAGTACTCAAGATTACCCTTTGAGGCATTTGCTGCATTGAATCTATCCGTAAAAGGTTATCATCAACATCATCGAGGATGGGGTGAGAAACAGCTGCTCGAGAGACATTCATTGCCTTTGAGAGCAATGGTTACCTCCAATCCCTTAAACATTCCTTCTGCTGCATCAGTCATCAGTGATGATGAGAAAATAGGAGTCTTGTTACTGAACCTTGGAGGCCCCGAGACTTTAGATGATGTGCAACCGTTCTTGTTTAACCTTTTCGCCGACCCGGTATCATCTCGCTGCTCACCTTTAACTCCAGATATTACTTATAATGATAGCAGTGTTGAGACTGTTATATTCATCTTTATCCCTGTTTGATTCGGTAGGACATTATACGGTTGCCGCCGCTGTTCCAGTTTCTTCAGAAGCCATTGGCACAGTTTATATCAGTTGCAAGGGCACCCAAAAGCAGGGAAGGATACGCATCAATCGGCGGTGGTTCTCCCCTTCGCGTCATAACCGATGAACAGGTAGTCCATATGGACTTTGTTACTCAGCTTTGCTCTATCGTCTTTTCATCTAGATATTTAAGTTTTTTTGGATTTTCTTTTATTTTAGAAACACATTTGTTTATTTGTGGAAGTTTTATTTTAGATGAGGAGGATATTCAAGTATTGAATAAAAACTGGTTTAAAAGAGAGTGACAATTTAAGGCTTATAGTTTTCAGTGAATCTATTTTCTGCACTCAATTTATGCTTGCTTCTAGCATTAATGGCTCTTTAGACTCAAAGTGTTTCAGTTCCTCTTTTCATATCTCTTGCAATTTTTTTTTTGTGACACCTTAACTTAAGTGTAGTAAGATACTACTGAGATTATGCAAAATTCATGGAATGTCGATCAGATTTAGGACTTGACATATGTATATATTTATCCACATGAATATTTTCTTTGTTCTTGATTTTTACTTTTTAGCTCGCTTTTCATGCTATACCATGGTTTTATGTGCTTTCTTATGTTGTACCTGTCATACCTTCTCCAGGCTGAAGAATTAAGAAAGTGCCTTTGTGAAAAAAATGTCCCAGCAAAGGTGTATGTTGGTATGCGGTATTGGCATCCATTCACTGAAGAAGCCATTGAACAGGTATCTATATTTAGGGCTTCTCCTCTCAAACACAATTTTTTTCATTGCGTTTGTATTTACTTGTTGTTTACATATAAAGGAAAACACAATACTTTGTATTTACAGTTTGCAAATGATGTATATCCTTCTTGCAGATAAAAAGAGATGGAATCACAAAACTTGTTGTTCTACCACTTTATCCTCAATTTTCGATATCGACTAGTGGTTCAAGCCTAAGACTCTTGGAGAGAATATTCCGGTGAGAACTTGCACATCTTACATATTTTAGTAAGCCAAGACCACGTCTTAGTTAAATTATTAATCTTTCTGTGCTTAACTTGCTGTTTACATAGAGAGGACGAGTATCTCGTGAACATGCAGCATACTGTTATACCATCTTGGTATCAGAGGGAGGGATATATAAAGGCAATGGCAAATTTAATCCAAAGCGAGTTGGGAAAATTTGGCTCCCCTAATCAGGTACACAGCTATTCTTTGTGGATGTATGCTCACTCTATTCTTTGTGTTAAACGATAGAAGTTCATATCTTTCGTTAGATTTCTGGTTTCATCCAATTCGACTATCCTAAGACGTGCTTTCAAACCAAAAATACATGTTACAGGTTGTAATATTTTTCAGTGCACATGGCGTGCCTCTTGCATATGTTGAAGAAGCCGGTGATCCGTACAAGGCAGAGATGGAAGAATGCGTTGATCTGATCATGGAGGAGTTAGACAAGAGAAAGATAACTAATACTTACACTCTAGCGTATCAGGTCTTTTCCATTTCTCATTTCTGATTCACCCGGTGCCGTAGTTTCAATAGCTGTTTGTCAAAACTCACTCAATCTGTGTTTTTTTGTTAACAGAGCAGAGTTGGACCAGTGGAATGGCTGAAACCATACACTGAAGAAGCCATTACTGAACTTGGTAAAAAAGGTGTTGAAAATCTTCTCGCTGTACCCATAAGGTAAACCAATATTCTTGGCATCATTTCTTTTTTATCTTCTCTTCTGGTTATTTGAAACTCAAGTTTGCTCCTAATTTTCTTAACAGCTTTGTGAGCGAGCACATTGAAACTCTAGAGGAGATAGACGTTGAATACAAAGAGCTGGCTTTGAAGTCCGGCATCAAAAACTGGGGGCGAGTTCCTGCGCTAGGTACAGAACCTTTGTTTATATCCGACTTGGCAGATGCTGTTGTTGAAAGTCTTCCATATGTTGGAGCCATGGCTGTCTCAAACCTTGAAGCTCGACAGGTAACAAATTGAAACTCGTTAGTTCCACAAAAGAAGCTGTTTCCTTATCTATAATATTTATTCTTGTTTTTGGTTGAGCAGTCGTTAGTGCCACTGGGGAGTGTAGAAGAGCTGTTGGCGACGTATGATTCACAGAGGAGGGAGTTACCAGCGCCGGTGACGATGTGGGAATGGGGATGGACCAAAAGTGCAGAAACATGGAACGGAAGAGCAGCAATGTTGGCGGTGCTCGCGCTCCTGGTGCTTGAAGTCACCACCGGAAAAGGGTTTCTTCATCAGTGGGGCATTTTACCTTCATCTCAGTAAAGGAACATCATATATATTATAGTCTTTTTTTCTCTATCGTAAAACCAATATTCAAGAATCCATATGTGAGAATAAGACCGGCTTATGCTATAAATTCACTCTCTTTTTTTTTTCTGTGTGGTTGTACGTTGACTTTAAGTACTTGATGTTCTTCATAAAACAGTTGCAGAATGAGCAGATGTCTGGTCCCCACTCGAATCAAACGTCTTTTTCTAGTTTGATTCACTATTAATATTGGTTTGGTCCGTTTTGAACATTTTCTAGGTAATATATTTTCGTTTCAAATCCGTATATGCTCTTTTATAATCAACCATAGCCACGAAGTCGAGACTTCAGGTTGACAAAGACCAAATCATTAAGCGGAAACTTTGTAACCACTTTCATTCGATTGCATATCAAAATGGATTAGTTCTCTAACTTAAGAGTTGATCCTAAACCAGTTAGGAAAGAAATGGATTCAAGCCAATCATAATCAATGGGATCTAACTCCAATGGTCCATGTTAACAGACCAAACCACCTCAAACATTACCTATTTTGGTTTTTGTTAGAAGTCAAACAAACAATAGTATATAGTTAGAAATCGTAATCCTGCTACTGTGCTACATGTCTTCATTTTTAGTCAACTCTTTCTCCGTGTATTATTGCGTTCTCTGGATACAAACTATTTACGAAGAAAAGGATATTTTAATTTATCACAAAATATATGGAGAAACAAACAGTTAATGCTACGACGTGAGCCTGGGTCCCAATGATTCAGAACGAAGACACCATTTTCTTTAAACTAAAGCATCCAAAGTCAGAGATATGACACGCCCCAATGTAATAAAACCTATAAAAACTGCCTCTTATACAGAAACCAAAAAAAAGAAGAAAAAACAAGAACAATCGAGAGAGAAGTGATCAATCGGTGAAGAAAAACCATGGGGAGTCTCAGGAGTAGAGGGAGAAACGAGATAGATGAGATTGAGCAGCTTTCGAGAGAAAGCAGTCATTTCAGTCTTTCCACTGGAATTTTACCTTCGCTGGGAGCTAGAAGTAACCGACGAGTTAGGCTGAAGAGATTCGTCGTATCTCCTTATGATCACAAATACAGGTCTCGTTTTCAGTTTCTCTTCTTTCTCGAGTTAACAAAGCACATATGGATTCTCTAGGTTCCTAACTATTTTAATTACATGAGTCTTCTTCTTATTCTTTGATTTTTGAGGATCGGAAACACAAATATTTCTAACTTACTAGTCAGATTATGGTCCAAAATCAACTTCGTTATAGATGACACATGACCTGATCATTACCATTATTGTAGTTTCAATATATCTTACGGCTATATCTGGTGGAGTATCTATCTAATGTGGTTTATTTTTTGGTTAACGGGTTAATTTTCGTTTATTTTTTTGCACCTTTTCTAATTTTATATATTTCCTTTTTGATTAAAAATACTTTTTGTAATCACCAAGGGGAATTTTTTTTAAACACAATTTTTGTATGATATATATATATATATATATTTTTTTTTTTTTGACAACTTATGTACTATTTTTTCTGAAAGGAATTTTTTTTATTTTTAATTGATTTTTCGGTTGTTTTTGATTTACCAGACAAGTTGACAACAAAAGCTCCTTTTAATTCAACATTTGGAATATTCAATTCCTAGATCCCTATAGTTATTCGTTCATGGTCAATAAAGAAGACATAAATGCGAAGGCAAATGTGGAATAACTTAAGTACCTCAATTATCACGTTGGTTGGCTGGCTAATTAGCTTAAAGACGCCTTAGTTTTTGGCTTTTCGCTTTTGGCTTTTGGCTTTTACCTTTTTCTTTTTGGGATAGCATTACCACTAATGCAAATCTTAAATAGTTAAGCCACCTACAATTCAACAACTAGAATATCTAAATCATTTATTTAAAACCACAACCACTATTTAGAATAAATCATTTTATTTATTTGTTGTGTCATGCGTCATCAAACAATAACAGAATAGTGAAACACAATGTTTTGGAAAATTAAATATGAGGCTTATATACGAGGCTCAAAATAAAAAATGAAATGTGGATTTGTTGTTAAGACTGAAGTGTAAGTGATAAGTGCAGGATATGGGAGGCTTACCTAGTGGTTCTTGTGGTATATACTGCATGGGTTTCTCCATTTGAGTTTGGGTTCTTGAGAAAGCCAAGACCACCACTCTCTATCACCGACAACATTGTGAATGCATTCTTCGCTATGGACATCATCATGACTTTCTTTGTTGGTTACCTCGACAAATCAACTTACCTACTCGTTGATGATCGTAAATTGATTGCTATTAAGTATTTGCGTTCTTGGTTCCTCCTTGATCTCGTATCAACTATCCCCTCAGAGGTGGCAATGAGAATCTCATCTCAGTCTTATGGATTATTTAACATGCTTCGTCTTTGGCGTCTTCGGAGAGTCAGTGCCTTATTTGCCAGGTTTCAAACATGCAATCATTTTGTCTACTTTCTTTCTTCTTTTACCTTAAATCTTGACAGTTTCTCTCTTTAACAGGCTTGAGAAAGACCGCAACTTTAACTACTTCTGGGTCCGATGCGCAAAACTCATTTGTGTAAGAACCTCCGAATATTTCTTTATGTAAAATGAAATTCTTAAAAATACCACAAAAATAAGTTTATAGTCCACATATACCATCAATAGTTTTATTTTTTCCATATATACCATAGTAATACGAATAAACCGGAGAATATTGTTGCATGCAGGTCACTCTTTTTGCGGTGCATTGTGCAGCATGTTTCTATTACCTTCTCGCAGCACGCAATCATGATCCAGTGAACACTTGGATTGGAGCAACAAACAAAAACTTTCTAGAGGATACCTTGTGGATGCGATATGTAACTTCCATGTACTGGTCCATCACTACTCTAACCACTGTTGGTTATGGTGATTTACATCCGGTGAACACAAAGGAGATGATATTTGACATTTTCTATATGCTCTTTAACTTGGGATTAACTGCATACTTAATCGGTAACATGACCAATTTGGTAGTCCATGGAACAAGCCGGACTAGAAATTTTGTAAGTTAGCATACAAAACACCTAATAAAATCATTATTTCCCTATATACCACAAGATTATATGAAACTGATAGATTTGAATGGTTCTTCTTCTTGTGCAGAGAGATACAATACAAGCTGCTTCAAATTTTGCTCGTAGAAACCATTTACCACCTCGTCTACAAGATCAGATGCTTGCACATTTATGTTTGAAGTATAGGACTGACTCTGAGGGGCTGCAACAGCAAGAGACTCTTGATGCACTCCCAAAAGCCATTAGATCGAGTATATCACATTTTCTTTTCTACTCCCTCATGGATAAAGTCTACCTGTTTCGCGGAGTATCCAATGACCTTCTATTCCAACTGGTATAACGATTACAATCTAGCAATACTCATCTTCCATGTGAAAAGTGATAATTCACTCATCTCTCAATATAAATTTGGAAGGTCTCGGAAATGAAAGCAGAGTATTTTCCACCAAAAGAAGATGTTATCTTGCAGAACGAAGCGCCAACAGACTTCTACATCCTTGTGAACGGTACCGCGGTAATAAATTTTACGTTTTTCTTGAGTTGACTTATATGAAAATGAATGCAAGAAACATTTACTTATATCACTTCTCCGTAATGATACAGGACTTAATGGTTAACAATAGTGGAACAGAAACTGTAAGTCGCATCACTTTCAAGAAATGTTTCTCATTGTGTGTTTATACTTGTTCGGTCCAAACCCTTTGTCTTGGAGTTCAGATGTACGTATCTAAACATTTGAGAATTTCAGGCTGAGAAAGAGGTTAAAGCTGGAGACATTATAGGGGAGATAGGAGTCTTGTGCTATAGACCACAACTGTTTACAGTGAGGACAAAACGGCTGTGCCAACTATTGCGTATGAACCGTACCACTTTCTTGAATATTATTCAAGCAAATGTTGGAGATGGTACCATTATCATGAATAATCTACTTCAGGTGAGAAAACATTAACTTTTTGAGGCTTTCAAGAATTGAAATATGAACTAATTTGTATTTTTCTTATCTCGCGAGAGTAGCATCTGAAAGAAATGAATGATCCACTGATGGAACATGTTCTATTGGAGACCGAAAACATGCTTAAACGGGGTAAAATGGATCTTCCCGTCAATTTATTCTTTGCTGCTATAAGAGAAGACGATATGCTTTTACAACAGTTGCTGAAGAGAGGACTTGATCCTAACGAATCAGACAACAATGGTAGAACACCTCTGGTGAGTAAAGTTTCTATCATATTTTTTTATCCCAAACCAGCTCTTTATAGATCATAACTTTAATTCCTTATTTTCTTGCATGGATAATAGCACATAGCAGCAGCAAAAGGAAGTCTGAATTGTGTGCTTCTTCTGTTGGATTCCCACGCAGACCCTAATTGTAAAGGTACTTGTTAAAACATGTTGTAAGCTATACATATATATGCTAAGCTGGTTAATTTTTTTTACTTAAATGTAAATGCAGATACGGAAGGGAATGTGCCATTGTGGGAAGCAATGGTGGAAGGGCACGAGAGTGTTGTAAAAGTGCTGTTAGAGCATGGTGCAACGATAGACGCAGGGGACGTGGGTCACTTTGCATGCACGGCAGCTGAGCAAAGCAACTTGAAGCTATTAAAGGAAATAGTGAGACTTGGTGGAGACGTTACCCGTCCTAGAGCCACAGGGACTTCAGCACTCCATGCAGCTGTATGCGAAGAGAATATTGAGATGGTTAAGTATCTTTTGGAGCAAGGTGCTGATGTTAACAAACAAGACATGCATGGTTGGACGGCGAAGGATCTTGCTGAGCAACAAGGACATGAGGATATTAAATCCTTGTTCCGAGAAAGAATACATGAGAGGGTGCGTATCGAGTCAAGTTCTTCAGTGCCTATACTCAAAACTGGAACCCGGTTCTTGGGAAGGTTTACTAGTGAACCAAACATACGTCCCGTATCAAGAGACGTGTCTTTCAGGATCCCGGAAGCAAGACCAAGAAGGAAAACTAACAACTTCGAGAACTCCTTGTTTGGGATATTAGCTAGTCAAAGTGTACACAAGAATGGTCTAGCTACTGTAGAAGAAGGCAAAACCGGGAATCCGGTGAGGGTGACGATTAGTTGCGCCGGGAAAGATGAGGTAGCAGGGAAGCTGGTGCTACTTCCCGGGAGTTTCAAGGAGTTGCTAGAATTGGGTTCCAACAAGTTTGGTATTGTTGCTGCCAAAGTTATGAGCAAAGAGAACAACGCTGAGATTGATGATGTTGATGTTATTAGAGATGGTGATCATCTTATATTTGCTACCGATTCGAACCACCCATAGAAGACACACAACTTCTTGATTACTTGTAACACGAAGTGATCATTTTTTTTGATAAACAACTTTGTCAAAAATATGAATGTGACTCAATAAAGAATGCTTCAAGAAGATGTACATATCATATTTGTCACAAGTAGTAAATTTTTGAAAATATGTCAGTAAAAAAATGGTGGAGAGTCCATGCATTGATGTACAAGCTTACTCTGATACAACGCATAACATTCGGTAACTGCCATCACATTTTCATTGTCTATGTCAATGCTCCAACTCTCTGCTAGAGTTTCTTGGCAAGCCATAATAAAAATAGCCGCAGTCTCAGGCTGATCAAATTTTTTAAATACTGATATAGCTTCCTCAAACGCCCCAGCTGCTACATATAATATCACACCCCTGGAATTTTAATATATAGATTAATATTGCTGCTAACTATCCTCATCATATATTGCATGCATTGTATTAGAATGAAGCATTAACTAGAAATTTCTATATATACCTCCAAAAATTGTGTTCCGTGTGCACCACGTGTCCTGCCCACCGTTGCAACACCCTAAATAATACATAACAACGATTTGATTTGATTTGATTCACTCATGTTTTTTTCATATTGGATTATAAATATAGAGAGTTTTGAGGTTTGATGTTTGTTCATGACTCTTAACTCGAACATTTTATATTAAAATTAGTTGACACACCTTGCATAATCTGAACCATTTAAATGTGTCGCTGCCAATGTAGCAGAATCTGTCCAAAACCCAGCATCTTGTAACTGCAAATTTCACACATAAAGCAAATCTTGGGGTCCGGAAAATGTCTTTAATTTTTATCCAATTAAGTTAAACCAAAACCTAACCTGAGAGCATGCTTCTTGGTATCTTCCAACAGAACACAGAAGATGAGTTCCAGAAAGTGATCTATCTGACCTTACCATGTTCGCTGCAACTACCTTTATATACAAAAAAAAACATGTCATAGAAAAACTCATCTAGGTTAACAAAGAAAACAAGGCATCTTACTTACCTTCACTGCTAACTCAACGAGAGATTTTGATACAGAGGAGGATAAAGCAACAGCACGAAGAGCATTCGGGTAGAAATAAGAGCTCTCTGGAGAAGTAGAGAGTAACAAACTCACTGCGCCTTCCAAGTTCCCAACTGATACAAGCCTGCTCATCAAAGCTCAACTATGTTTAGCCACAAACCTCCAAGTATACATATATTCTTGACCAGTTTATAACGTTAGGTAACTAACTCGTGTACTCTGCTTTGAATGGCCTCTTCTCCTTCAAACTTCTCGTGCCATGGGATTCGCTCATTAGCACAAGACCATAATTCTTTTTGTTCGAATGCCATTAGTCTGAGCTGACCTTCCCTCTGTTCACCAACCATGAAAGAAAAAAAAATCAAGGGCTTGTCACAAAGGATTTATTTGTAAGTTTGTAACTAACCATAGAACAGTTTTTGTCAGATGTTGAAGATGATGGTCCTTTTGGTGTAGTTTTACTCGGCGTATATGGCTCCTCAAAATGCTTAGCCGGAGATTTTTTTGCTATTTGTTTGGCTACATGGTTAGTGGCACAAGGTAGTTGTAACCAGAAAAATGCCTCAGAAGCTTCCCCAAATATAGCTGATGCGAAAGCAAATCTTGCAGCATAACCTTTATTAACTATATTGGAATATAATTTCGCTTTCTCATCATCGAGTAGGCATCCTTTAGCCAACAACATTTCAAATATCATTCATCGTCACATATATACAACATGTTTTTTTTAATGAAGAAGAAAATTCACAAACCTAACCTTCTGAGCGATAAGGTTCAAGCACTTTAAGCAACATTTCCAGCACCGCTGGGTCACCGATCGGTACGAAGTCAATCATGAAACTCCGAAGATCCTTAGAAGATGAAGTTCTTCCAGGAATCGAATGCGGTCGTTTTTCGATACATGTACTAGGAGTGTTAAACCAAGATGGCTTTATACCTAGTTGCAAGATCATCCGTAGGGCCTACAAATATAGACTATTAAGCTAAGATACTTTTTAATTATCAACTAAAAATCAAAACATAAAATGAACATTACGAGGGCATGTGGTACTGGGAGTAGCATAGGTACGCATAAAGGCACAGGACGGAATCTCTCATTGGTTTGGATTGTCATCTTTTCATTTCTGCATGGATTCCATCAAGAAAACATCAATGATATACAAATATTTGAAAGCATATCATATACATTACTTACAGATGAACCTCGACAAGGCGAAAGCTACCATCAGTTCCAGCAACACACATCACAAGCACGTCAAATTTGCTAGCTCGCAAGGGCAACCAGTCAAGCTCAAGTACAAGTGTGCCAGGAATTTGTGGACGCATTAGAGAAATGGCCAATGGATCTGGTGAATCCTGCAAGAATCATGGCTTAGTAAGAATGATAATGACTTTAGTGAGGACGTGTGAGCATGAACATTGTTACCACTAGTGGAAATCTTACAAGATCGTAGATGGAGAAGGTGTTGTCATAGAAGAGTACAGTTATTCGTCCTCTGCTAACGTCACCAGCGAAGACAGGTGAAAATTTTATCTTCTTGATTGCTTCTCTACAAGTGTTAAATGAAGAGGAGTTACCGGATGCTACATCCCACCACCGTATGTTCCCCAACTTGTCACCTGTGACCTGTTTAAGTGAGATATATAATCTAAACTAAAATATTACTTAAAAACAATACTAAAGGTAACATCAAGAGGTAAGTGTTACATACAACGTGAGGTAAGCGATATCCTATAGCAGTAATTAACCCATCAGAAGTATTGAAAGTGGATTCTGGCCATTTTGGTCTATAGAAAGAAAAACATAACAAATATGCATGTTAGAGCATGAAGATTAAATTATACTGTACACTCTTTTCTTAATTACAAACAACCTGAAATCTCGAATTCTTCGTCCATAGACTTCAAACACGCCAAGTGCACCATTAACTAGCGCAAACGCAAAACTTTCGGAAGCATCATCTTGGAGTCCATCAGCAGCATTTGCTTCTTCTATAACGCGAGTCTTGAATTCATCATAAGTTTCAAGGTAAAATAAATAGAAATTGTTACGTAAACTTTGCTTACTGGAATCTGATGCTTTTGGAGTTCTAATTTCATCTGGTGCGACATTTCTATTTTTGTTAAATGACATTGTCCTCTGCTTTGAGAGACTCTTTTGAGCTGAGCTTGGAATAGTTGGGAGAGTCCACTCTAAAACCGTGAATGGTAGTGCTAGTGATCTAAGCTACATCAAAATACAAGTCATGGTAACATAATTATAAACTCACCCTTATCATAATTGTTAACCGTTTCCTCAGTTGTATGAACATAACTTACCATTACAGGGCTTTTAGTCATTGCCCATACTTCTACAGGAGCTTCACGGAACAAAATTAGAAGATATCTGAAAAATCAAATGTCAAAAGATTATTGTATCTTTCATGAGGCCTACGAGTAGGATAACATAAATTCAGGATGAAACCTTGTGGGAGCAAAAGACAATTCTAGTGACCAACCTCCCAGAAGATGAAGCCTTAACAGCTCTTATAGGAGCTCTCTCTGGCTTTTGCAAAACTCGAAATCCTCTGCTAAGGCCACTCCTAAGACATGTGACTACGAGTTTATTAATATACGCACCTGTTCGTTTACTTACCTGACATGACAAAAGCAACATTAAACAAAGATCATTTGAGGAACCTTATGAAACAAAGTTTTCGTTTACCCTAGTACTAGAGAATGAAACCAGTCTTGAATTTCCTAGCCAATTTAGGCCTTTGATACTAGTGGTGTGAGCAGAGAAACTTGCAGCCACTGCGTTTGCAGACACATCAACGACATCAATTGTTCCAGCTTCAGTCCCCAAAGCAACGAGAGGTACTACTACAGCTGGAAAATTCCCTCCACCTTCATGATCACCATACATTCTTTTATCCATCAACTTGAGTTTTTTTTTCCATTTTCGTCTAATATACAAAATTCTCACAACTTGTCTATATATGAAACTCACGAGCCAATGTTGCTGTCATTGAAGGTGTTGGTACAGCAAGAACAGTCACTTTGGACGAGAGAAGCTGAAGTTGTCCAACTAAAGACATCTGCATATCAATGTGTTTTATTTCCGTAAACACAAAAATCAAGAAGATGAAAGATAAAATCAAACAAGTTTTACATGTCCAGATCATAGACCTCGAAAGAGAGATTTGGTTGGAGATTCTCTAACAAGTCCTCATTAGTTTGAGGATTAGACTCTTCTTCATCTCTTTTAACACTCAAGATCCAACTCCATATTTTACCATCATCAGATATAGATATGAAACGTGTCTTGTAACAGAAATCAAAAACACCTTCGTTGAAGTCAAAAGAATCATCCAAAACATCATCTGAATGGATCTTTCTCATGTTCTGGAGGGTTGAGTCCAACTGGGAGATTAAAAGAGTCAGAAGAGAAGGTGATGGTACAGAGTTTCCAATCGCCGGCATCAATTCCTCTGTTCCACATAACACATGGACTTGTTCCCCTCTGCAGAACATAGACTACATTGAGAAAAAAAGACCACAAAAGAGAATCAAGAAGTAAGATGCTCACTCTTTTCTTCGCCAAATGCTGAGCCTGCCATCGAGGTGAAGACAGTACAAAGACTCGTGGCTCGGGTCAGGCAAAACATCTACAAACTTTGCGTAGCCACGTGGTAATGCTACCGCGTAGAGCGCTGCTTCGTACTTCAAATCAAACACGACGAGCTCTTTGGGAAATATGGCGAAGAGAATGTGTTTCCAGTGCGGTGAGAAAGAGAATCTTGCGGAATAGAAAGGGAAGAGAGTTGATGCAGGAGACGTCGAAACAACGACTTCACGTTCTAGCTTCTGTACATCGCTGCAATCAGTTTGAATATGAAACTCTTTCAACGCAACGTCGGTTTCAGTCATACCAAGAACTTTGACAGAAAGAAGAAAGCCTTTGAGGCCGAGGACGCAGAAATAGCGGGAATCGAAGGGATTTGAACGAATGCATGATAAGAAGACCTCTGGAGATGACTCATATTTCCAGAATAATTCTCCAGAATCCGTGTAGAGTGAGAGAGAAGACGGACCGGAAATGGCGGCGAGGACATATGATTCAGGCCGAGCCAATACCCAACAGAGGTCCTGTACGCCGCCGCAGCTTGCGGTGATGTTCTTCCCTCTGGTAACATTGTCAGAGCTTTGTTCGAGCCATAAGCGGACAGAACGTAAGCGGAAGTCTAGAAGAGCAATGCGGCCGAGGTGATCACCAACGGCGATGAGGAGTTCGCAGGAGAAGGGATCACGCCGGAAGGGGACAGGAGCCCAGCGAACAGATGTAACTGTAACTGTACAAGTTGGAGAAGAGACAGGGGAAGGGAGAGAGACAGGGGAAGGGAGAGAGACGGTGGAGATGAGCTGGAGAGAGTGTGAGTCTACCAGAGAGACAGATGAGCCAGAGGCAAATGCCAGTAGCCCGGAGTGGCTGATGTCAGCCGCCGATAAGTTGCTTCGGCTCGGTGGTCCGGGGAGAATGGAGTCGTACGACGACGAACACATTTTTTGAATTCCGTTTGCTTTGGCCATTGTAGAATTTTTTATATCCTGAGTTTTGGAATGTGACAAGAGAATAATGAGCCTGAAGACTCTATCTCCCAAACCATTAGGATCTCATCTTTTTCTAAACTCTACACACTCCTACCTATTTTTATCCGATTGTGAAAAAAGATATGAATATGATTTTCATTTGGGCTATACATAGTATCAAAATCAGTAATAACACAAATCCAGAATCATACCAACTTCAACCAAAATCTAAGCAGAGAGATCCATATTTATGTATAAATCTGTTTACATAAGATTGATATATAAATATATGACAGTGTCTGATGATATAATTATCCTACCATCTCGTTAGCTATATCATATTGCTATCAATGTGTGACAAAACCTGATCAAGCTCATACCATGTGTCCGCAGTTATATCATCAGGAGGAAAACGAAGACAGAGATGACCAATGTTGCATAGTAACAAGCCGCCTGCAACAAAAAAATGCAATAAGGAATTGATATGCATTAGGCTTGAATCTGTATATAAAGTTGGAATATATACACAGAGACTCAAGAGTGTACATACCTTTGACGATGAAAAGAGTGATTTGGTAGCAGCATCGGACTTAAGACTGTTGAATCCAATATCATAAGATATGGTTCCATCAGGCTTATAAAGTCCAAAGTGAGTCTCTGAGCTCTTCCCCGGCTTCGAATTCTCATTGAACAACGCAAAGATATAGGCTTTGAGCACCGTCTTCGGTCTAAGAGGAGTCCCTTTCCTCTTCGCAAGCCTCTTCCTGAGGTTATAGTTATAAGTTCTCGCATTCTCCTGTGTAGCCGCAGGCTCATCCGAATCGCCTTTAGAAGCCCACCCGGTCTCGGTAATCATAACCTCCATCTTCTTGAAACCAGCATCTTGCAGCGCCATGTACGCAGCGTCAATCTGAGCATCAAGCATGTTATCATACCGCAGCTCGGTTTTGGGATCGTAGATACCTTCCGTCGGCTTGAACAGAGCGTAGTTGATATCGATCTCGTCAGGGTTATAAGTGTAAGCCAAGAACGGGTACGCGTTTAAACAGAAAGGAGACTTAATCTGATCAAAGAACTCCAGCAACGGCTTCATGAACTGAACAACATTCTCTTTGAACACACAAGACGACGGAGGGTACGAGTCAGCGAACACAGCCTGAGAATGAGCAGTTGTAAGCTGCACAGTCTTCTCGAGGTTCATCTTCTTCAAGGCGTTGTAGACGTTCTTCGCTGCGCCGAGTAAAGCTCCGGAGAGCTCAGAGTCTCCGCCTCCGAGGACTTCGTTGCCTATGGCGATACCACGGATCCGAGTCTCCGGTAAGAAAGACTGGACATTTTCTTTGACCCAAGTCGCTGCGTGATCTGGGTTTGAGCTCATCTCTTTCAAGAACCCATTGGGGAGTCCAACCACAAGGTCTAAACCAGTGCCGCTGAAGGCTTTGAGGACCGTGTGGTCTGCGTCGTATATACGAACGTTCCTGATTTTGGCTTGCTTTAGAAGTAGAACTACTTTTTCCGGCGACGGTATGTTATCGGCGATCCTACCGTAGTTTATCCCATAGGTTCCAACAAATGCTCCCTCTACATGAAAATCTGGAGAAATTCAAAAACCGTTTAAGCAATTAAGAATCAGCAGAATTTAGAAGATAAACTCAGAAGATGAACAAAAAGTGCCGATCAATCACCATAGTGAATATCTATCGGAATCATCATAGAAGATAGAATTTCATCAGAAAACCAGAGATCTAAACCATAGGTTCTCAATCAATCGACGAAATCAACAATCCCAAACTCGAATCCAGGCTAAATCTAGAGAAATTCGAGCCCCAAACTCGTTATTTAAACCGGAATCATCATTAGGAGACTACGTGTGATGCAAAAGCTGAAATTCTCATGAGCACTACAAGGTACAGAATCTATTCGAAATCGGGAGTGAAGATACTGTACCTGTTGAAATCGAAGTGAGGAGGAAGAAGAAGAAGTTGAGAAGAGCGAGGCCAGAACTTCTCATCTGAGAATTATCGGAAAAGTCGAAAAGGAGAAAAAGATGGAGGTCATCGAGAGCAAACGGGAATCTGGTTCGACGACGACGACATGAGAGAAATCAGATTCTTCTTCCGATCAAACAACTTTGAATTTCCGGTAACGAAACCGCAAAAGGTCTACAAGAGAAACCTAAGTGGTATGGAAGATGAAGCTGGAAGAGATGATGATTCTGAATGATTGCGAAAGAGAGAAGAAAGATATTTTTGGCGGTGGTTTCTTTTTTTTTTCTGGGTTTTGGGTTTTCCTTTTCGTCTATGTCGTCGAATATATGAATATAAGTTGCGAATTACTTTATTTTGTTCTCTTTATAATAAAGTTGATTTGAATATAATATGGCCAAAAGGAAAATAAAATGGAAATTTCGTAGTTGTTAAGTAGTGATGTGGTTGGACGGTGAGTTTCTTTTGGACGTACCAACATTACAGCTAAATCAGACGTGTATGGACCTCATTGCATCACTTTTTCCTCCCAAGTGCTTTTTCCTTCATGTTAAAAAAATGCTTGTTAATTAGAGATCCCAAACTTTTCATTACTTAGGAACATTATATAAAACATCTAGAGAGATTATTAAGAGATGAATTTTTTTAGTTAAAGTTATTATTATTATTATTATTGTTATTATTAAGAGATGAATTTTATATAACTGTTAACTTTTTCAAAAATATATTATTTTGATATTCTTACTAAAATTAAAATCTATTATTATTAGTTTGATTATTTTAGAAATCCATACCAAATCAATTGTTATTCAAAAACATTGGGTTTCAGTGATCCAATGATTCCAATTAAATCTTTTTTTTTTCAACATGGATTCTGATTAATTGTAAACAATTTAGCTCATGATATACAAACCTTTCAAAATGCTATGTACATCCTTTAAATACAAAATCATGCATAGGTTCTGCGTATTTTTTCTTAATAAATAATTGCATAGTTTCTTTTTAAAATATAGTCTCCAATGATATACAGCTTCGTCCGAGCGAAAGCAATATAATGTTAACATAATCGGGAAAGACTTTTACTAAACAAGTCGGGTTTACTACAAATTTAGTAAATGAAGTACAATATCTTACTCTTTAGTGCATGTCATGTCATTCAAATGAGACTTAAACCTCAAGACCGCAATATTATGACCCAAAGTCAATGTGTAATTCACGACATTTTATCTACAAGTTTTGGCACACCTGATGCTTCTCGATCCAACCTTATGATGGGGCTCGGCCTTAATATGCTTGTAACGAGTGAATGTGCTTTAAAATATTGTCCTTTAAAAATGCTTTGTGCCAAAGAGTGTAGAATCTATTAGTCTCCATAACTTTTTTGAAGTCTCCGATGACTCTTTAAGCAAAACAAAAAAAAGAGTCAATGATAACTCGAAAACCCACTCCTCCCACGGATGTCAAATACACATTTTTCCTTAAAACCAGTACATATCTTTTTGCTTCTCAATTGAACTTCAATAGAAAGTTCCTATCGTATTTGAATATATGTTATGATATTATTGATTTAGGGCGTCTAAAACAAGACGTAACATAGGTGATGATTGGTTCTCCCGCTACCACCCGCAAACGCAGCGTTTGCGGTTCGTAGCGGTTCTTAGCGTTTTATAACAATCACGACAACCGCTTTCAACCGCTCTATACCACTCTGTACCGCTCTATATCGCTGAAAATCAAAAGCTCCTTTCCGCAAGCGTTTGCGGTTGCGGGCGGTTGCGGTTTGAAAAAAAAAAAAAAAAAACATAATATCTCCAAATTTGGAATAAGGGTATATTTTTTTGAAAAATACCATAATTATGTTTAAAAATTTCGAAAATACCCTAAATTTTTTCTGTTTTGAAAAATACACTTTTAAAATGTAAAAAGTATGTTTTGACGTGATTTAAACAAAAAAATAATAAATAATTACAAATTATAAACGAAAATTTAAAAAAATAATAAACTAATAAGTTTTTTTTCAAATAAATATAGTATATGTTAAACTGAAACAAATTTTAATATTTTGGATCTTTATATAAACAACTTAACCTCATACACATTCAAACCAAATGAAACTTTAAATAAATTAAAACTTTACATATATTTAAAGTTTATAAATTATTAAAAATTTAAAAGTGGAGAAATATATCTTTCATTTTTAATGTTTATCTTTTGAAAAATTTAAATATTTTTGAAACTTTGCATAAACAACTTTAATCTCACCCCATTTAAACTTTATATAAACAATCTTATATTTTTATTAAATTGTTTAAAAAAAACTAAACAGGTAATTAGGATGTTAAAATGATACAAAATTATTATCAAATATTAATATTTTATATTTCTTATTTGAATTTCGTTTTTATTAAATTAGGAATAATCATTTTACATATAAAAAGTGTATTTTTCAAAACCAAAAAAAAAGGGTAGTTTTCAAATTAAAAATTCATCAAAAAATATATTTCAAAAAAAAAATTATTAATATGGTTATAAATGTTTTGAATAATTATATATTATTTTTATTTTAGTAACTTTTGGTTAAACCGCTCTTGCACCCGCTGGCTAACCAGTCAAAAATATCCCGCAAACGCAACCGCTATGAATTGCTATACCAGTCGTACAAACAGCTTTTAATCGCAAACTCCCGCTTCCGCAAACTCCCGCAGCCGCAAACTCCCGCAACCGCAACCGCAGCGGTTAAACCAGTCAGACCCATAAAGTCGGTAATGCAAAGGCTAGTAGTCAATACGATTTTGGAGACTTTCCCTAACTCTGGCGAAGACAAATTCTCACTTTCCAACTTTCTAGAAAACCTAAGTTCTTGAAAATACTTTGTAAACATTTAATGATATCGATAAATAGTGGAATTGGTGTCAACAAAATATAAATAGAGGAATTAAAGGGGGAAATGTACAGATCTGCTACGAATTTCATCCCTTCTCAAGAGGTGTACAACTTTTTGAGATTTATAAAACCGAGAAGAACCATACAAATGTGAGACTCATACATCTTGTGAGACGAATGATACAAATGCCATAAAAACAATCTTAAAAAGTTTATTAATAAAATATATCTGGATAAGGTTTTAAAGATAGACATACTCACTTATATAGATATAATTATACGGTTCCAAGATCATACAATATATGCCTAATGAGTGATATATACTGATATATATATATAACATTTAGACATATAGTTGTCTTCTCAGCTCTTGTTCCATGGTACTTCAAAGATCCAACCCTTATTATCATAAATCCCGAGTCTAAAACAGTGAGAGATAAGAAAAACAATGTAAGTTTACACTATTAAAGATTCATAACTTTGGTGAATTACTTAAACGACAGATGTATGGAACAGAGCACTTACATTAAGCTATCTTAGCTTGCTTGTTGCTCTCCAGCATTAGACCAAAGTGAATATGAGGAAAGTGTGCCCACTACAAAATGTGCAACCAATTTAATCAGATAATTCCGTACTAAAACAGTTTATTAAAATCTGAGAGATACTTGTACGTACGTATATGCATTACCCATATATAAAAGAAAATTATTATAGGGATAAGTACGTATAGGCCACACCTATACATATAAAATGTCACTATAGGATGTGGAATGGAAAACCATTTTAATGAATTTTAAACTTTTTCTAATCCAGTACAAAGAAGTAAAGAAAACTATTTGGAAACTGCAAAATGCAAATGCTCATTTTCTTTATGTATATATAATTATTAAAATAACTTGAACCTCTAAATTCCAAAAGGCGAAAATATGTTTATATCTTTCGTTTACTTAAGTTTAGATAGGTAATCATATCTTACACCTTCAGTGTCATAATACTGAGTACTACTGCTCCACTATGAGATATACAAGTTAGACCCTAAATACATGTAATATCATCTGTAGTTGTAAGAGAAGTTGAAAACAACAAAAGTAGTTTTTGACTATTCGTATTTTGTTTCGATGGTAAGAGTTTTGTGGCCAAGAAGATTATTACGGTACAAATGGCTAATCACACCCGTGGTTTCTGGGAAAAAGTGTCATATGTAGATCTATGACTTATTTCAAATATTGAGGCCCCAATAAAAAAAAAAAAAAAAAATTAACATCGAAAACTCATATCTTTAAAAAAAACTATTCAAACATTTTAAAGAAATCAAAACTTACATTCTTGGCGGCGGTGCTGAATGCTTCTCTATGGCTTATGTCTGGATTATTAGCCTTGATCCTCTGAATTTCCTCTCTTTGAAGTTTTCAATTTAAACACACAAATCAATATATGTAAGTTTTCATTAATATATGTATATATATATATATATATATATGAGAGTTTGTTTGTTACTTTATGAATTGATTGTACGCGGAAGGTACTCGCTGCCGCTTCTCCGGAGCTGAAATGTAACTAATGTTTAGCTTCTATAATCCTATGTAAAAAGAAATGTGTCACAGAGAGTAAAGGCAATACTTACGACGGTTTACTGTCCTTTGCTCAGTTATGGTACGAGTTGAAATTCTTGAAGGGATTTTGGAGTGGCCTCTCGAGGAAGATCCATACTCCGGTAATGCATAGTTTGTTGCCTATTCCATATTTAATATTTAATCCTCAATTATTATATATAAAAAATGCAAAGTTTAGTTTAAAAATTTCTTGACTTCTCTTGGCTTTTTCCAACTAAAAATGATGAATCAGAAGGATTGCTAGCAATCATGTATGTATTGTCTAATTTAGGAAACGAAGAGAAAAAAACAAAGTGGACCAACTAGAAGACATTTTATTAAATGTTGAAGAGCAGTAAAAGACAAAACCTTTGAAGAAAGGAATCTGAGAATATGTTTAGAAAAAGAAAAGAAGCAAAGCTATGAAACCCTAACATTCATGTCAATCAAATCAAAGAGGAAGTAGCCCACATCAGTATATAGATCAAACATAAGATAGGGCTCTACGAAAAAGCATATATGAAAAGGCTGCAGATATCAGCCACAGCTGG